TGCAAGACTATTATCACTGCTGAAATATAAGTATGAGCAGAAAGTCATGTCTATAGATTGGACAAGGAAAACAGATGCAGGAATTATTGTCTTTGGGGCATTTTCCTTGGAATGGACTGAACAGCCCATTGGCTGGGAAGTAGCCTAACGCACAAATCTGTGTGTTTTCATTTATAGGAAGTTGTGAAGCAGGCAGAAGTAATCTTTGGTGACAGAAGTCAGATCTAGATCACCTGGAGTGCAGTGTGGAGATTGGGAAGAGAATGAAGTAGCTTGTTAGGCTGGTGCCAATGTTCTGTATACTTTTTTTTTTTTTTTTTTTTTATGGTAACTTAAAATATTCTTACAACAGTGAGAGGAGAGTCAGAGAGAAAGGTCTTCCTTCCGTTGGTTCACCCCCCAAATGGCCGCTATGGCTGGCGCTGCGCTGATCTGAAGCCAGGAGCCAGGTGCCTCCTCCTGGTTTCCCATGCGGGTGCAGGGGCCAAGCACTTGGTTTATCCTCCACTGCCTTCCTGGGCCACAGCAGAGAGCTGGACTGGAAGAGGAGCGACCGGGACAGAATTCGGCGCCCCAACTGGGACTAGAACCCGGGGTGCCGGTGCCGCAGGTAGAGGATTAGCCAAGTGAGCCGCGGTGCTGGCCTATATATCTTGATATGGGATTGCATTAGCTGGGTGTATTCATTTGTGGGAAGTATCTATGGTATGCATAAGGTTTGTGCATTTCACTGCATTAAATTTTGCCTGGAAAGAGCCATAGACTCGTAACTGGTAAATGTTAAGCATGCTGAAGTAGTTGTGGGATATTTCCTGAGTATTTATTGGTGTGTGCAGCTTATTATTAAGGGCATCAAAAACATTAACCAAATGTGTGGATACGTAACACAGTAAAGCAAATGTAGAAAATGTTAATTGGAAAATGTAAGCGCCAGGTATGGGGCTGTTTGCTGTGTAAATTCATTTGATTTTTGTGTGGGTTTGAAATTTTTCATAATAAAACTGAGGGGAGGGTCCTCTTTAATGAATTAATGATTAAATAGCAGTAGGCCGTGGAAGAGGGGAAGATTTCAGTTACGGGGCCAGAGGAGGCCTCGCTGAGAAGCTGACTTTTGAGTAAGGAGCTCAAGGAAATGAGGAAATCAGGGAGCCACCCAGCCATCTGGGGCAGGAGTGTTCCAGTGAGAATGTCAAGTGAGGCTGGCGTGTACCCGGCCTGTTAGTGGAGCAGTAAAGAGGACTTTGTGGCTGGCCTTGCCTGAGGGAAGGCAGAGTAGAGATGGAATCAGAAAGGCGATTGACTGGCAGATCATGGAGGGTCCTGTGGGTCATGGTAAGCTCTGCACGACATAGGAAGCAACTGAGAGCTTTTGAGCAGAGAAATGCTATGATACAACATGATGACCCGAAGTTTCACTTTGCGAGATTTCACTGACTTGCCATCAACCATGGGCTGAAAACATAGGGTGGAAAGTTCCAGGAGTAAACAAATCATGAATTTTAAATTGTGTTAGGGCTGGCACTGTGGCGTAGCAGGTAAGGCTGTTGCCTGCGGTGCCAGCATCCCATATGGGTGCCAGTTTGAGAGTCAGCTGCTCCACTTCCGAGCTAGCTCTCAGCTGTGGCCTGGGAAAGCAGTGGAGGATGGCCCAAGTGCACCCTGCACTCGTGTGGGAGACCCAGAAGAAGCTCCTGGCTTCTGGCTACCAGATTGGCAAAGCTCCAGCCATTATGGCCATTTGGGGAGTGAACCAGTGGTTAGAAGACCTTTCTCTCTCTCTCTCTCTCTCTCTCTCTCTCTCTCTGCTTCTGCCTCTCTGTAATTCTGCCTTTCAAATAAAAATAAATAAATCTTAAAAAAAAATTTCAGTTATGCGCCATTCTGAGTAGTGTCAGCCTACCCAGCCCAGGATGCAAATCATCCCTTTGTCCAGTGTATCCATATGTGTGAATATGCCAGCCACCTATAGTCACTTAGTAGCCGTCTAGATTCTCAGTGTCTTGGCTACAGGGTTGACTGAGCTATTACTACAGAACTTGTGTTCATGTAACCATTAATAACTTAATAATGACCCCAGATCGAGAGTAGTGATACTGGCATTCAGATATGCTGAAGAGAGGCCTTAAAGTGCTTCCATTAACAGAAAAGGTGAACGCACAATACAGTATTTTCAGAGAGACCATATTCATGTAGCTTTTATTTCAGAATATTGCTGTAATTTTTCTCTTTTCTTATTACTTATTGTTAATCTCTTACTGTGCCTGATTTATAAATGAAGCTTTATCATAGGTATGTATCAACAGGAAAAGGCCTAACACATAGAAGATTTGCTACTGTCTGTGGTTTCAAGCATCCACCAGGGGTCTTGGAACAGATGCCCCATGGATAAGGGGTGACACCTGCACAGGTGTTTCATAGGTGCAGCCTGGTTGCTGTATTCGGAACAGGCCACAGTCAAGTAGAAAGACCAGGTAGAAAGCTATTTTAGTAATCCAGATGCTATGAGATAGTGGTTCCAACCTGAGTGGTGAGAAGAGGCTGAATTCCGGATGAGTCTTGAAGGCAGAGCTGACAGGGCACACTGACAGGTTGTGAGATGAGAGAAAGAGAAGTAAGGGAGGCGCTGAGGTTTTTGTTTGTTTGTTTAAGATTTATTTATTTGAAAGGCAGAGAGAGAAAGAATCTTCCATCCGCTGGTTCACTCCCCAGACGGCTGCCTGCACTGCAGGCTTCCCCCATACGCCACAGCGGCGGCCGTGGCACTAAGGTTTTGAGCCTGAGCAACTTGAAGGGTGGGATTGCCGTTAAGTGAGGTGGGGAGAACCACAGGCAAGGCAGTCTGGTGACGCTGTCTGGACATGTTCTGAGCAGGACATCACTTAGATAGCCGTGTGGGCATGAGTTAATGCCCTCCCTGGGGGAGCCTCCGGGATTAGCCCAGTGTCTCTTGTGAGCCTGAAATGCTTTAAATTCTGTTTTCTTACCTGTTTTTAAGTGAATTGCTCCATTATATGTCTGTAATTGATTTCATATAAGAAGAAAAATTGATCAGTTACCATGGTAGACAGGCTAGGCTCTCCCCCCAGGTAATCGTACCTCAGTTCCTGGAATTTGTGGACCTGTTATGTTAGCGTGATAAGAAAGATTCCATGGGTACAACAGCGTTATAGACCTGAAATAGGGGTGTTATCCCAGTGGGCCCATTTTAATCGTATGAGCCCTTAAAAGCAGAGGATTTTTCTCTGGCTGGAACAGAAGTCAGAGAGATGTGACATGTGCGTATCTTCCTTGTGAAATGTGTTCTGAGTGGTCTGTTTGTTATAATTCCCATTATAACATTATATATATATATATATATATATACACATATGTATACATACACATTAAGAGTTTTGCTTGCTGCCAAAAAGCTTTTTAACTTTTTCTTAGTTGTAATTATTTTTGGTCAATTCTCTTATGTTCTCACAAGGAGCAGCCAGAAATCACCAGCAGTAACCAAGTAGGAAGAATGCTTAGATGGGCAAGTTTACTGTGTTACAGGAACTCAGAATCCCATTTTGCTTGGCGAGTCAGGGTGGCTGTCAGAGGAGTGAGCCCTCACTAGGCTAATCCTCCGCCTTGCAGCGCCGGCACACCGGGTTCTAGTCCCGGTCGGGGCTCTGGATTCTGTCCCGGTTGCCCCTCTTCCAAGCCAGCTCTCTGCTGTGGCCAGGGAGTGCAGTGGAGGATGGCCCAAGTGCTTGGGCCCTGCACCCCATGGGAGACCAGGAGAAGCACCTGGCTCCTGCCATCGGATCAGCGCGGTGCGCCGGCCGCAGCACGCCGGCCGCGGCGGCCATTGGGGGGTGAACCAACGGCAAAGAAATACCTTTCTCTCTGTCTCTCTCTCTCACTGTCCACTCTGCCTGTCAAAAAAAGGAGTGAGCCCCGACAGGTGGGAGGGACCCGCACACAGAGTGTATACAAGGACCTGGAGCAAGGATGAGTGGCAGGAAGGGCTAGCAAGGGGCATGAAAACAGCTGGAGGATTTGCGCAGAGGTGAGACACATTCCAGTTTACGTTTTTAAAGGATTACTCTGATGGCTTTGGAAAATGGAGTAACAAGAAGACTAGGAGAGGAATCTGGTTAGGAGGCAGTTGGAGTAGTTTAGCGGCAGACTTCCTAAGTTAGCTACACTACCATCATGCCAGATTTCCTTCTTCCCCAGCCCTTTAGTGTTTATAGAGTAAACTAAAACTGGACTTTTATTGGCTTGAAGAATCAGTTTAAAATGTATTTTTTTCTAATCTATATTTGATTTATTTGAAACACAGAGAGAGAAATCGTCTATCTGCTGGTTCACTCCTTAAATGCCTGCAACAGCCAGGGCTGGGTCAAACTGAAACCAGGAACCTGAAATTAATCTGTATCTGTCATGTGAGTGGTGGGGACCCAAGTACTGCCTCCTGTAAGCTGGAATCCAAGTAGAGCTGGAACTAGAACCTAGGAGCTCTGATACACAGTGTAGGTGTTAAATACCCACCCCAACCCCCACCCCCAAGTTTTATATTGGAAAACATGAGATTTTTTTTTAAAGATTTATTTATTTGAAAAGCAGAGTTAAAGAGAGGCAGAGAGAGAGAGAGAGAGAGAAGAGAAATGTCTTCCATTCTCTGGTTTACTCCTCAAATAGCCGCAGTGGCAGTAGCTGTGCCGATCCAAAGCCAGGAGCCAGGAGCTTCCTCTGGGTCTCCATGCGGATGCAGGGGCCCAAGGCCTTGGGCCATCTTCTGCTGCTTTCCCAGGCCATAGCAGAGAGCTGGATCAGAAGTGGAGCAGCCGGGACTAGAACCGGCACCCATATGGGATGCAGGCGCTGCAGGCAGCAGTTTCACCCGTGATACCACAGCACCAGCCCCAAACATGAGATTTTTTATATAGATTGACTGCTAATGGACTGCACTCCATTATTGCACAGCTTGTAAGTTCATACAAAGCGTCTGTCGGTGTGTCTGGCAGGTTTCCTATGTGATCCGAGACGAGGTGGAGAAGTACAACCGCAACGGGGTCAACGCCCTGCAGCTGGACCCGGCACTAAACAGACTGTTCACGGCCGGCCGGGACTCCATCATAAGGATATGGAGCGTCAACCAGCACAAGGTAAGGCCGGGCTCAGCTTTGCAGTCTGCGCTCAGGAAGTGCGGCTCAGGTGACTTGTCAGGGTCTCCTCCTTTCCACAGTTTCCCATTCGCTCTCTCTGAGCACCCTGGTGCTTGGTACACTTTATAAAGACACTGCAGCCAGCACTCTGTAAGCCTCTGAAAACGTCATCGCTCAGAGAGTTTCAGAAGTGTTTTAGCTAAGGCTAAATAACTTAATAATGGCCATGAACTAGATTTGTCTTAAGGACGCTCTACCACAATGACAGAGATTTGGCTGATGGGGAATTGTTTTCAACAATTTATTTTTCTTTTCTTTTTTTTTTTTTTAAATATTTTTATTTATTTATTTGAGAGGCAGAGAGAGGGAGAGACAGAGAGAAAGGTCTTCCATCTGCTGGTTCACTCCTCAAATGGCTGCAACAGCTGGAGCTGGGCCAATCCGGAGCTAGGAGCTTCCTCCTCCGGGTCTCCCATGTGGGTGCAGGGGCCCAAATTCCTGGGCCATCTTCTACTGCTTCTCCAAGCCATCAGCAGAGAGCTGGATTGGAAATGGAGCAGCTGGCACTTCAACTGGCGCCCTTTGGGATGCTAACACCACAGGTAGAGGCTTAGCCTATTAGGCCATGGTAGTGGCCCCCAAAATTTATATTTCTGCCTATTCCTCTTATCTGGCTTGCTCGCCAGGAGACTTCTGTTGAGGAGTGTTTTGTTATACCCTTCACCTAGAATGTGCCACATTGAAGACACTTCATGGGCAAAGAGAATAGTTTTCTACAAGTCTGAGAAATAACACTATTCAATCTTGACATAAAACAGACACCATAACAAGGCTATCTGAGGTAGTGCAGGCAGGCAGGTTGCCAGAATCTTCCAGGTTAGTGGCCAGTGGTGTTGTCCCTCATTTGTTTGAACTTCTTTGAATTCCCACAAGAGTGACATTCCAATTCAGACATTAAATATGCTCCCCATTATGGTATGCAGGTTTCAACCAGGAAAAAAAAAAAATCCCCAAAGCCTCTTGGCAATCCTACTTTAAAAAAAAGGCACAGATTGAATTTAAATATGTATTTACATTTTTAATTAATATTATATGAATGTTTGATTTTCTTTATTTGAAAATGAAGCCTATAGGGCCTTATTAGATCACATAAAGCTCGTGTGGAATTGTGAAGATTGGGGTGGGCGCTGTGGCGTAGCAGGTAAGGCTGCAGCCTACAATGCCGGCATCCCATATGGGTACTGGTTTGAGACCCAGCTGCTCCACTTCCGATCCAGCTCTCTGCTGATGGTCTGGGAAAAGCAGGAAAAGATAGCCCAAGTCCTTGGGCCCCGGCACCCAGATGGGAGACCCAGAAGAAGCTCCTGGCTCCTGGCTTCGGATCAGCTCAGCTCTGGGTTTGCGGCCATCTGGGGAATGAACCAGTGGATGGAAGACCTCTTTCTCTCTGCCTGTCTTTCTCTCTCCATGTAACTCTGACTTTCAGATAAAAAAATAAATCTTAAAAAAAGAAAGAAAGAAATTGTGAAGATACCATGCTGCCCTTCTTCATGAGTTTTAAGGTCAGCTTAAACAGAGACCAGGATTCAAGTAAATGTAACGATAAATCCCCAGATGGATAGGAGCCCCTTGTGGGAGTGTCTGTATTGTAAATGACATAAACAAGAAGATTTGAGGACGAAAAAGGAATGCTTATTGAGTTCTTAATTATGTGCCAGACACTCTTGGCACTTTGATACCCAACATGATTTTAATTGTCACAGTAGTCCCTCCAGGCAGCTGTTAGGATCCATTGTCATAGATGGGAAAACAGGGATGCTGGCGCTTCAGGCCAGGGCTTTAACACACTGTGCTACAGCGCTGGCCCCTAGACCCTGTATCTTTAAAAGTCTGTGTCTTTCTAGCAAGCTCCACAAGTCTGAAGTTCACAGCAGGAAAAGAACTACTGCTTTGCCCAGTTTCTGGATAATGTTTCTTTTAATGAACTCAGTCCTACCAGCTTTGAATTCTTTCACTGGTGGAAACTTTGGTGGCTCGATGTCAAAATCCTGGAAAGTGAAGTGAGGAAACACTGGATGCTTGACCTTGACATGCTTTTTAGTGCTTAGATTTGAATTGGACTGTCACTCTTGTGGGAATTCAGAGAACTTTTAACAAACGAGAGACAACAGCCCTGGCCACTAACCTGGGAGAATCTGGCAGTCTGCCTGCCGCACGACCTCAGATAGCCTTGTTCTGCTGTCTGTGTTTTGTGAAGCTGAATAACATTGTTTCCGACTCGTAAAGAGCTCTCTCCCTGCCCATGCGTGTCTCGGACGTGACGCGTTTTAGGTGTAGGGTGTAACAGCACTCCTCAACAGACACGTCCTGGTGAGTAAGCCAGATGAGCGCAGTAGAAGGATCTGGAGTTCCTGAATTGAGATGGTGATGCAGGAAGTCCTCTCCTAGCTCTCGGGTTCCATTTCTTCCCGGAAGGACTGTGCATATTGGGAGAGAAACATTCAACTCCGAAGGTAAAAATAGCAGTAGGAAAGTTAGCAGCAGGAGAATTCACTCCCTTCTGCTGTCAGACAGGCTCCACCGCACTCCTCAGACCCGCTCCCGGCCCTGCCAGCTGCTCTGAGAATTCCCATCCGCCACCCAGCCTGCAGGTTCCTTCAGCTCCTGTGCCTTCTAGTAATCCCTCCCTGCCTGTCGCCCTTGGGCTCCACACGGGCCTAGCCCAGAGCTTGCTGCCCTCACTGTCACAAGACAGAAAGGTGAGCACTTATCCCAGAGACTCAGGCTTGCGTTAACCCTAAACCTGCGCTGATACACAACTGTTTACATCTGTTAGCTGGAGTTATCACTGCTGCTCGGTGAAATTCTGCTCTGAATTCATTTGTCAGTTTGAAGATCTTAGAGCGGTGTGTCGCATTAACTAGATCCTCAGTGCTCCTCCGGTTCGTAGTGTACTTCATTCTCTAATGTGTGTGTTTATGGTGTGTCATTTCAGCAAGATCCGTATATAGCGTCCATGGAGCATCATACAGACTGGGTCAACGACATCGTGCTCTGCTGCAACGGGAAGACGTGTAAGTGTGTCCTGGGCTTAGCTGGCCTCCGGGAGTTTTTGATTCAGTTTGGTATACAGGGTTTTAGAAAGTTTATGGAAAATGTGTATTTTGGAAAAACTGTGCAGGCATTTCAAGTTTGTTTTACACCAAGATACATTGACCTGTTAATTCCATGTTTCCATGAACTTTTTGAAGTGCTTGCGTATTTTTCATGTTTTGTAAGCTTTTCCCATTTTTTCTGTATAAGCTTTTTAAAAGTGAAGTATAACATACATACAGAGAAGTACACACCTCTTTAGGTTACAGTTAATACGAGTTTTACAAAGTGATGCCTGAATTAAACAATGTTGCCTGAAGCCTCCTTGTGCCATGTTTTCAACGTTAACCCAGCCCCAAAGGAACTGCTCTCTTGTCTGAACACCATACATTAGTTTTCCTGCATTTGAACTGTGTATAGGTATACTCATACCATAATATGTTATTTTAGCCATATTAGTACCTCTTTTTGTTCTTGTCTTGGTAAGATCTATTTCTTGGTTTACAGGCTGAATTAGAGAAATTTTTCTCAAATTGGTTGAACCTTCAACTGGAATATTATAAATATTTGTCCTGCCTATTAAAAAAAAAAAAACACCTGGGGATAGGCATTTAGTGCAGAGGTTAAGATGCTGTTTGGGACTCTGCATCCCATATTGGAGTGCCTGGTTCAAGTCCCGGCTCTGATTTCAATCCAGCTCCCTGCCAGTGTCCATCCTGGGAAGGCAGCACATGGTGGCTCAAGCCATATATGTGGGAGACCTAGGAGGAATTTCAAGCTCCTTGCTCAGCCTGGCCCAGCCCAGCTGTTGTGGGCATCTGGGGGAGTGAACCCACACATTGAAGACAGCTCTCTCTTCTGCTTTTCAAATAAGATTAAAATAGATAAATATTTTTTTTAAGATTGGAGGCAATATGCAGTAGGTTCTAGAAAGAACTTGCAGGTATGTGTGAATATTAATTTAGAATAATGTTATTTTTTATGTTGTTTTAAGATAGTTTGTTATAAGTCATATTCTAAAGGGCTTGTTCATTCTTTGCCTCTTCTAGTAATATCTGCTTCTTCTGACACAACAGTAAAAGTATGGAATGCACATAAGGGCTTTTGCATGTCAACATTGAGGACACATAAGGTAAAACACTATCATGGCTGTTGGTGTCTTTACTGTGGCACTGGGATCTTTGTACTTTGTGTGGCTCTTATCCTAGTGAGCTTTCGAGTAGATCATAGTGTGTCTGTTCTGTTACAGGATTATGTGAAGGCCTTAGCATACGCCAAGGATAAAGAACTGGTAGCCTCGGCTGGGTTGGACAGACAAATATTCCTTTGGGATGTGAATACTCTAACAGCGTTGACTGCCTCAAATAACACTGTCACAAGTAAGGTGTTTGAAAGAGATCCAAGTTGGCATAAATAAGGAGTACTTTATAAAATAGCTTTAATGGTTTTGTATCGAGACGGTGGTTTGTATTTTGAGAGTGCATCTGTCTATACCATTCTAGTCCCCAAGAGGATGATTGAACAGCAAGGAGATGGTTCCTCACTGTAGTCTGAAAATGGTGACTTTTCCGGATATAACCTGGCTGTTTTTTGTACATGTGCATGTCTTAGCTCCCTAGCTAGAGTCGGGGCTATATACTGTCTCATCATCTAGTCCGTGCTGGGGTTCTCATGAGCCATCACTAGGCCCTGACTCTAGATCTGAGACCTGCCTCAGACCCTGACAAGGCGGGAACAGAACCCAGAGAAAAGCACTCGTGTCGCAAGGTCAGGGACCAGGCGTAGCGGATAGAGTCTCTTCTAGATACACCTTGCTTAGAATTGTTTAAAGAGGATATCACACACACATTTTTTCATGATTATAAAAACAGTATTAATAGCTAAGCCTTACATAAGTAAGCTTATACATAAGTGCTTAATATAAGCAGGCGTTTTTCTAAACACTTTACATGTATTAACTCCTAATTTGTAACTCGTCAATGTTCTTGTTTATATTTACTTATTGTAAGATTAGGACCATATCACATAGACAGTTTGCTATGCAACTTCTTTGTTTTTTCCTTGAAAATCGTTGTTTTTTTTTTTTTTTTTTGCAGACATGCAATTTATTATAAGGTAAATTATACAAAAACCTTCACTTGCAACAGTTTACAATTTTGTTTCTTACTGTTTCATGCTGTGAATTTTAAAGTATTAAAAGCTGATAAGAATAAAATTAGGATCAATAAGACTCAAAGAAATGCTTAGCAATATTTTTAATGTCAATGACGTTAATGTTTTAGTTAAAAAGTTTTTGGGAAAGTGGAATTAAAAGATACTGTGCGTTTCCCATGAATCCTGAAGTCCTAAATGCAGCATAGTACTTCCACAGGCTGCTGAGCACAAGGCCTGAGGCCGGAGAGGCAGTGAGGAGAAGACCTTGATGTGCTTGGTGCCCTGCAAGAAGCAAGTATCTGTGTGCCTCGGAGCCCTCAGTCCTGGCTTCTGGGTTCCATGGAGCTGCTTGCACCTGCTGATTTCTCTTTTTAAAAAAAACAAACAAACAAACAAACTTTTATGTAATGAATGCATTTTTATAGGTACAACTTTAGGACTATAGTGATTGGTTGCCCCATACCATTCCTCCCACCCTGACTCCTGTCCCACCTCCTATTCCCTCTCCCATCCCATTTTTCATTATGGTTCATTTTTAGTTTATATACAGAGGACCAACTCTGTGCTAAGTAAAGATTTCAACAGTTGTATGTTACTTCTTGCACTTTGGTGATGCAGTGGGTAGGAACTTGATTCTTGCCATATTCACTCCCTGATTTCCTTCCCAAGTGGTTGGACCAAATTTCTTCTCTCGTGAGTAATGTGTGAGAGGGCTACTTGACTGTGTTCTTTCAGAATTAAGTTATCAGCCTGGTTTTGTATTTGATTTGCTACGTGAAAATGGTATTTTTGATATGATTTATGTTTTCTTGAACAGTAGATTGGACTTCTTTATATTGATGGGCATATGTACATCTTTGAAAATGCATTACTGCCGGTGCTGCAGCTCACTAGGCTAATCCTCTGCCTTGTGGCGCCAGCACACCGGGTTCTAGTCCTGGTCGGGGCACCGGATTCTGTCCCGGTTGCCCCTCTTCCAGGCCAGCTCTCTGCTGTGGCCAGGGAGTGCAGTGGAGGATGGCCCAAGTGCTTGGGCCCTGCACTCCATGGGAGACCAGGAGAAGCACCTGACTCCTGCCATCGGATCAACGCGATGCGCTGGCCGCAGCACACTGGCCGCGGCGGCCATTGCGGGGTGAACCAATGGCAAAGGAAGACCTTTCTCTCTGTCTCTGTCTCTCACTGTCCACTCTGCCTGTCCAAAAAAAAAAAAAAAAATACATTACTTATGTGGATAGTTTTAAAATAACAATGCAATTCAATTTAGCAGATACTTACTGAGCACGTGTGTATACTGTAGTCTGGAAAAGAGGTAAATGTTGCTAATGATGCTGTTTAGAATTACCTCCATGTGGGTGGATTTCTTTTCCTTAGAATTTCATATAGATTTTCTAAATTGAATAGTTAAATTTGCAATTTCTGCTAAGTAATTACTAAAAACTAAACTGATGATTTTGTTAACATTTAGCTCTGTTTGTCTCAATAGCTTCTTCTTTAAGCGGGAACAAAGATTCCATTTATAGCCTGGCCATGAATCAGCTGGGAACCATCATCGTATCAGGGTCCACTGAGAAGGTAAGGGGGGCCGCAGAGAGTGAGCGCTTGCAAGCCAAGAAGCCAAAATAGCTTTGTGTGTGTGTACATATACAGTGGTGCCCAGAGGGTGCTGAAGGAGTTTTTGTTGTATCTCTGTAACTACTGTGTGGCTAGTGATGGGAGGTGGCGGGGATGCTGTACATTATGGACGTCACAGAGGCTCCCTAAGGTTGGAGCCTTCAGTGGTGTCCATTGGCAGAGTAGTATTTCCTTATCCAGATTGAATGAGTGTCATTTGATTTGTGACAGTCGTCTGTTACTAAATTTTGATCACGAGTGTATTCAGTTTGTGTAACATGCTGTTAACATTCGCAGGTTTTAAGGGTGTGGGATCCCAGGACATGTGCAAAACTCATGAAGCTCAAAGGGCACACGGATAATGTGAAAGCATTGCTGTTGAACAGAGATGGCACACAGGTAAGCTAATGACCTCGTCAGAAATGTCCTCACTTCGTCTACTATTGTCTGGGTTGATGTAAACCAAAAACCATACAACTACAAATTGTAGTCTAATTTCAATTATTTAAAATGCTAAATTGCACGTGTAATATTCCACATTTAAAACTGTTTGCATCATTTTTCAATAAAGGCAAACTAAAGAATTGTTCTAATTCAAGTATGCATGTGCAGTTAAGGTACATGGTAGCAAAAATAACTAAAAACATTTCCTGTGTGAAGCAGAGGAAGCTTCGGTATTGATTGTTCTTCCGCCAGCTTATTAAGAGAAAAAATTTCTTCACAAGGTGTCTGACTTCAGGTTAGATTTTGTCAATGGCCTATGTAGATACAGTCTGTAGGTTTCAGTTTTCTAACATAATACTTAGAGTCAGTATTTCAAAGAAAAACGTGTTGGTAATGTTTGAACGTCAGCTCTGTTGGCCATGTAATAAGTGAACTGTAGATGACAGTTCTGTTTGCTCTGTAGCCGTGGGAAAGTCAGTTGTCACCAGCGTCAATCACAGAAATCCAGAAGACCTGAGCAGCGGTTTATGGTGTGACGTCCCTGTACCGTGCACCGCTGCCCCCCCCCCCCAAGCTGTGGCTTCCCCACAGGGCAGTGGTCAGCTCAGGGAGAGCCGGGCTGCTTTGTGATGGGGCGAGAGGAGGATGAGGGGACAGGTGACGAGGCAGGAAATGCCGTCGGTCTGTGTCACTCCTGTGGGAATGACGACCGTAGACAGCGTCTCCTACGTGAACCAGGGAAGCCTGCGTCAGAGCTGAGAGGAAAGTGATACACCAGCTGAGGGCAGGGGGTCACCTTTGAGAAATGGGAGAAGAGGGGTCTTGGGAGACGGGGACGGATCTTGGTGTTGAGAAGACTCGTCTTGAGTTTGCTCGGCCGCCAAGTGGGGATCGTGATCCATCATGGGATGTGTGGTCAGTGAGCGTGTACTTAGGAGCATGTCCTTGCTGGAAGCCAGGGCATTTTGTGGTATTCTTGAGTTCTGTGTAGCAGCATCGTGTGAGTCTGAGAGGCCCAGCGTGCTCGGTGAGCCCCTCGCTGTTGTGCCGTGTAGCTGCAAGACTGTCCTTGAGACGGTTGTCCAGGCCTGTTAAGTTCCCTTTGTCCAGCGCTGGGCTGCGTCACACGGTCTCCATGGTTTCCAGAAAGTGGCTGTGGGCCTGGCAGATGTCCTAGGGCTCCTCTTGTCTACTGCACCCCATGCTTTGTTCCTCTCCTCCCCCTCCTCTAAATGTAAACGTAAACAGTGCGGCATATTTACAGTAGTGAATTCATTAACAAAGCAACTACCATACTACCCATCCGGGGAGCGGTGCGGAGGACACTCGAGTTCTTGCATCCTCAGAATTGCTCTACAGGCTCGCAGTGTAGGGTCCTGGGTGGCGTAGACTTTTGGATATTACACATTTTCCGTGACTTTTCGAAGACCCCTTAGATGCCGTAAGCCAGTGGTTCCCAGGAACATCTGCGTGTTGCCTCACTTCCCTCCTGCAGGGGAGGATCCTCATTTACCCAGTCTGCCTGCCTGAGGTCCTGCCCAGGGGAGCTCCGCCCGGGAGGTCTGTTAGCAGTGTTGTTGGGGCAGAGCCATCCCTGTGCTCAGGCAGTCACTTATGTGAGGAGCTGGGACCCTGCCCCCCTGCTCCGGGTTTCGTCACATCCTGTGGATTACAGTGTTTTTCTGGTAACACAAGTCCTGCTGAATCCAGCTTTTGGGTCTGAGAGTCTCCGAGCATCTGGCCACTTCTTGCCCTGACTTGCCTTGTCCCCTTGACTGCGCTCTTTGGGCAGTTGAGATTGTGTGTGAGTGACCGTCCTGCATGCGCTCCTGTGGCTTGACGGCCACCCAGCCCCAGAACGCTGGCACTTCCCATCGTCCCTGGAGAAAAGCCAGAGAACCTGCTCCCGGCTGCAGAATCTGTCATTCTGCGTGTGATCCAGCCAGGCCCCTGGGGCTGTTGCGTCTAGTTTCAGGGCCACCTCCTAATGAGCATCTTCATGTTCATCCAGTGCCCACCGGTCAGCAGACACCAGAGTGCCTGTGAAACAGGAAAGCCTCTCACCGTGCTAGCACGCGCATAAAGAAGTTGGCCAACATTCGATGTTGATGGACAAGACATCTCTGTGTCCACAGTAGCCAGGGCTAGGCTGCCACTCATTTGGGGTCTCCCACATGGGTGCCAGAGCCATCACCTGCTGCACCCCCAGCCCCCACCCTGGGTGCACCTTATCAACAAGCTGGAATCTGGAGCAGAGCCGGGACCTCAAGCCCAGGCATTTGAATCGAGAATGCAGGCATCCAAAGCAGCAGCTTACCCAGTGAGCCACAGGCCCAGCCCCAGGGCCTTCCTTTCTCCCGGGAAAATGAAGTGCCTGTCCTCTTCTGCAAGTCCCCAGGGGAGCTGGTTTGAGCACACAGAGCACGCGGAGCACGGATGTAGGCTGGCTTAATTCCACCTATTTCTGTCCGACTCCGTGTGCCCAGCCTGAATTTGTGTGCCCGCAAATTCCGTGTAGCTGAGTGTCCTGAGCCTTCAGACCTTGTCAGAGTTGCTAATATTAATTCCCTGGAAGTTCCTGTGGGAAGTACGCAGAGTCACAGAGAGGGAGTGTAAGCCTGGCACTAGATCTTGCTTCTGAGTCTAAGTAGGCGCGAAGAGACTCCCAAGAGATCAGAATACACGTTAACAGGAAGCCGGACTTGGAAGTGGAGCTGGGACTCGAACCCAAGCCCCCTGATACAGGACGCAGGTGTCCCAAGCGAGCTCTTAACATTTGCCGCAGCAAGCGCCTGCCCCAAGAATTCACTTTTTAATAAGTTCTCAGGGGAGCCTGATACTGTTGGGAGTACGCTGCAAGAACTGCAGGCCTAGTGTAGACAGCATCAGGTCCCTCACCGATGGCTAATCTGAACGGAACTTGCCTGCAGATCTACTGATCAACAGCAGGTCTAGAGAGGACAAAGGTAGTTTCGCCAGGTGCCCCCCACTCCACATGAGCATGCGTTGTTACCTTTGTTCATTTCCGTGTGTGGTGTGTTCTGGTCAGAAGGCTGTCATCAGAGGCAGGAGTACGGGCTGTTTAGGTGTGTGAGACAGCATGGGGTCAGGGGAGAAGCCAGGTGCATGTGCGGGTAGGCAGGTCCTTGGCAGGCTTCTAAACTCACCTTTGTCCGCAGTGCCTCTCCGGGAGCTCCGACGGGACGATTCGCCTGTGGTCCCTCGGCCAGCAGAGATGCATCGCCACGTACCGAGTCCACGATGAAGGCGTCTGGGCCCTGCAGGTCAACGATGCCTTCACACACGTGTATTCTGGGGGAAGGGACAGGAAGATTTACTGTACGGACCTGAGAAACCCTGACATTCGCGTGCTAATTTGTGAAGAAAAAGCACCAGTTCTCAAGGTGGGTCATCGTGTCATCATCTTAGCTGTGCTATTAACATTGTCACGGGTGTTAGCCAGACACAAGCTGTGTGGAAGCCTGTGTCCCCCAGGGGAGTCTCACAGAGCGGCTCATCTCACTGCAGGTGTAGCTTGGCGGGATAAGGAAGAGTGTCAGTCCCGGGCACTTGAGGTTCAGTGCTGGGCGGCTTTGGGTTTTGCTTGTGTTTGTTGGAAACAGGTTTGTAAGTGTCTTGCAGCGGTGATTGGAACGACTCAGGCCCCTGAGAGGTGCACAGCTCTCCCCTTGGGGAATCGTCCTGAGACTGTCTCTCACTTGGGCCTGCGCTTGCTTGACTTTGCCAACCTGGCCTTAGGAAGAGGAATACGAGAAGCTAAGGTTGTCTGTGAGCAGACAGCAAAACGCAGGGAGATCTGAGAAATACGCAAGTATTTCAGAAAGTTCATGGAACAATGCAATTACAAGATAGTTTATTTTGGTGCAGAAAAGTTGTATGATTTTTGCAGAATATTTTGGTAATGTGTATTTTCCGTGAACTTTTTGAAGTCCCCTCCATGTCCCTGGTCTCCGGAGTGAGGAGGTGGAAGAGTTCTGGTGATCAGAGTCTGCAGTGATAAGGATCTTCGAGGAAGTCTTTACAAGACTCGTGCTAAAAGTGAAGCCAAACTAAAAACTGGCCACTCGCCATGACAAGATGCTCCACCTCACTGATAATCACAGAACAGCACGTTAAAACAGTAGGCAGGGGCTGGTGTCATGGCATAGTGGGTTAAGCTTCCACCTGCAACGCCAACGTTCTGTGTGGGTGCCAGTTTGAGTCCCAGCTGCCTCACTTCTGATCCAGCTCCCTGCTAATGCACCTGGGAAAGCATTAGAGGATAGCCCAAGTGCTTAGGCCCCTGTATCCATACCCACGTGGGAGACCCAGAAGTTGTTCCTGGGCTGGCCCAGCCCCAGCTGTTGCAGCCATTTGGAGAGTCGAAGAGCTCTCTCACTTTCTCTCACCCACCCCCACCCCCACCTCCAGTAACTCTGCCTTTCAAATAAATAAATCTTAAAAAAAAAAAAAGCTTGCGGCGCCGGCACACCGGGTTCTAGTCCCGGTTGGGGCGCCGGATTCTGTCCCGGTTGCCCCTCTGCCAGGCCAGCTCTCTGCTGTGGCCCGGGAGTGCAGTGGAGGATGGCCCAAGTACTTGGGCCCTGCACCCCATGGGAGACCAGGAGAAGCACCTGGCTCCTGCCATCGGATCAGCGCGGTACGCTGGCTGCAGCGCGCTGGCCGCGGCGGCCATTGGAGGGTGAACCAATGGCAAAGGAAGACCTTTCTCTCTGTCTCTCTCTCTTACTGTCCACTCTGCCTGTCAAAAAAATAAAATAAAATAAAATAAAAGCAACAATAGGAAGTTTCTAAGTTTAAAAAGTAGACATAAAGAGGTCTCTACCCCCTTTTCTAAGAAATGATCTCCAATCAAGGAAAGCAAGAAACAGCTATAAATACTCATCTCCTGTGAGAGTGTGTGACACGTGAAACCCCGGCCTCAGTCAGCAAGGATGGGCCGACAGAGAGTGGAGGTCAAGCAAGACAGCGGAGAGCGCGCTGTGCTCTCCGCCCTCAGCGCTGGCCAGGTGCAGCTCTGTGACGCAGACGGCTTCCTTCGTGGGCCAAACCAGCAGTCCCGCAGAGACACAGGGAGTGGAAGCTGAATTAGCAGTTCTGTGAATTCAGTGTGCAGGCGGCCTCAGGCTGACAGGAGGGACGTGCGTGGAGGACAAAGATTCCGTGTCGTGAGTCCTGCAGCTCCCAGGATCTCCTGGCTGTGGAGAAAAGACTAGGAGCGCTGGGCCCAGACCTCACCATGCGTCACGGGGAACGTCAGTTTAAACGGCTAGCTAAGAATCCAGTCCTGTTCCCACCATTCGAGCCTGCAGTTGCCTGGTGAGGAGGAAAACTGGGTTAATGTAGAGTGATCCCATGTGTGCAGTAAACATGTTGTATGTACAGTACTTTAAATATACAGAAGGTAAAAAAAAAGAAATAAACCAGCTCTACACTAGCCTGTTCCCACGTGGGACACTTTTCATGTTTGCTGTGTAGTTACGCATTTAGTATGTTTTTACTACGAACATTTCCAAAGAAAACAGAAGTGTGTTTTCTTTTATTAAGAAAGAACAAAAACTGGGGTGGCAAAAACAATAAATTACAGGAAGTCTCCCATCCTTTTGACTGTATCCATTAAGGCCCCTCAAACAAGCCACACTTAAAACTTTGAGCTGCTGATTTTGGGGAGAATCACGTCGATTACACTTTGATGGGACTGGGAATTCCTTTAGCAGAGAGACTCTCCTGTCCTTCGGGGCAGCCCTGGCAGTCAGCACACAGTTGGTGAATGAAGGGCTGGCTACCGGATGCTGCCTGGCCACGCCTGGCTGTTCGGAGATGCCCGTCCCCAGAGCCATGCGCTGTGCTTTGCTTTCAGATGGAGCTCGATAGGTCAGCCGACCCCGCCCCTGCCATCTGGGTGGCGACAACTAAGTCTACAGTGAACAAGTGGGTGAGTGAGCCTCTCAGTACCTGTATGGTGAGTCGTGCTGCTGCCAGGCACCGGGAGCAAGTGCCCAGCAGGCTTCTGAGCAGTGGCCAAAACCTGACAGTCCCTGGGAGGGAGCTATGAGCCTACTAAACTTATGATGCAATCACCAGTCTCCACTTCAGGGGCCGGGATGCACGCCTGGTGTGCTTCCCTGGGGCACTGTTGCCGCAGGAAATAGCGGGAGTGGGAGAGCCCTTCAGGACTCCTGCCTCTCCTAACCCTACGGGGAGGGGGAAGACTGGGCTCCCGGGTTCCGTTCCCTTTTCTTCATAGCGTGAACACCAGGGACAGAAATCGCGGATAAAGAGGGAACCTATGCAAAGCACCATTAATTTTTATCTCAGTGAAAGAAGATTTGAGTTTTCTTGTTTGCCTGATTCTTTCTGGATAATAAAGGAGGAACTGCTTGTGTTTATCCCTGTTTACAAGCAGGTTGACTGCTCTCTAAATCGTAGTAAATAATTATGCTGCGACTGAATGATTTTTGGTTGCTACAGTAGTTGTAAGTTTTCTTGTTTGTCTTTTCTTTAACTTTATATTTCCTGCCCCTTTAAGCAAGCTGGCAAAACTTGAAGAGCAAAACCAACTAAATAACAAATTTTGTTCCTTTAGACGTTGAAAGGAATCCATAATTTCAGAGCATCAGGAGATTACGACAATGACTGCACAAACCCTATAACGCCCCTTTGCACGCAGCCTGACCAGGTTATTAAAGGTAAGGAAATTAGAAGTAGTGTACTTTGATTGGAGTTTATTGTTACTAACAGAACAACAGGAATGAAGATTTCTTTTAATATAATTTAGATGTAAACTAAAGGCTAATCATGTATTTATTTTAGTACAAGAAAAAAGTTATTTTAAAATATTTAGTGACTTTAGGTGCTTGGGCACTTTAAAATGGGCTTTCTTGAGTTAGGTTTTTTGTCTTGTTTTTTGCCCAGTGTCAGAATAGCCATGGTAAAGCCAACAGCGACTTTATAGAAGGTCTTCATGTTGTTTTTTGGCATAGCCAGGAAAGGACAGATGTGGTCTTTAAGTTCTACACGCTACAGCTGGTTGTGGCAAAAAAACAAAACAAAAAGCCAGGCTGTGTTTGATATCCTAGCTTGGGATTAGAATCTTGCATCCACCTTCCTCCCTAGTTGAGGTGTCTGTGTAGGCATCATTAGCATAGAATCCATTCAGGAGCCTGCAAAAAGAAGGAAGAGGAAAGCGAAAGTGACGCGCCTTGGGTTAGTTGTGCAGTCTTCGGGTTTTCCCTTCTGACGGGTGTGATCCTGTGCAGGCCAGGTAGCACACCATGACTTTAAATGCAGAAGGATCATTGTGCTAATTGTGTTTTTATTTTTCCTGTAGGGGGTGCCAGTATTATTCAGTGCCACATTCTTAATGATAAGAGACATATATTAACCAAAGATACAAATAATAATGTGGCATACTGGGATGTATTGAAGGTGAGTGCCTTTTTAATTAGGGCATGTTCTTTGTTTTTCATTTTGTACTATGATAATGAAGATAATAGATAAAGATTTAATTGTCATATCTTATTTTGGTAATACTTTATTATGTGAATGTTAGATAGAGCCACAGACTTTTTTTTTTATTTAAAGGTCTATTTAGTTAATTATTTGAAAGGTAGGGTGACAGGGAGAGAGAGAGAGAGAGAGAGAGAGAGAGAGATGCATTTTTCTGGTTCACTCTCCAAATGTCTATAGCAGCTGAGGCTAGGCCAGGGCAAAGCCAAGAGTCAGGAACTCCACCCAGATCTCCCAGGTGGGTGGTGGGAACCCAAGTACCTGGACCATCCTCTCTCGCCTCCCAGGCATGTTAACAGGGCGCTGGATGGAAAGCGGGTACGGGCCTTGATCCCAGGCACCCCAGTTCAGTCTGCAGCTAGCCCGGCATCACAGTGCCCACCCCACAGCTCATCATTTTAATCACCTAAATTGTTTAAATAAAATCTTTTCTCTGGTTATTCTATTACAAACTCTTATAGTCTGCCTTACCTTAACTACGTCAGAATGTCTCACGCTTTCAGCAGTGGTATTTATGAAGCCTGGGTAGTTCCTTGGCCGTGGGGAGTGGGACAGTTGTCCTGTGCACTGCAGCCACTGAGCAGCATCCCCAGCCCCTTCCCACTCGGTGCTGGTGACAGGTGCTTCCTTCCCTCCACGCTGTGACATCCAGGCATCGCCAGATGTTTGCAGGGAAGAAGGACAAAGAAGGGCACAAAATCATTGAGAACCACTAGAGTAGGAGTATTGGAGTCTTGGATTTCCAGCGACCACTGTAAGCACTATTTATAGCTCTCGTTGTTATGAGGATGGTTCTCTGGCACAGTTGGGATGTGTTAAGCTATTCAATCAACCATATTCAAAAAAGCACTGAAGAAACTCTAAGCAGATTGAAGTTAGTTTGCTTTTATAAATTTTTTTTTTGACAGGCAGAGTTAGAGAGAGAGACAGAGAGAAAGGTCTTCCTTTTCTGTTGGTTCACCCCCTAAATGGCCGCTATGGCCAGTGCGCTGCGCCAATCTGAAGCCAGGATCTGGGTGCTTCCTCCTGGTCTCCCATGTGGGTACAGGGCCCAAGTACTTGGGCCATCCTCCACTGCCTTTCCGGGCCACAGGTCTGCTTTTATAATTTTGATAAATGTCCCTTTTTAGTGTAGTTATTGGTTATCCATTTGTCCAAATATTTCCTGGACTGAGTGACTGTCATGAGGATCATGACTGATGGCAAAGTCTGTAGCATGGAGCCTTCTGGTAGGAGGGAGAAGAACAGAATGTGAGAGCAGATCACAGGATGGCGCATGGCCAAGGGTGGTTCCTTAACTTGGGGAGTCAGGAGAGCCGCATGGTGGAGACATCAGTGAGCCAGGGCATGCAGGCGTCCAGCGGGTGGGCATTTCAGGAAGGAGTGAATGATGAAGGCCCAGAAGAGCGAAGGGGTACGTTTAATTAGTCCACGGTGAGCGGTTTTGTGTTTGGAGATGAGAGTAATGTCAGGGAGCTGCGGGGGTATCAGGATGGAACATGCCTTTTAGGTCATTTCCCAAAGAGTGTGATGTTGCAGGACCCCGCCTTGGCCTTTCTTGGGTACTTCCTGAAGAATCTTCGATAATGTTAGAGCAGGAGAAGCCTGTGGTCAGTGCAGTCGTAGTGTTGTGTGATGAGAAAGTGGAAGCTGGGTGACCGTGGTCTTAAGCATAATAATGTGAGGATCTAGAGAAAGGAGCAGACGTTGGGCATATTACAAATGAAGAACTGAGAAGACCCTGTGTTGTCGTTACGCTCCTGGTTATAAGGAAGAGAAATTCACTTAAGTTGACTTCATGATCTACAGAGTAAATTAAGCAAGTCTCTTACTGGGGAAAAGAGAGCTGTCTCTGACTAGGAACCTTGGCCTGACCCCACCACTTTTCCTCCCTGGGCCACAGCTGTGTGGAAATCCATTAGGAGACAGGTGCTTAGTGAGTTTGGTTTCATGGCAGAACCCCCTAGTTGTTGTGTGGGAAGTTTAATTGTAGTAGGTTTAATTGTAGTAGTAGTGTTGGTGTCATGGGAAGTGTCAGGAGTCTCCAAGGGACGTATATAGGCTGAGAAGAGAAGAAAGCAGTTGTTACTCCTCATGGATGTGGGACAAAGAGGAAGCCACAGAGGTCTGAAAAAGGAGGCTGGCATTGTGGCACAGTGGTTAAGCCATGGCTTGGGACACTGGCATCCCATCGTAGACTACTGGTTCAAGTCCTGGCTGCTCTGCTTCTGATCCAGCTCCCTCTAATGCAGCTGGGAAAGTAGCGGAAGATGGTCCAAGTACTTGGGCCCTTCCCACACGTGTGGGAGTTCCAGCTGGAGTTCCTGGCCTCAGGCTTCGCCCTGGCTCAGCCCCTGCCATTGCAACCGGATGGGGAGTGAACCAGCGGGGAGAACTCAGTCTCTCTCTCTCTTTCCCTTCTCTCTGTCACTCTGCTTTTCAAATAAGTAAAATGTTCTTTTTTAAATTGATAGGGTGGTAACAGAACAAAGGCTGATGGTAGCTCCAGAACTAATTGAGTGTTTTAGAAAGGAGCTGGTAGTTAGTGACATCAGCCTGCTGCACTCGTTTAGGACATGGATGGACTGCACATGTGGATCTTACAGTGAAGAGAGCAGGCTTCTGGAAAGTTCTGTGGGCAACAGTCAGATGGAGTGGGTTGAGTGGCAGTTAGGCAGTGAAGGAATGGAGATTTTGAGTGGAGATGATCTGTGAAGAAATTTGACTTTATAGGGGCAGGAGAAGATCTAGGGATAAGATGGCCAAGGGGGGTTTGGTTTTGGTTTGGTATGGTTTTGGTGTTTGAATACTTTTTTTAAAAAATTATTATTTATTTGAGAGGCACTTAGAAAAATAGACTTCCATCTTCTGGTTCATTTCCCAAATGCCATACAGCTGCCAGGTCAAAGCCAGGAGCTGGAACTCAGTGTGGCTCTCTCACGGGCGGCAGGGACTCAGCTGCTTGGGGCATCGCCTGCTGCCTCCCAGAGCGCATTGGCAGGAAGCTGCACTCAGAGCAGAGCTGGAACTTGATTTGGGGTGTGGGTATTCCTAGAGCATCCTAACCACTGCTCAGATTGACCTCCCCTGAATATTTCTAAGATGGAAAAAATGCGAGCATATTTCACTGCTTTTAGCTGGAAGCCAGCAGACACGTGAGAGGGTACATCATGGTGCAGGGTTCCGAGAAAGGACAGCTTTTTCTCTGGGGCCAGGAAGACTGGTAGGAGAAGGTGAAGGGGATGCCGACAAGGCTGCTCTCACTTTTTTGAGGAGTCAGAGTCGTGTGCTAGGGGCATGGCACGGGGGACAAAGTGGAAGGCAGGGGGAGAGGAGACACTTGACAGATGTGTGGAGGACAGCCTTGGAAACAGAAGAAGTCCCAGGCGACTTAACGATCCAGTCGAAGGCTAAGAGTATGTAGTTACAGTGGGTGAAGAGAGCAACGTGTCTGTTGTCATCTGTGTGGATGTGGATGTTGACATTGTCTGGGAGGAAAGCAAGAACCTGAGATGGACCACTGGCCGCTTAGCAGGACTCAGACCTCTGCTACATGAAGAGAGTGAGTGCAGAGACACCAGATGGCAGGAAGGAGGGTGTCCTGCAGCTAAATGACGTGGACCTCAAAAAACAGGAGTGTTTGGGTTTTATTTAAAGGTTTACTTATTTGAGAGGCAGAGTTGCAGGCAGAGAGAGAGGTCCTCCATCCTCTGGTTCACTCCCAAATGGCTGCAACAACCCAGACTCGGCCGATCCAAAGCTGGGAGCCAGGAGCTTCCTCCAGGTCTCCCACGTAGGTACAGGAGCCCAAGCACTTGAGCCTTCCTCCACTGCTCTCCCAGACCATCAACAGAGAGCTGGATTGGAAGAGGATCAGCTGGGGCATGAACTGGTACCCATATGGGATGCCAGCACCACAGACAGAGGCTTAGCCTGCTACGCCACAGCACCAGCCCCAGGTAGGAGTTTTTATGGGAACAGAGAATAATGGTCTCCATGTGGCACTGGGGAGGGAATAAAGAGTCTCCCTTTGAGCAGATGACTGGGATGGGCCTCGTGGCACGGCAGGTTAGGCTGCTGCAGCAATGCCCGCATCCCGTGTCAGAGTGCCTGGGCGAGTCTGTCCGCTCTGCCCTTCCAGTCCAGCTTCTGACCGGTGCACCTGGGACACAGTGCCACCCACGGGAGAGGCGTGGCTGGAGTTCTGGGCCCCCAGCTTCAGTGAGTGCCGGCCCTGGCTGTTGCAGGCATTTGAGGAGTGAACCCGCAGATGGAAGATCTCTCTCCCTCTCTGTCACTTTGCCTTTCTAATAAATAAATCTTATGTGGGGAAAAAAAAAAGGCTGATGAAATGAGCTGAGGAAGAGCTAGCTGTTAAAATGAGGCTGTAGGGGACCAGCGCATAGCCGGTAAAGTCCCAGCTGCAGTGCCGGCATCCCATATGGGCGCTGGTTCGAGACCTGGCTGCTCCACTTCTGATCCAGCTCTCTGCTATGGTCTTGGAAAGCAGTGGAAGATGGCCCAAGTGCACCCTGCACTTGTGTGGGAGACCCAAAAGAAGCTCCTGGCTCCTGGCTTCAGATTGGCCCAGCGCTGGCCATTGTGGCCACTTGAGGACTGAACCAGTGGATAGAAGACCTCTCTCTCTCTCTCTGTGCCTTTGCTTCCGCCTCTTTGTAACTCTGCCTTTCAAATAAATAAATGAATCTTAAAAAAAAAAAAGATGAGGCGAGCCGGCGCCGTGGCTCAATAGGCTAATCCTCCACCTTGCGGCGCCGGCACACCGGGTTCTAGTCCCGGTTGGGGCGCCGGATTCTGTCCCGGTTGCCCCTCTTCCAGGCCAGCTCTCTGCTATGGCCAGGGAGTGCAGTGGAGGATGGCCCAGGTGCTTGGGCCCTGCACCCCATGGGAGACCAGGAAAAGCACCTGGCTCCTGGCTCCTGCCAGGATCAGCGCGGTGCGCCGGCTGCAGCGGCGGCCATTGGAGGGTGAACCAACGGCAAAGGAAGACCTTTCTCTCTCTGTCTCTCTCTCTCACTGTCCACTCTGCCTGTCGGAGAAAAAAAAAAGAAAAAAAAATAAAAAAAAAGATGAGGCTATAGTGGGGCATTGTGCATTACATGGTGTGGTTCAGAGTTGAAGTGTGCGGTGCGTGGAAATACCACATGGTGCCGGAGGAAGTTCAGGACATGCTCTGGGAGGGCACACACACTTAGGAAACGAGAGAAGGAATGAGGAAGAATTATAATGGTCAGGAGAAAACGTAGAAAATGAGAAAACTAGATATTTCTGCCTGTTTCCAACCATTATCTGAGGGTAACCTCTCACTTCTCTTAAAGTAAGAAGTTAGTAACTTATTTGCTGCTTGGAGTTTTGGGTTGTTTTTGTTTTTTGCATACTTTAGAGTTTCATTTGACATTGCTTCCAGATGAGTATGGTGGCATGTTAAATCAGATCAGGAAAATTAAATAATGAGAATTTTTTTTTTAATTTGAAATTTTAGTACTAGCAGATAGTTATTTAAAGACAGATGTTTTGGGTCGGTATTGGGGTGTAGCAGGTTAAGTCTCCGCCTGCAGTGCTGACATACCATATGGTTACTGGTTCAAGACGCGGCTGCTCCACTTCCAGTCCAGCTCCCTGCTAGCATGCCTGGGAAAGCAGCAGAGGACAGCCCAAGTCCTTGGGCCCCACACCTGTGTGGGAGATCTGAAAGAAGCTCCAGGATCCTGCCTTCAGCCTGGCCCAGACCAATTCTTCTGGCTATTTGGGGATTGAACCAGTGGATGGAAGATATTCTCTCTCTCTCTCTCTCTCTCTCTCTCTTTCTCTCTGTCTTCTCTCTAACTCTGTCTTTCAAATAGATAAAAAATAAATCTAAAAAACAAGGCAGATGGTTTAAATTAAAAAAAAAAGAATGATGTGCCACATTCCTTTTGAAACGTATTTTAGACTCTATTCATTTAGACAAATGTAAAAATGTGTGAAAATTTTGAATTGCAGAACCAGATCAGTTCACCACTTAGTATTGACCACTGTGCTTTCTCCTTGATGTATAGGCATGTAAGGTTGAAGATCTTGGCAAAGTGGATTTTGAAGATGAAATTAAGAAAAGATTTAAAATGGTCTATGTGCCAAATTGGTTCTCGGTAGACTTGAAAACAGGGGTAAGTTATCCATCAGCGTTTGTGTGAATGTGGAGGTGTGAAAGAAAACTCTGTTCCTGTTAATACTTAGAGGACGCGGCTGACACCTCAGTAAGCTACGCTGTAGCTGCTTTGCGTCACACAAAACACACTTGGTTGCAGCATCTGTGGCCTAGCACTTCAGTCAAGTAAAGGTTTAGGGACTCACTGGGAGAGCGGGTTGCCAGGGAATGTGGCTGCTAATGGTTTCTCTTGCGCCAGATGTTGACGATCACCCTGGATGAGAGTGACTGCTTTGCTGCCTGGGTTTCTGCAAAAGATGCTGGCTTCAGCAGCCCTGACGGGTCAGACCCAAAACGTGAGTCTGAGCGTCCTTCCCGCTCCTCCCCTTCTGAGAGGGAAGCTCGGTCTGTGTTGTTTTTAGTTGTTTAGTTTTTAGTCGTGAGAATCCCTTCTCTTCCACCTGTGCGATCCCTGGTCACATTCCTCTAAGAATGTAGCATGTAGACATACCTGATGTGTACAAATACAGTCTTAGTGGCTTTCTGTGGAAATACCTCTTTAAAGATGATGTGATTCTTGGTTTTTGTTTTGCTTTTTTTTAAATATGTATTTATTTGGAAGACAGAGTTATATATAGAGAGAGATCTTTTATCTGCTGATTTACTCCCCAAATGGCCTCCAGGGCTAGGCCAGGTGGAAGCCAGGAGCCAGGAGCTTCATCCAGGTCTCCCATGTGGGTGCAGGGACCCAGGGACGTGGGCCATCTCCTGCTGTTTTCCCAGGCATATTAGCAGGGAACTGGGCTGGGCGCAGAGCAGCCAGGACTCAGCTGGCGCCTGTATGGGATACCAGCATGGCAGGCGGTGGCTTAGCCCGTTATGCCACAATGCCGGCACCTTTTGGTTTGAAGGAATGGTGGGACTCACTTTGTGGGTTAAACCAAGCTTACAGTGCAGGTGTCCCATAGCGGAGTGGGTTAAGGATTTAACACCAGAATACTTTAGTTTTATTTATAATTTTTATTTAAAACTATGTTTTCCATTTTTTTCCTAATCAACTTCTTTCGCAGTGAACTTAGGAGGCCTTTTACTCCAAGCACTCCTAGAATATTGGCCTAGAACTCATGTGAATCCAATGGATGAAGAAGAAAATGAAGTCAACCACGGTCAGTGTTTTTCTGTTCACATAATTAATTAATTAAAAATTAGAACTAAAATATACTTAAATTGTTCGCTAACGTGTGACATAATATGTATGTATGACATGTCCATTTCATCGTCCTCCCTTCCACATCTGCAAGTAAGAGCATCCATAGCATCTCACCTGATTCTGAGACTGCAAGAGAGCAGACAAAATAAACCCCCCACACGCGCACGCGCACGCGCACAGCCTTTGTCTTAAAACTGGGCACCTCAGCAGGCCTGCTCCAGATGTATCCCTTAGAGTGTCTGTGGCTGTCTGGGTGTGCCCCACAGCTAGGTAGTCAGGTGCACCAGAAAGCCAGGATTGCTGTGGCGTGGCCATACTGCAGTCGGTCTGAAATAGTGGCCTTACCTAGTCCGGTGATCTCCCTGCTTCCAGTGTCAGGTATTTCCAAGAGATCGAATCCCATCTCACAAGTGTCGGGTCAATGAGTGAAAGTGTCAGAGCCGAGTGTCACTGAGGACACTGGGAAGGTGCGTGTGTGCCCCAGGCAGCGCAGTCACGTTCTCTGGGCCCCAGAGGACAGGATTGGAGTATGTGTGTCTGAAGGAGGGGGAAGAAGGGATTCAGAGCTCCACATGTCCCTGGTCACCTAAAGCCAGTGGAGTCGCTGCACCCACCTCGGGGCCTCCCCTGCTGACCACCAGGAGTGAGCTGCCGTGGCGAGTAGCTCCTGGCAGGGGCGTGGTTCTGGCTGACAGAGTCATCCCTAGCGGTTGTGGACTGGACTCTCTCCTGATGACTTCCTGAAAACAAGTCCCCTGATGTCCCTGGCCGAGATGGGGCACCGAGCTTTTTCCTGCTGGTTTTCCTTTTGTATCGCCTGGCTCACTTCCCTCCCTGAGAGAATTGTACAGAGGACTGTGACCCAGAGAAACGGATGGAAGGGCCTCCACACAGGGTCAAGAGAAGCAGGTTCTGGTGTGGGCTGTGCTGCTTATCGGTTGTGTAGCTGGAGGCAGTTCATTTCCGGTAAGGCAGGATGCCGTCAGAGGCCCAAAATCAATAATCAGGGCTCGGTAATCAAAAAACAGTGGTACAGTGATGCCCCTTGGATCCAGGCTGTGAGTGGAGAGAGTGAGGAGGAAGTCACGAGACCCTGCATCCCTGTCCAGAGCCCAAGTCAGTGCATGCGCCACCTGTCTGGTGGTCTGCACCTGCGCCCTGCTCAGTGGGTGCTCCGGAGGTGGCTTGTGCGTGATGGGCAGCTGGTGTAGTCAGAGCCCCTAGCAAGTTGCAGGCGAGATACTGACGACCACTGGGCGTGGACCCTGTTCTTCAGGGGCTGCTGTTCTGGTAGGGCAGAAAGCACCTGGAGATGAGAGGGAAGTGTTGGCTGCTGTGTGAGAAGGTCCAGAGGAGCTGTTGGATTTCGGGATTGAAATTGCTTCCGGCCGGCGCCGCGGCTCACTAGGCTAATCCTCCGCCTATGGCGCCAGCACACCGGGTTCTAGTCCCAGTCGGGGCTCCGGATTCTGTCCTGGTTGCCCCTCTTCCAGGCCAGCTCTCTGCTGTGGCCCGGGAGTGCAGTGGAGGATGGCCCAAGTGCTTGAACGCCCTGCACCCCATGGGCCATCAGATCAGTGCGGTGCGCCGGCCGCAGCGCGCCAGCCGCGGCGGCCATTGGAGGGTGAACCAACGCCAAAAAGAAAGACCTTTCTCTCTGTCTCTCTCTCACTGTCCACTCTGCCTGTCAAAAAAAAAAAAAAAAAAAAAAAAAGAAATTGCTTCCGCCTTGGTTAGGGAGGACTGCGTGAATGGGTTGAGACTGGAGTCTTGGGTAAGTGCACTTGGGTGAAAAGATGACAAAGCAGAGTAGAAATGAAATCAGAGAACAATAAAAGTGACAGGGCCTCTTTGAGAATTTTGTTTTTCACTAAGACCTGTGTTACGAGTTGGAGATGCTATAAAAGTTTTTCTGTCCCTCTCAAGAAAGTTTTCTGAGCTGGGTATATGCTACAAAAAAACACTAGATCATCGTGTATGAATAGGCTGTGTTGTGGCTGCAGGAGCTGGTGACGTTTTTGTATCTGAAACGGAAGTCCCTTCTTTTATAAAATCCACCGGTAGACAGTCATTTGTCTCTGGGACACCCCCAAGTTGCCCATTTTTCTCATTTTCAAGAATTTTACTCTTATTTTTTTTTCTTTCCACATTCCTTTCTAACCCTGATGGCCTTCCAGCACCTCGCAGGGTGTGATGTTCAGAGCCTGTGTCTGTAGCGCTAACTCTGGTACTGACTGCACCTGCCTCTCTTCCTAGTCAACGGGGAGCAGGAGAACCGAGTGCAGAAGGGCAACGGCTACTTCCAGGTGCCCCCCCACACGCCCGTCATCTTTGGCGAAGCTGGAGGCCGCACGCTCTTCAGGTATGGGGCAGAGGCCGGTGGCCCTGCCGGAGAAAGCACCCCGGTTGCCATGGAGGACTGCCCCAGAAGGGCGTTGGAGGTGGACTGGGATGCGCTCCCAGGCCTGGTGGGGCCCTGGGAGTTTCCAGTGCGGGTCAGAGGTCAGTGGCTGAGGCTGGTGGAGCACTCTCTGCAGAGGAGCAGCCCCCGCGTTCTGTGAGGTGATGCCCCGTCTCTAGGCAGCTCCCGGGTGGCTTCTGCAGGAAACTCACCTCCTCTCGCTTTGCCGGGGTCAGGAGCGGCTGACAGCTCCGGAAGTCCCCGAGCAGCTTCAGAGCGTCCCAGTGGGGCACCTCCCGCAGGCGGGATGGGAACTGTTGCGGCCGCACTGGCCCCATGGGTGGTGGCCAGCAGCCCTTGCTAGGGGCCACAGGGAAGGCCTGACCCGGCTCGCCTCCAGGTGGCCAGCAAGGCCCTTGTCTTCCGTAGGTGCCAGAGGAAGAAAAAGGCTTTTCTTGCTCTTGAGCATAGATTTGCTTCATTTATGGTTTCCTGAGAGTGCTAGCAGGCCCGCGCTGGTCCCCGCTGCACACGCAGGCCCGCGCTGTGCTCTGCAGCCCCGGCGGGGGACCGCACCTCGGCGCCTGGCGCACCCGCGGGCCCCCGTCGTCACCCCGGGGCTCAGTGCGCAGGCCGCCATGGTTGCCGAGCCAGTCACTGCGCCTGGTTACACAGTGTGTCCCCCACTCTCCGCTGGGGTGCTCTCCAGTGTGCTCTGCCATCCCCTCCCACAGGGGGTGTGGACAGTGGTTTTGTCGTGTGCTGTGTCACTCACTCCCTGCTGTTGTGTGTAGGCTGCTCTGCCGAGACTCCGGGGGCGAGACTGAGTCCATGCTGCTCAATGAGACAGTGCCGCAATGGGTAATTGACATCACTGTGGACGTAAGTGGCCTCCCCGCCCACCTTCCCCTGCTGGGTTTTATTTATTTATTTATTTTTTTCCAAATCATGAAATGAAGAAGTGCTTTAGACAGTGTTATCTTGAACTTTAATAAAAGCTAGACTGCCAAAGTGGAATCCTTCCCTGCCTGCCTGCAGTTCCCAAGTTGCAGAAGTATTGATAATTATTTTTTTTGTTTTTAATTATAAAAATAATACATGCTTTTTCAGTAAAATACTGAGTGAATGCAGTGAAAGTCCTGTCTCTTTCCCAATCACTCCTTCTCACCCCTTCACCCCCTGACCCTCCTCCCAGAGGTAAGAGCTAGGAATGATGAATGCATAGCCTTCAGTACTTTTATCCTTGCACACACAAGCATATATTATTTGTGTGCATATTTTTCTGTGCAGCTCATTTTATTTTGCACAAGATCCTTTATACATACTGTTCTGCAACTTTTTTTTTTCCCATTTAAAGTATATCTTGGATACCTCCTCATGTCTGTGGACATGTGGGTCATTCCCCTTTAGTGATTGCAAAGTGTTCCATTGTATGAATTCCATGCTGTATTTAGTCAGTCCCCTGTTGACACACATTTGGTGGTTTCCAATGTTTTCTGTTACAAACAGTGCTGCAGTGAACATCCTTGTACATGTATCTTTGTGTACTTTTTAGGATAAATTCCTAGAAGTGGAATTGCTGGATCAAAGGCTACGCGCATTTTCACTTTTGATAGATTTGTCAAATTGCCCTCCACAGACATGGTAGAGTTTACACGCTCACCAGCGGTGTGTGAGTGGCCCTTTCCCCACACCCACACCACCGCGGGACACTGCTAACCTCTCTGAGAGATAGGCAGATGTTTGGCGTTGCTTCCACGTGGATTTCTGGGTCCGTTCCAAGTGAGACGGAGTGTCTTTTCACAGCGGCCGTGATACCTCTTCTGTGAAGTGCCTGCTCCCATTCCATACCCATTTTCCTTTGAGATCTTTTGTCTTTCCTAATGATTTGTAGGAATCCTCTGTATTGAATATTAACCCTTTGACTGTTACCTCCATCTTTCAGTTGAATTTTTACTTTGCTCATGGTGTCTCTGGCCAGGTGAAAAGCTGTGATTTTTTTTTTTTCCCCCTAGTCAAATTGAGCCTTCCTGGCTCTGAGCTGCGTGACTTGTGTAGGTATTTCCACTCCACAAAGTAGCACAAGTGTTCTCTCCTCTCTTCTCTTCGAGTACCTTTGTGATAATGTTTATGTCCAGATCTTTATTCTTTGATATGAGGTATGATTCTGCTTTCCAGAAGGAGTAGCCAGTGTGGCAGCACAGCTAATTAAATTATCTATCCTTTTTTCTACTGATCTGAAGTGCAGTCTTTTGTTACGTACTAAATTTCTATACACAAGGGTCCGTTTCTAGACTCCCTTATGTACTGTTGACCTGTTTTGTATATTCCTAAAGCCATATGAAAAGAGATTTAATCTCCAGAACCTTTAGGAAGTGTGTTTTCTGTCCCAAATAATATCTCCAAGAACACAGAGCCAGTGTGACAGCTGGTGGACACTGCATGGTCTTCTCCATGTCTGAGCTCCCTGGAAAGCACTCCTCCCATCAGGACACACTGGCAACTCCAGGCCTCGGGCTTCTGCCTGAGAGGAGACAGGTGCACAGGGTACACCAGGGAGGCTCGGAGAGGATCATGACCCTGAGAAAAGATGACCCCGATAATGTTTTCATCTAAGTATGCGGTGGCCGCTAGGCTGTTGGCTGAAGTTTCCCTGCTTTCTTAAAACCTCCGACCTTGCTCTGATGGCAGAGGGAAAAGAGGAGAGGGCCTGCTTGGCCGTGGCGTTGGCCGATGGGCCTCACCCCTGCGGAGCGCCTGGCTTTGCTCAGGGTCAGTTTGTGGGTTTCTCTCACGACACCTGAGTTTCCGTTTGGGACTTTAGGTATCAGCCCATGTTTTACACTGTTGAGAGTTTGGTTTGTGTGGCTTAAAAAAATTAAAGTTATTTTTTTCTTCACTTTAGTACCTTGTACTGTTACTTAAGAGCCATACTATAATTTTATATTACCACTGAAATGACATGTAGTTTACGTATCTTTTGTTTCAAAACTCAATGTCATACTTTTCTGATAAATTTTCTCCAAGGCTGACTTAGATGTATTAGCTTACTTCTAAATTTCATGAAAAACCACTTTTAGTTAAAAGTAATTATTACTTGAAAATCATGTTTTCCTATTGACAGCATTTTATCAGCTAATAGAAACTGTTATGCTTTTTTTAACTTTTAATATTTCAGAAAAATATGCCCAAATTCAACAAAATTCCTTTCTACCTCCAACCTCATGCATCTTCAGGAGCAAAAACCTTAAAAAAGTAAGTTCCTGTGATTTCACTTGGTCCTTTATGTAGTTAATTACTGATGAGCGTTGATTTCCCTATGGTTACTTTTATAGCAAAGGAGGGGAGGTGGAAGGCTGACTTTATGACACTGAGGAATCCTCTCTTCCCATAACCCGCAGATCAGGATAAACCTGCATGCCATGACTGCTTTAATGGATACTTAGGGAATAAGGAGAGTGGGGGAAGTGAGTCTGACCAGAGCTTTTCAGAAAGGCTTTTTGAAGGACTTGGGGTTTGTGCTGGACATGAGCGAATGGGTAGAACTTCAGAAGATGGCTACTCCAGGGGACGTGGTGTGGGCGGGGACGTGAGGACTGTGTACCTGCAGCGTGGGAGGGAGGGGAGCCGGCAAGGCAGTGAGTTTTCTTCACACTGCGCTGAGCGCCAGGCCGTAGAACGTGCGGTGCCGAAACACCAGGAATTTTGGAGCCCAAGGAGGGGCTCAAGGCAGGGAGACCAGGAGAAGAATGTTAGTAGCCGGAGAATGGGGTGCTGAAGACTATGAATGTCCTAGCGAGTAAAAGCAGCAAGATTTTTAAAAGCAGTTTTGTTTTGGAGCTTTCCAAATGTATTACCAAGAAAACTGGATAGTGAACACCCATTGATCCTACAAGACCGCCTTAGCGATCGCCACACCTGGCCACTGTCCCTCTGCCTCCCTTCCTACCCACCTCCGTCCACACAAGCAGACACTGAATGATTTCAAAGTGAGTCCTAAACATCACCTCAGCTAGAATGGGCCTGAAATTCGAGATGGCTGTTTGACAGTTACTGACGTCAGAGGAGCCGATGGGTCTAGTCTAGAACACAAGGGGTTTGAGGTGTCTGTGGAACATCAGCTGGGACGTGTCGTCAGCTGTTGGATTTGTGGGCAGAGCAGAAGGTTGAGGCTCGTGGGCTGGACCGTGGGAAGGCAGAGAGCCAGGAGCCCTGGGTCCTGCTGGGCACCGCGGGCTGCCTTGCCTTCCAGCGTTTTTTTGTCCATGCTCCGGGAAAGTGTGTAAGGGAATAAAACCCAGGAGGCTGTTCTGTGTGTGCGTGTAACCCTGAAGACGTGCATCTCGTCTCATTGAGATGCATGTAGTCTGTGCCTTAGGGAAGGTACCAGAGAAAATCTGCCATTCTAAACAGGGATCAAGGCAGTGACTAACAGTGTGTTCTATGTTTCTGTCTACCCGGCCTTTATAAACGAAGTGCCAGCACCAAAGAAAAACAGTATTGGACGAGCAGTTGTCTGGTTGAGTCCACTGGTGTCACGGTGTGCCATTGCTTTTTACAGAGATAGGCTGTCTGCTAGTGACATGCTCCAAGTCCGGAAAGTCATGGAACATGTGTATGAGAAAATCATCAACTTGGACAATGAGTCTCAAACCACTAGCTCTTCTAATAACGAAAAACCAGGAGAACAGGAGAAAGAGGAGGACATTGCTGTGTTGGCAGAGGAGAAAATCGAACTTTTATGCCAGGATCAGGTAAGTGGAATTGACCACAGTGCCCAGAAACAAAGAAACCTGTTGTGTGGTGGGAGTTCCCAGATCTGCTGCCTTTAAAGAGGCCCTTGGGAACCAGGGGTCTTTCCCACTGTGCTGTGAGGCCCCTTTAGAGGGGCTCTTTTTTTTTTTTTTTTTTTTAGATTTATTTATTTATTTGAAAGAGTTGCACAGAGAGGAGAGGCAGAGAGAGAGAGAGGTCTTCCATTCGATGGTTCACTCTCCAATTGGCCGCAACGGCTGGAACTGCGCCGATCCGAAGCCAGGAGCCAGGAGGTTCTTCTGGTTCTCCCATGCAGGTGCAGGGGCTCAAGGACTTGGGCCACCTTCTACTGCTTTCCCAGGCCATAGCAGAGAGCTGGATCAGAAGAGGAGCAGCCAGGACTTGAACCGGCGCCCATATGGGATGCCGGCATTGCAGGCCAGGGCGTTAACCCACTGAGCCACAGTGCCGGCCCCTAGAGGGGCTCTTTAGCCCACACGAAAGCCCCTCTTCACTCGTGGGAGGTTTTTCAGGAAGAACCCAGAGATTACACACACTCCTAGATCAGACTGCTGGTGGCCTTGTTTCCTAACAAGGAGACACATGGTCTAGATTTGCAAAACGTGTGCTGGGTTAGACTTGCAGTGGAGACGGCAGAGCTGTTTTAGATCAAGATGCACCCAGGCATTTTCCTGGAGCGGTGGCTGAATGCCAGCCTTGTGTTCCTGGCCTAACCACGAAAGACGCAGCTTTCTGCCCGGTCGCGTGCCTGGGTACCTGGAGGCCAAACACGAAGAGCAGGCTGGGTCACCTGGTGGGAGCACCTCGGCCGGTAGGTAGCAAGAGACTTAGAAGTGTTGTGTCTGTCGTGTGTGTTCAGGTTCTGGATCCGAATATGGACCTTCGAACAGTGAAACACTTCATATGGAAAAGCGGTGGGGACCTCACCCTCCACTACCGTCAGAAGTCCACGTGAAGAGCGGGCCAGCTCCTGGGTATTCATTCGCTACCTTCCTCTCTGGCCCCAAGAGTAGTCCTAGGAGAAGCCCACCAAGCCCCAACGGGAGCAAGACTTCTAACGGCCGACCTGGTACGGACCGAGATTCCCTTTCAGTTGAAGTGACTAATCGAAGTGTAATATAGAAACCAGTCTCCACGTGTAGATTAAGCTGTCCCCAGGGAAGCAGCCTGTCTTGGCGATGGACAGAGAACTGAGCACAGGCCAGTGCAGACTTGGCTTCCTCCTTTTGTTTGAAAGGACCTTGTCTTTGTCTGTTAGCACTTGTTAAGAGACACATCATTGGGCCGCATCTGTTACTGTGTTTCAATCTCAAACCCACATGCTCCATAGCTTTTCTGAGAGTACATTCCATTCATGCAGCACCTTTGAAGGCTTTTTCCAAGTTTGTCATAAAAAACTTATCAAATTGTTTTCACCATTTAAGACAATTATTTTTAATGCGAATTGCTGTTGCACAATTCGAGAGCCAGCCCATTTCGTAATAAATGGTTAATATTGGGCTTCTTTTTAATATTGCATCTCAGATGTGTTCTTGTAGAAAGATCTGCTGCAATTTTAGGTGCTGGGTCAGAGCACTTGGACTGTGGGGTGGGCGCTGCCTTGCTGCGGCAGCCCGGGGGAGGCACCTGTTTCCCTCCCTCCTCCTGCGTGCAGTTGTATTCATGGGTAGAGCCAGCTGAGACTACAGGTTTTCGCCGTGGGCGAGCAGTAGGACACCATCAGAACTTAAGACCATGATGAAACTATAATTTGATTCAAATGCTACCTAAAACGTATGGTGTCAAAGTAGAGGGAGAGCACAGCGAGCTTGAATGTCGTATCCTGGAAGTATACATGTTTGTTTTTCCAAAGTTTTGTATGCAGATTTTTGTTATCTGTATCAGATCTTCTTTTCACTGTTCTTTCTAACAATCTAAAGCTTTCATAGAATCATTTGGATCTTGTACAGAATATAACTTATTGGGGATAAACACTTGGACTTTTGGCAGGAAATTCTCTGGATTCCCCCCAAGTTCTTTGTATTCAGAATAGTTCGATGGTCCTGTACGCAGCCAGAAGCACAAGTGCCTTCGGCGGGCAGTTCACCCCCGTCGCCTCGCCAGCTCCCGGCTCTTCCGGCCTGGGACGGGGTGGGGGGTGCGCAGGTGTTTTCTTTTCTACATCTTCGCAGGGTCCACCGGGGGCAGCTCATGGGCTCAGGCCCACCCCTTACTATTGAGATTCTGATCCGCACAACTGCAGACAGGGTTCCCTCCCCACTGGGCAGCTTCCTTTGGAAAGTGGACAGGTCACTGCCTCCTGCACTTTGAAGATGTGCGCAGTCACGTCGCCAACGAGCTGAAACGGTCTTTCTCCCTTCCTCGAGTCCTTTCTATTTGTTGAATACAGCAGTGTGCTTTTGGTGCACCTTTTTTTTTTAGCAATAGTTGTGAATTCATGGCAAAAAAAAAAGATAAAGATAAAAATTACCAGCCCTCAGTTGCATCTGCACACGGGGCCTTGGTGCGAAAGGCACAGCTGCTCCCAGGCCACTCTGCCCCGTGTGCCGGGCCCAGGGCGGCCGTGCTCCGTCACGGACCTGACCCCCAGCATGACCGTACCTATTCTGTCCCTCCAGTCAAACCGTAATACCATTTCCGGAAAATTTGAGTCTGCCATGCCAAAAGGGTATAAAACCGTATTTCACAGTTGTATAGAATAAAAGCTTTAGTTAAAATATTTCAAAGCAGAGTACATATTTATTTTTTTCACCTGTCACTTTCTTCGTAGCAGATTAGAGAAAGAAACCTCTGGGTTCCTGTGCACCCTGGAAGTCATTAGCCTCGATGCCCTCTTTATCCCCCGCTTTGGGGAGTAGCGGGCTTCAAAGTGAGGGATGAGCCAGAACCTTTGGGCAGGGGCAACTCTGGGTCAGGCTGCCAGCCCAGAGTTAAGGGACGTGAGCCTGGGGTCCCGTGTGTCGCTGCCCCACTGCCTTCACAGCTGCACTGGTAGCCTGACAGGGCTGGCTCTGAAGGAAGTCACGTGCTTGGAACCTCCCAGTGCTGACCTGGGGCCTCCCTCCGCTCAGCTGGTCGGCACCGCAGAGCACGGTCTGCTCCTGCCGGCCTGGCAGAGGCACACGTCACCAACACCAGAGCAGTTTTCAAGGCCACTGGCAAGGGAGTGGCTGGCGTGGGAAGGCGAGGGCCTCCGGCCACCAAGCAGAGCACTGGAGTTGTGAGGGGGTCATTCGTGGGTGGGCCCTCCTTTCCGCAGGGACAGACAGAGCAGGGGACACAACCCAGCCTTAGCTCCCAAAGGCACCAGGGCATGGGAGGACGGCTCTCCCTGAGCTTCGGGAACAGACGGGCTCTTAGGCACTCTCGGCCCCTAACTCCCCTCTGGGTGAGGGTCGTGTGCAAAGACCTAGTCACGTAGACCGGCCTTGAGCTCGCATAGGTCGGTGAGGTCAGTGAATGTAAATCTGCGATGCTGATTCGCCACTGGGGCTGGCTGGATGCCCCCTGCAGTCAGAAGGGGTGGTTGTGTAAGATTGGGCATTGACAGGAGTTGCTGTGGGGACTGGCTTGTAGCCCCCAGGGAAGAGCAACATTGTGACCGAAGACCCACAACAATGGGGGTCTGTGCTGAAGGGCCTGGAGGGTGAGCACACTGTCCCTCCTCCAGTGGGGACAACTGGACAGTGCAAGCAGAATCACGGTGAGCCTAGGAAGTGACTGAGCCAACACCAACACTATCCCCTTCCTCCCTCACCCCATTTTCACACTGGGTTGTGACCAGAGCCTGCCACCTCCTGGGCAGGCACGGGGACCACAGCAAGTCCTGGACCTGAGAAGGCGAGGGCCAAACGGTGCCCTCCCTCCAGCCCTTGGCCTCTCACCATCCACTGGGGCCTTGTGCCCCACCCGGGCAACAAACAAGCCATGCTCGTCTGCTGAGCGCCTACGCAACGTTTAACGCGGGGTGCTGCTCCTAGCCCTCGACCAGCCCAAGAGGACTTGTCTGAAACCCCCAAAGCCAGGACCATCAGGTGGCACACACGCTGTAGGGCAGGAGGGGGTCTGAGCAGCACGAAAGCCCGCTGCCGGCTGGTGTCCCTCAGGCCACTTGGAGCTGCAGCCCGGGAAGGTGAAGGCACAGGGATGAGTCAGACACCCACAGCACAGCAGGCCGCCTAGCAGAGCCCGGCCGCCGGGCCCTAGGACGTCACGGAGCCTCGTCACAGCCCAGAGTGTGGTTCCGGGGTAGAGAGGGGGCCCTGGCTGGCTGGCCCCTCGGGCTCTGGCCTCAAATCCGCGCTCTCCGTGTTTGCTGGCTCCTCCTCTGCCTGAGCCTCGAGCAGCTCAGCCGACAGCCCGTCCTCGGGTGAGGCTGCAGAGGTGAGGCTGTCGGGAAGGGTCAGCTGAGGCAGGTGGTCCAGCTGGGCCTGGGCACCGGGGCTGTCCAAGAAGGAGACTTCAAACTCGGACCCAGACCACGTGGCCTCACCTGAAACAGAGAGTGGGGCTCAGGAGGCCTGGAGGGCCCAGGCCGTGGCACCAGGGGCAGTTACCCACCTACCCCTGCCTCGCCCACAGGCTCTGATGTCAGTCAGGACCACGCCCAGATGCCTCGCTGTAGCGTTCACCTGAGGCCGACCTCCACCCAGCGGAGGGATTCAGGGCAGCTTCCTAGCACCCACGGGGCTTCCCAAGGGGTTTCCGAGGGAGCCAGCCACTCACCGCCCCGCTCGTGGGAACTGCTGCTGGAGCACACGTCCTCTGGCCCTGAGCTGGAGACAGCTGTGCAGGGGGGCACTGTGGGAGGGGGCAGACCGGGCCACACGCCGCCATTGCTGCTGTCCAAGAGGGAAATGCCTGACACGTCCAGAAAGCCTGCGGGAGAGGCATGGTTATTTGCCAGCAAAAAAACCCCTGACCCCTGGAAAGTCAATTCCCCACTGTGGAGTGCCCAGTGACGTGCCCACCCCACCCGAGGTTCCAGGCTGTCTCCAGCTTGCCCCATGATCTGAAGGAGGCTGCCGCCTGTGTGGACCACAAGGACTGGGGCCCTGTCCTACACCTAGGGTCACAGGTTCCTCAGCCTCCAGGGCCTGCCGGGTACCTGGGTCCATGACGCGCTGCACTGGAGGCGGAGGCTGAAGGGGAGTTTCCACAGGAGGAGGAAGTCCTCCAAGGTCTAGAGCGGTATGGCTGGGACTCCCAGGCCCAGGAAGCTGTTCCCCCACGGAGGAGCCAGGTGCCTGTAGCAGGGCCTAGAGGGGCAGGGAAGATGGACAGAGAGGAGGCGACCCACACAGTGCCTCCAGGGGAAGGAGTCTGCAGTGCAGCCTGGCCACCGCCCCTCCTTGCCACCTCAGCCCTCTCGCCCTTGACCCACTCCTTCCTCTACAGGTGATGTGAAGTCAGATCACAGGGGCCGGGCCTGCCTGGTCTCCCCCAAGCAGCCCCAGGTGCCCACCTACCCCCAACGCATCCCCTCTGCTGCTGGCAGCCTCGCGTGCCCCCAGCCTAGTGCCCAGAGGTGCTCTTGGGGGGCCCACCCATCAGCCATGCCCCACATGCCCACCCTCAGGGGCTCACTGAGGCACACAGCAAGGCTCTGCCCATCCCCAAGTCTGTTACCCACTTGTGAGGTCAGTGTGTGGCGCATTGAGTTAGGATGCCACGCAGTGCCAGCAGCCCCCATCAGAGTGCCAGTTTGAGTCCTGACTGCTCCGTTTCCGGTTTAGCTTCCTGATAATGCAAGTCCTTGGGCCCCTGCCACGCACATGGGACACCATGGCGGAGTTCCTGGCCCCTGGCTTTGGCTGGCCCAGCCCTGAGTATTGTAACCATTTGGGAAATGAACCAACAGATGGAAGATCAGTCTCTCTCCTGCTGCTGCTGCTGTTGCTCTTTTGAAATAAATAAAATCTTAAAAAGTAATAAAATGAGGGCCTTACCTCTACCTTCACTCTAGACCCAAGGGCCAGCAGAGCCAGTAGTGGAAGTCAGTGTCCTAGGCACAGCCTGTCTACTCTCAGAGCAAATGGGCCTCCCAGACGGGCCCCAAAGGACAGCTGCTGGAAATCCCCCCCAGGGTGGCTCTGAGTCTGCATGTCCCTGGCTGCCAGGCCCTACTGCCCCGATAGGTGCTCCCCACATACCTCCATGTAGTCACTCTGCCTGGAACCCATCTCTGGGCCCGAAGAGCCAGGAAAGTCCTGGAGGGTGGGTCCAGGTGCCGGGGCATCAGGTGGCACAGTGCCAGGCGGTGGGGCACCAGGTGGCTTCTTGTGGCTGGGGGTCTGGGTTGGGATCCGGTGTAGGTACCCGTAGCCAATGCCACACCCCAGACTGCCAAAGGCCAGAAGCACTCAATCCAGGGGACTGTCCCACAGCCCTCCCTACCTTTACCACCCCTACCAGCAGTGAGGGGGCTGGAAAGGGCATTCCTGGGCCAGTGCCTAACCCTGCGTCTCCACCAAGTGACTTGACAAGCCTATGCCCCCCACCGGCTCCCCACCAGCCCTGTAGCCCTCTGAGCCCGGGAAGTACCTGCCCTCTCCACCCCACGCTGCGTTGGGAGTTACGGTCACCTCCCGGCAGGAGTCCGACTCAGAGTTATAAACCATCAGCTTCAGGGGCTTCCCCTCGTGGGACTCGATGAGCGTGAAGAAGTCCTCAGACTACGAGAGACACAGCACCTGAGGCTTTCTCCCAGGGTTGGACTGGAAGCCCCAACAAAACGAGACACTTCTCAGGCACGGCGCCCATCTCCACCCGGTCCCGGCGGTCTGGGAGGCACAAGCCATGGACCACTCACCTCCTGGAGGACCTGGTCTGAGCCGACCACATAGTCTGTGTAGGGCAGCAGGCCAGCAAGGGCGGCAGGAGAAGACGGCTCTACGTCCTGGGGAAACAGCCGCAAAGCGCTGGCCTCAGAACTGACGCTGGGGGAAGGGGCAGTGAGCAGGACACCTGTCCCCTGTCCCCACGCAGAGCCTCGAGCCCAGACCTCACCTGGCTCCCAGGTCCTCGCCCAGCAGGGGGCAGCACCGAGCCCTGAACTCACCCTGGGCCCTGCTCCCGGCTCCCCCACCAGCCAGCTGTGTGACTGCACCTCTCTCAGCCTCAGTTTGCTCACAACTAAAAGTGGGAGACTGAGTCCTCCTAGGGCTACTGAGCAAACTAAATCCACACGCTGGCCACAGCGAGTGCCCGAGTGCACGGGCTGAGAGCCCCGCGGGTGAGGCTGCAGGTGAGGGAGCGGGCAAAACTGGGCATGAGGCTCGCTCCACCCATCTCGGTGTCTCCCGGGCAGTGTGGGCACTGCGCCGTCCACCCTGCTTCATTCGTGGGCCATCTGCAGGCAGGCTGCCAAGGTGGAGACACTCGGCCAGCCTCCCACCAGGGGTCAAAGCGGCCGCCTTCTAGCTCAGGGCACCCCTTTTCTACCACGCCAAGGGCCCAAGCCCTGGAGCATCTGCACGCCGCCAACAAGCACGGGTGTCAGAGCACACTTGCTTCGCCAGCTCAGTGGCTCAGGGGCACTGAGGTACGGGTTAGCTGTGTACCGACAGTGGGCCAGAAAGCCAGTCTGCACATCCGTCTCGCGTGTGTGCAGAGCTGGCCAGACGGACGCTAGTCACAGCAGCACCTGGGCAGTACGGGCACTGCACCAGTCTCCCCACCTTTCGAGAGAGGAAACCCAGGTACCACAGGGAGGGAGGTGCCCAGTCCCACGGCTGACGAGAAGCAGGGCCCAGGGCACCCAATTCAGGGAGCAATGAGCCCACCCTCTCCGGGATGCCGGGGTGAAAGCAGACCCTCAGAGCCCTTCCCCGGACGCCCCCTGGCTGCTGGCCGCTCCCCCGCGCCCACCCACTCCACTCGAGCCGGGCCCTGGGCTCAGCTGCCACACTCACCAGCACGTGCCACACGTGCTCGCTGGCCCTGCGGAAGCTGCAGAAGCGCACGCTGGCGCCCAGCAGGCCCTGGCCGCCCCACATGTTGCTGGGCACCACCTCGACCTCGCGCACCTTCATGGTCTTCATGCTGTACACCTCCAGCTTCACGGGCTTCTCCACGTTGGCCTTCAGCAGGGCCTTCAGCGTGTCATTCTCTTTGTTCTGCGGGGGCAGCGTGGCTGACTCCCAGGGCCCCCCTCCAGACCCCTGGGACGGGCCCAGGGCTGGGCCAGGGCGGTGGCTGTGCCCGGGTTCACAGGCCAGGGTTGGGCCTGCGGCCGCCGTAACCCCCATCTCCCACCACCGCAGCACTGCCAAGCCTCCCTCCCTGCGTCTGCCAGGAAGCACAACCAAGCAGGCACAGCCCTCTGCCCGGAGCCCTCAGAACCCCCACTCTCTGAGGTCTGGGGGTGCCCTCCGACAGCCCCTCGGTCCCTGGCCCAACCCACAGAGCTCAGGAGCTAAGCACCGGGTAGGGTCCCAACCAAGCTCTGAGTAGAGGAAGAAGGGGAGACAAGGCTGGTCCCCTCTCCTAACCCCAAACAAGAGGGAGGCAGGACAGGTGGCAGCCTCCTGTGGGACCCTGGGACACACACACACACACACAGCAAGGCAGGGGCGGGGGCGGGGGCTCACCAGCCTCGAGTGCCCGATGGTGATGATGAAGTCAAAGTAGGGCTCCAGGCCTGCCTGCTGGGCTGGGGAGTTCTCCTGGACCTGTCCCACGGCAGAGGCCACAGTCACTGCAGGAAGGCCCCGCCCTCCCGGCGGCCATCTGGGCACTGCAGAGGCTCACTCCCTCACTGCACGCCCTGGTCTCCTGTGTCCAAGTTTCCCTCTGGGCAAAAAGGCTCTGTCCCGACGATGGTCAACACATGCTTCCAGGGGTGTCCAGAGCCCGGAGCAGCCTCGGGGCTACCGGAAAGCGGCCTCCAGAGCAGCACAGCCTACGGGAAGGCTGCCCGGGGGGACTGGGCGGCCCGGGGGTCTACCAGAACTAGACGTGAAGTGAGGAGGAGGCAGGCAGGCAGAAGAGCAGCAACTGGGGCTGTGCCCAAACAGGGAGCCGGAAGAGCCAGCTGTGGCCAGATCGCACAGGGCCCCAGCAGGTGGGCAGAGCCGCTGGCACGCTGGCAGAGAGCAGACCCCGAGGCGGGACTGCACCTGCACCGGGGGTCTGCTGAGTGGGCACTGCCGATCCCTACAGCCTGGCCCTGGGCTGGGGCATCTCCCCTGCGGCTCGGCCACCTCACCAGCCTCACAGTCCAGCTTCCGGGCCCATGCAGGTCACCTCTTCCAGGAGGCACGCCCAGCCCCAGGGAGCTCCCCAGCTCACTGCAGGCTCCAAAAGGCCAAGCACCAGCCCGCGCAGGCCACGGTTGCAACCCACCTCAGAGGGCCTGACGCAAACAACGTGGCCTCTGTCCCGAGGACCTGGACCTGAAGGTGGGCCTGTCCTGCAGGCATTTGATGGCCTGTTGGTCAGGCCCCAGCCAACCGAGCACAGGGCTCTTTGGCTCCTAGTTCTTGACGTGTTGGGAGGCCCTGGGGCTCCTGGTACCCCCAGCCCTTCCGCGTGGGATGTGGCGAGCTGCAGCAGAGCTCACGGAGGGCCTGCTGGGAACAAGCTGGGGCCTCTGGGTCAAGGCCAGTTTGACAGCTTCACCAAGCGAGCTCCTGCTTGCCACTTCAGCACCGCGTGGCTTCCAGCGGCCGAGGGCCCAGGAGCCAACTCCAGTCCCGACTGGCCTGGCCCACGGGGCAAGCGGCTTCCAAGCCCTGCTGCAGGGCACCCGGAGCCTCAGGACTCTGACCCCAGGAAATCCAACCCCGAGCCTCCCCCTAATCACTGCCTGTTAGTGAGGCACTAACTACCACTAACTGCTTCCTAGTTAGTCCTCCACTAAGCTACCTTCCTAAGCGCACTTGTTCTTCCTTTCTGGAAACTAAGTAGGGCACTATCTCCGCGCCCCCCCCCCCCCCATACACACACACTCGGAGGGCCCTGCACCTTGGAATGAATGACACGCCAGGTGCTCTGTGGCCCGGCTGCCCCCTCTCTTTCCACACCAGCCTCACCCTGCGCAGGTGCTCCCCAGCTGCCTGGCACACTCACCCTCACAGAGTGCGTGCCCAGAAACGGCTGCTTCGGCCGATGATGACCTCTGCTCTCTTGACCTCTGCAAACTGTCCTCCCCCCCACCCCTCCTGTCTGCACTCCCACCATCGCCCCCCCCTCCCCGCTTGCCAATCACCTGAATTCCTTCGCCTCCGAACAAGCCTGCCTGCGGCAGGACTCGCACTGTCCACATTTCCTGTCCCAGGCCTCACGAGGAGCAAGCGCACTGCCAAGCACAAACCATGTCTGCTCCGGGCCCCACGCCAGCTGGCCTTTCACGCTGGAAAAGCCCACCCGAGCGGCAGCCGGCGGCCAAGCCTCGCCTTCCAAACACAGCGGCACCCTCGCCGGCCTCGCCATATGCACCAGCAGACCTGGGGTCAGAGGCCCTCCCTCTCCCCCGCGTCTCCTAAGGCTCTCTCGGGCCCTCCCGCATGCTCCGCCCAGGTCCTCCTGCGGCGGCCTCTGAGACCCTCGCGGCCAGCGTCCACGCGATCACCATGACCCCCCGAGCCGGAAGACCCGCGGTGCGGGCGAGCAGGCACGGGCGGTCGTGCAGCCGTGCCGAGGGCACCAGTGCGTCCCACGGCAGCCGGCCTTTCCTCTCCGGCCACAGGCCCATTCCGGCGGCCGGCCCAGGAACCGCTGCGGCTCTGCGCGCCGCGGACACCGGGCGGGAGCGGCGCTGGCCGCAGACAGCCCCGGGAGTCAGGAATTCCTCAAGGCCTTCTCTCCCGGCAGCGCCCGCCACGCAGGCGGCAACACCGGACAGGGACGCGCCGCAGCAGCCAGCCGCTCGGCCAGCACACGTCCAGGCGCGTCGCGGCGGGCGCCCGGCCAAGGCCACCGGCGCCGCAGGAGCGACTCACCCCGTGCAGGTGGAAGCCTTCGGCGCCGCCGGCGGGCTGTTCGGCGCTGGCGCCCAGGCCCATGGCAGCGGCGCGGCTGGGCCCTGGTGTCCACCACGGCAAGCCGGACTCAGCGCCACCACCGTGGACTCACCCTATCGGCGCTCGATTACCTGCGCCTTGTCACGTGGGCTTCTTGTTACGCCCCCTCCTGACGCACAGGCTCTTAGCAACCGGCCGGCTGCCCTGTTTCCAAGGACGCGCGAGCCTCCAACTTCCGGCCGCGAGAGGCGTGCCCAGGACCCTGACCCGGGAATCTCTCGCGCCGCCCCAGCAGAACCGGACTCGGATCCGCCAGCAGCCGGAGATGAATGGCAGTGACTCCTCCGTCATGGTGCGTGGCCCGGCCGCTCCCTCTGGGGAACTCCGCCCCTGGCCGTGACCCCGCGCCCAGCTGGCCTCTCCTCCCCTGGCGCCAGCCTCCTCAGTCAATCCTGCCCTTACTAAAAAATAGTATTTATTTTTTATTTATTTATGAATGAATGAATGAGACACTGAAACAAGGCTCCCACCTCTGGCTCACGCCCTGCAGGCCGGCAACAGCCAGGGCTGCTGAACCAGGTGGAAGCGGGGAGCCAGGAAGGCAATCCAGGCCTCCCCCACGGGTGGCCGGGACCTGGGATCCTCAGTCAGCCCTGCTGCTTCCCAGGGCGCGCATTGGCAGGAGGCTGGAGTCGGAGCGGAGCTGCCTTTGAACACAGGCACTGCGCTGTGGGACCCAGAGATCTTAACCACTGGTCTGAACACCTCGCCCCTTCCCTGCTTTTTTTTCCCTTGCCTCCTCTCAAGGTCCCTCTGTGCACCCTGAACCCCAAACTGGTGTCCCCGTCCACTGAGTGCCCCCGAGCCAGGGCCTCCCCTTTCCAGCATCTTCTCATCCCCTTTACCCCCTCTCCCCGGCCAGCCCACACCTCTTCTGTGTCCCCCTCCTCAGTAGATGCCACCACCATTTCTCTCCCAGCCTTAGCTCCTACCTCTCATGCCCATACCCGTCTCCCATCCTACCTATCAGCAAGAAATGTCAGCCCCCCGACGTCTCCCTTCTTACTTTGAAGCCCGGGACCACCAGCCTCTCTCTGCTGGAGACCAGCGCCCTCCCTCCCACCTGGTTCCTCTGCCTCAGTTCCTCCCAGCAGCACCCACAGAAAAAGCGTGCGATGGAAAAACCGGGCACGGATTTCAACGTGTGCACCCAAATCAACCCATCTTCTAGTTCCTTCTTCCGTGATCTTTCTGAAAGCAGCCTGCCTTAAAACACGCCCCCTCCCCTACCTAAAACCTTCCCACCTGCTTGCTATTCTAGCCCGGAGGGTGTCTGGGCTCTCTGAGACGGCCCACCGCAACTGTCCCCACCCCCACAGACCTCAGGGGAAGTGAGACTTGGCTTTGAAATCTCAGCCCCTGGTACTGCCTGTCCTTTGTCAGGCCACAGCCTCCACGGGCTTCGGCCTCCTTAACTACCGGAGATGTGCGTAACCTAAGGGAGGTAGTTGCCCTCGGAACACCTCCTAACAGGTGGTTGGCCCACAAGCACTTGTGACTATGGTTGCTGGTGTAATTTCTCTAATTTCCCTTTTTTTAATTTATTTTTTTATTTTTTGACAGGCAGAGTGGACAGTAAGAGAGAGGGACAGAGAGAAAGGTCTTCCTTTTGCCGTTGGTTCACCCTCCAATGGCTGCCGCGGCTGGCGCGCTTCGGCTGGTGCACCGCGCTGATCTGATGGCAGGAGCCAGGTACTTATCCTGGTCTCCCATGGGGTGCAGGGCCCAAGCACTTGGGCCATCCTCCACTGCACTCCCTGGCCACAGCAGAGAGCTGGCCTGGAAGAGGGGCAACCGGGACAGAATCCGGCGCCCCGACCAGGACTAGAACCCGGTGTGCCAGCGCCGCAAGGTGGAGGATTAGCCTAGTGAGCCGCGGCGCCGGCCTAATTTCCCTTTATTCCCTATGAGACGGAGTTCAATTCCCCCCATCACTCCTGAACCAGAACCTGTCGGTCATGCCCAGACTCCCCCAGACTTCCTTCTTGGCAAGCTGCGAGGAGCTGCTCCCGGGGCTGCCAAAAATAAAAAGACAAGCCGAGCGAGGCCCAGGCGTCCCCCTCTCCTCCCTTGGCCGAAGCGAGGAGCAGTGCAGGGGCGGCGGGAGCGGGACAGGAGCGCTGGGGCTGCTGCAGCCGGGTCTTCCTCCACACAGGCCGTGATTGTGCACTACAGCCTGGAAAGGTGCTTCCGCCACGTGCAGCAGGCCGCCGCTCTGGGCCTGGAGAGGTTCAGCAATGACCCCGTGTGGCACTTCTTCAGAGCCTACGGAGTCCTCAGGGAAGGTAGGCACGCGGCGGGGTTGGCCGAGCCCAGCCTCCGCCGGGATGCCCACTTGCATCCTAGTTGCGTTCTCCCGGGAAACCGCCTGGTCCCCGGGGGTGGCATCCCCAGGCGGGGCCCCCGGAGCCTGTACAGTCGGCGTCTGGCTGACTCCCGAGGCCTCAGAGCGCTCACGCTCCCTGCTGCGTACCCCAGTTTCCCTGTCTGTGACGTGAGGGGCTGGGGAGCTGACTGCCTGACTGCTGAACTAACCCCAAGCTTGGAAGCCGACAGGCTGTCCTGCAGGAAGAGGAGGAGGAAGTGGCAGGTGGGGGACAGGCAGGCCTGGCACAGGTGCGGGCTCTCCAGTGTAGCTGAGGGCTGGCTGAGCGGCCATGGCCAATGTCAAGGAACACGGCGGGTGACAGGCAGGTAGGTGATGGTTCTAGCAGCTAGCTGGGAACGCCAGGCCACCTTCAAAACTGACCCCTTGCCAAGAACCCCAGCATCACAGGTGTCCTCATGAGTACTCACAGGTGTGCGTCTCAGATCCAAGGCCCCCAGCGCCTGGCAGCCTGGTGGCCCACGGAGCCAGCAGCCTTTTCAGGAAACGTCCGCCTTTGAGGAACTTGAGCTCCTAGGGACCCTGCAGAGCAGGCCGTGCCCTGCCAGGGCCCAGCCGTGCTAGGGATCCTGTGTGTCGCCCCTGAGGCTCCCGCCCTCGGGGCCTGGTGCCCGGGGCATTAGCGCGTGGACTGTATTTGCAGAACGCATCCAGGATGCCATCAGCGAGCTGGAGAGCATCCGGAATCACCCGGACGTGGCCCTGTGCTCCATCATGGCCCTGCTATACGCCCACAAATGCTGCGAGACCATCGGTGAGTGCAGCCGTGCTCGGCCAGGCCTGGCCCGGCAGGGGAAGGAAAGCCCCAACTCCCCAGCCCCAGTCCCTCAAGGGCTGCCGAAACAGGTGTGTGCGCACTGCTGCACCCCTCCCCTGTGGGCCTCTTGAGTGGGAGCTGGCAGAGAGCATGCCGGGGAGAGAGGGCTCCTCCCGGGGTGACAGCCACCTTTGCCTTGCCAAGATCTTGTCAGGAAACCCAAGCCACTCTGGGCCATCCTGCTGCTAACTGCCAGCTCTCTAGAGTCAGGGAGAGGATAGGCCTGAGGCCGGGGAGCCAGGCCTGCTCTGAGCAGAAAAGAGATCTCTGGCAGCAACCCTGAGTCCAGATCTGGCTGCAGGTGCCACTGCTTTGCAGGCCCTGGGCTGGCGCTGATCAGCTGCACGTGTGGAGGGTGAACCAGGCTGCTCCAAGGGCCCTTGGAGTCCCACGAGGAGCCGGGCAGCCCTCCTCGTCCTAATTCACCCTCTTCCTCCGCCCCTGGGTTTGCAGACCGAGAAGCGATCGAGGAGCTGGAGAGCAGCCTACAGGAAACCCACAGGACAGCCAGTGGGTCGGCGCAGTACTACGCCAGCCTCTTCCTCTGGCTCATGGGCCACCACGACAAGGCCAAGGAGTACCTTGACCACACACTGAAGGCCTCCACTGGCTCCAGAGAGGTACCGGCATGGGACAGCGTGGGTGCCCAGCTCACCACGGCAGGCTGGCCCGTCTCGCCCCTGCAGGGCCCTGGGGCCGGAGGAGGCCATACTCAGGGTCACACAGGAGCCCCACCCACCTTGTCTCAGGGCGAGGCAGAGGCCACACGTCGCCCTTTTTCCACAGATTCTTATCTCTAGATGGGTGTTCTGTGGCCCACATTGCATTTTTTAAAAATCCTGAATTAGCCGCACACATTTAGAAAGCAGATTCCACCTGCCAGTCTGGCTTTCCTGGTTTTGTTTTTTTTTTTTTTTTTTTTGACAGGCAGAGTGGACAGAGAGAGAGACAGAGAGAAAGGTCTTCCTTTTGCCGTTGGTTCACCCTCCAATGGCCGCCGCGGCCAGCGCGATGCGGCCGGCGCACCGCGCTGATCCGATGGCAGGAGCCAGGAGCCAGGTGCTTTTTCCTGGTCTCCCATGGGGTGCAGGGCCCAAGCACCTGGGCCATCCTCCACTGCACTCCCTGGCCACAGCAGAGGGCTGGCCTGGAAGAGGGGCAACCGGGACAGAATCCGGTGCCCCGACCGGGACTAGAACCCGGTGTGCCGGCGCCGCAAGGCGGAGGATTAGCCTAGTGAGCCGCGGCGCCGGCCTCCTGGTTCTTTTGAAAACTCCAGGTGAGCTGGCCAAGCTGGGCATTCCCTCCCCGTGGGGGTCTCTTGGTTCGTATATGAGGGGTTTTCACTGCCTTCGTGGAAAATGAGCGTTTTCAGAAAACTCTGCATGAACTGCAAAAACGTTTGCACCCAAATGATCTTTTAATCTGATTTTCCACGAACTTCTAGAAAGACTGTCGTGCTGTCTGTCTGTCCCAGGGGTGCAGTCTGAAGCCTCGTTCTAGGCCATACACTCCCAGCAGGGCTGATAGCATTTTGGGAGGATGTAAAAATTGGTTCTTGGAGGAGAAAATGAAAAAGGTGTTACTGTTTCTGCATAAAACACAGTTCTCCTGGAGTACATAATACACAGGTACTCCATCTGTGATATTAGCTTTTCAAGGGCTGCTTCAGGGCAGGGGTCTTCCAAGTGCCTCCCAGACCGGGCCCTCCTCATCTGCTGGGAGAAGGCTACTGTGCAACTCGGGTCCATGCGCTCCACCTGGCGCCTGCTCAGCCGCGCAGAGGCCCTTCCTGGCTTCCTGCACAGGGCCGGGCCTCAGAGGGGAGGGGCCAGGAGCAGCCGTGCCGTCCCCTGTGCTGGCCCTGACGCCGGTGTAAGCAGGACGTGGTGATAGGGGAGAGAGCCGTGGGGCACGGGAGGGAAGGCCTCCTACGGGGGGCCTCCTGGGTTAGCTGTAGTGAACCAGGCGCAGGGGTTAGGGGCAGCTGCTGGCTGGGCCTGGTCCAGAGGAGCCCTGGGATCTGCATGTGGTTGTGTCTGGCGGGGCCTCAGGGTGCAGGGAGGCCAAGGACAGGACGCTATAGCAGGCAAGGCCAGAAGGCCAGGGCACGCAGGACCGAGGGTCGCATCCTTCTCGTCCCTGCCCCAGGACTCTGTGCTCAAAGGCTGGGTTGACCTCACCTCCGACAACCCCCTCGTGGTGAAGAAATCCATCAAGTACCTGGAACAAGGACTTCAGGACACCAAAGACGTGCTGGGGCTGATGGGAAAGGTGGGCAGCAGGGAGGAGAGGGGGTTGTCCCTGGCTGGGGTCCACCGGGGGACCTCACGACAGACCCTCAGTCTGCAGATGCCGCCTCTGGTAGATGAGGAACAGGGGTCCAGAGAGGGTCGGCAACTGACTCAGGGTCACACAGCAGCCCCAGGCCCACTCCAGGGCTCCCCCTCCTTCCGTTGGTCTCAGTTTCCAATTCATGCAGTGTGGGGTCTCCTCGGGTTTCCACTCTGTGTCGCTCTCGGTTTGACTCCAGCCCCATTTCCCTGGGGTCCCCGCCCCACCCCTTCAGGAAGCCATACTGATGTGAAACCGTGGTCCAACACTTCCCCGGGGGCTGCTGCCCTGGCCTGCTCCTCAGTGGCCACGTGTCTGAGCCCCTCTGGGTGGACACTGACCAGGGGCTCCTCTCTCGGATCCCACCCCGCCCACTCCCCGCTCCCCCACAGGCCAGGTACCTCATGACGCAGCAGAATTACTCAGGGGCCCTGGAGGTGGTGAACCAGCTCACGGTGGCCTCGGGCAGCTTCCTGCCTGCCCTCATCCTCAAGATGCGGCTGTTCCTGGCTCAGCAGGACTGGGAGCAGGCGGTAGAGACGGCACACAGGTGAGGGCAGGGCCCCTGAGTGCAGCTGCGCAAACACACGCTACCTTCCTCGCTGAGGTACGTGAGGGCGCTTCAGGAAGTCCGTGCGTGGTGGAAAATGCATTGAAAGCTAAGTCCATTTTGGTGCCCAAAAGCGTGACATCCACGCATGGTGTTTTCATAGTATGCATTTTTCATTAACATTTCTTTAAAATATTTGTTTTATTTGAAAGACAGAATTACAGAATGAAGGAGGAAGAGAGAGAGAGGTCTTCCATCCTCTAGTTCACTTCCCTAGTGGCTGCAATGGCCAAAACTGGGCCAGACCGAAGCCAGGGGCCGGGAGCTTCTTTGGGGTCTCCCCATGGAAGTGCAGGGATCCAAGCACTTGGGCCATCCTCTGTTGCTTTCCCAGGCACGTTATCAGAGAGCTGGATTGAAAGTGGAGTGGTCAGGAATTGAACCGGTGCCCATATGGGATGCCAGCACTGGAGGCAACGGCTCTACCCGTTCTGCCACAGCACTGGCCCATTTCATCAACTTTTGCAGACTCTTCATACACTCCTTTCTTAAAAGATGGTACACTCCTTTCTTAAAAGATGGGGATAGTGGCCGGCGTCACGGCTCACTAGGCTAATCCTCCGCCTGCGGTGCCAGCACACTGGGTTCTAGTCCCGGTCGGGGCGCCAGATTCTGTCCCGGTTGCCCCTCTTCCAGGCCAGCTCTCTGCTGTGGCCCGGGAGTGCAGTGGAGGATGGCCCAGGTGCTTGGGCCCTGCACCCCATGGGAGACCAGGAGAAGCACCTGGCTCCTGCCTTCAGATCAGCGCAGTATGCTGGCCACAGCACGCCAGCCACAGTGTCCATTGGAGGGTGAACCAACAGCAAAAGGAAGACCTTTCTCTCTGTCTCTCTCTCACTGTCCACTCTGCCTATCAAAACAAAACAAAACAAAAAAAAAACCAGCGTGAAGATGGGTGTGACAGAGGGCAGGGTTATAGATAAAGATAGGATTGCAGTGGAGGGGACAGTGAGGGAGGAGGATGGCTGGGAGCCAACCGTTTACTCAGCCATGGTGACTCAAGGCCAGGAGCTCTAGTCCAAGATGGGTCAGGAAATTGAGGGGCAGGCGTTTGGCGTAGCTGTTACAACACCCATTGCAATGCCCACATCCGCTATCAGAGTGCCTGGGTTTGAGTCCTGGCTCCACCCTCAATTCCAGCTTCCTGCTAATACACACAGTGGGAGGCAGCAGTGGTGGTTCACAGTAGCTGGGTGCCTGCCACCCACCCACGAGATCTGGGTTGAGTTCCTGGCTCCTGGCTTCGGTTTGACCCAGCCATGGACTGTGACAGTCATTTTGGAAATGAACCAGAGGATGGGAGCACTGTGTCTCCTAAATCAACAAGTGGAAAAAAAAAAAACAACTAGGCCTGGCGTTGAGAAGAGACGTGCAGGAAACCAGCAAGGAACGCAAGGCAGCGAGGACTGCAGGTGGAACATGGTTGCCTCTGTGGAGCCGCGGAGCTGCGGGGGTGGGGGAGGCTGAGACCACCACGCTCTTGAATCATTTTAAACTCCAAGGATGACATACTTCACTGAACACCTTGGGGGCCAAGGTCACTGGGGACTTTGAGAGAAGAGTTTGAGTAGTAGGCAGCAAACCTGGGCCAGGGAGCTGTGAGGTCAGGAGTCGAGGGAGCCATGTACCCAGTGAAAGTGACCTTGGGCATACGGGCAGGTCGACGGGGAGGAGCGTCCGATGGAGGCTTTCTGAGGACATCCTTTTCTAGATAACTGAAGTATATCCCTCAAACTTTTTTTTTTTTTGGTAAAGATTTATTTTATTTATTTGAAAGAGTTACAGAGAGAGGTAGAGCCAGAGAGAGAGAGAGAGAGAGAGGTCTTCCATCTGCTGGTTCAATCCTCAAATGGCTACAGCAGCCTGAGCTGTGCCAATCTGAAGCCAGGAGCCAGATGCTTATTCCAGATCTCCCACGTGGGTGCAGGGGCCCAAGGACTTGGGCCATCTTCCACTGCTTTCCCAGGCCATAACAGAGAGCTGGATTGGAAGAGGAGCAGCCAGGACTAGAACCGGCACCCTTTGAAAAGTTAGTGAGAAAACGTAATTAAAAGATACAGTAGTTTTGGTGCAAACATTTTTTTGTTTTTGAAATCTCTGCATGGTTTTTTCCTAACGCACATTTTCCCTGAACTTGCTGAAGACCACTCATATATAATACCAGTTCTAAGAAAAAAAAAATCGCTCTTGGCCTTTTGGCTAAGATCAAGTATAGGAAAAAAAAAATAGATACACGAAAACCATAAACAGACCACCTCCTTCTTCCCTGTGAATGGATGCTAATGCCTCTGATGAGAACTGGAACTTAAACCACTTTGTAAATATATATATATATATATATATATATATATATATAATTTTGAGAGGCAGAAAAAGAGAGAGAGCTCCCATCTGTTGGTTCCCTCCCCAGGTACCCACCATAGCTGGGACTGGGCTGACCAAAGCTGAGAGCCAGGATTTAAGTCCAGGTCTCCTATGTAAATGGTAGGAGCTCCAGTTACTTGAACCATCACTACTGTTTCCCAGGAGTATGTGTTAGCAAGGCATTGGAGTTAAAAGTCAGAGGCAGCTGCTGAAGCCAGGCATTCCAGTGTGGGACACAGGCATCTTTTTTTTTTTTTTTTTTTTTTTTTTTTTGACAGGCAGAGTGGACAGTGAGAGAGAGAGAGACAGAGAGAAAGGTCTTCCTTTGCCATTGGTTCACCCTCCAATGGCTGCCGCGGCCGGCGCGCTGTGGCCGGCGCACCGCGCTGATCCGATGGCAGGAGCCAGGAGCCAGGTGCTTTTCCTGGTCTCCCATGGGGTGCAGGGCCCAAGCACTTGGGCCATCCTCCACTGCACTCCCTGGCCACAGCAGAGAGCTGGCCTGGAAGAGGGGCAACCGGGACAGAATCCGGCGCCCCGACCGGGACTAGAACCCGGTGTGCCGGCGCCGCTAGGCGGAGGATTAGCCTAGTGAGCCGCGGCGCCGGCCAGGACACAGGCATCTTAATTGGCGAGTCATCTGTGAGGCCAGATGCCCGCCCTCCGCCCCCTTGAATCTTGCAGAGAGGTGGCAGATGCAAAGCCGTCGCACCCTGGCCAGCCTGCAGGTGCCATGTGTTTAATGTCATAGCGAGCCCTCAGCTCCCCTCTCACAGTGTAGACCTGGCCAGGGTCCTGAAAGCCTGCTTTGGAATCTGGGCCTTGGGCCAGCAAGCTTACCTGGAAGCACCTGGCTGAAGGCCACAACCGTGGGCGTACATAGGCTCCCTCGCCCTGGCCCTGTGCACCCACATGCAAGGAGCCAGTGTTTGTTGCCAACAGGTTGAGTGTGATACCACAGTCCATGCATAGTTAGTCTATATTGTGCTTTTTAAAAATATTTACTTTTTATTTATTTGAAAGGCAGAGTTACAAAGAGGCAGCAGCCTCAACAGCAGAGGCGGGGGCCGGGGGGGAGAGGTCTTTTATCCGCTGGTTCACTCCCCAAATGGCTACAATGGCCGGAGCTGTGCCAATCTGAAGCCAGGAGCCAGAAGCTTCTTCCAGTTCTCCCACATGGGTGCAGGAGCCCAAGCACTTGGGCCATCTTCCACTGCTTTCCCAGGCCATAGCAGGGAGCTGGATCAGAAGTGGAGCAGCTGGGACTTGAACCAGCACCCATATGGGATGCTGGCACTGCAGGCGGCGGCTTTACCTGCTACACCACACCCCGTTTTTTCTTTCCATCTTAAGTCAGACTGCTGCTGGGCACCTTTCTGCCTGCCCCCCACCCCAGACCATGGTACTGTGTTCCCATCTGATTAGTCAGGTGGTATGGATGAGTCTCTGTAACAGTTCTCAAAGATACAGGGCACAGAGCATAGAAGGCCATTCCTCTCTCAGAAGTCTGGTCGTTCAACTTCTAGGATGGTGGCTTAACAATGTGGGGTCCCAGGCCCCTTCCCTCTTGTTGCTCTACTGTTCCTCCAGTGTTGTTCACATGGTCCACATTCCAGCCAGCAGGAAGGAGGGAAGAGCAGGAAGGGAAAGTTTGTTGGCGCTTATCACTCTGATGTGCTTCTCATTGGTCAGAACTCAGTCACATGACCACACTGAAGCTGCAGTGGAGCCTGGGAAATGTAGTCTTTAGCCTGGGCAAGCATGTGGCTGGCTAATTTGGAAATTATGTCATTAAAAGAAGGGGAGAATGGATATTAAAAGACAGGGTGGGTGCAGTGGCTCACTAGGCTAATCCTCCGCCTTGTGGCGCCGGCAAAAAAAAAAAAAAAAAGAAGTTGCCAACCTGCTTGTCCCAGTCTTGCCTCTTGACACCGATTCACATGGCTGTCCTTCCCATTTCAGAATCCTGGAGAGGGACGAGAACAGTATTGATGCCTACCAAATGCTGGCTGTGCACGAGCTCGCAAGAGAAGGCAACATGACCACTGTAAGTTGTTTCAGGACTCAGACTCTGGTGGGTGTTTGTTTGTTTGTTTGTTTGTTTTACAGGCAGAGTGGACAGTGAGAGAGAGAGACAGGGAGAAAGGTCTTCCTTTGCCGTTGGTTCACCCTCCAATGGCCGCTGCGCACTGCGGCCAGCGCACCACGCTGATCCGATGGCAGGAGCCAGGAGCCAGGTGCTTTTCCTGGTCTCCCATGGGGTGCAGGGCCCAAGCACTTGGGCCATCCTCCACTGCACTCCCTGGCCACAGCAGAGAGCTGGCCTGGAAGAGGGGCAACCGGGACAGAATCCGGCGCCCCGACCAGGACTAGAACCTGGGGTGCTGGCGCCGCAAGGCGGAGGATTAGCCTAGTGAGCTGAGGCTCCGGCCCGAGGACTCAGACTCTGAACCCTGAGACAGACGTGAGGAGGAAGCCCTCGTAACCTGTAGCATCCCCAACCTCAAGGCCTTAGGGGAGCCCCTGGATCTGAGCTGCCTCCTCTCCATCCCACCCCAGCCCTTGCTGCTAAGAGGGCAGGGGTCTGCTCCGATTTGGCCCTTTGGGCCATGCAGCTCAAGACTTTGGTAGTGAGGGTGACACTGGCTCGGCCTTGTGCTTGCAATGGGAACCTGGCCAGGGACCCGGCCAAGCCTCGGGCTCCTCACGCATTGAGTGGACGTGATGGCACACAAGTGTGAGGTTGTGGAAATGACTAAATGAGATGAGGCAGGAAGTGGAGAGCAGTGCCTGGCACACTGTAAATTTCAGTCAGTGTTAACAGAGGTCAGGGCAGTGTTTCAGAATTCAAGAAATGCCATTTTTTAAAAAAAAGATTTATTTATTTAACTATAAGGCAGAGATACAGAGAGCAGAGACAAAGAGAGGTCTTCCACCCACTGGTTTACCCCCCCCCCCCCCCAGTGGCTGCAACAGCCAGAGTTGGGCCAATCCGAAGTTAGGAGCCAGGAGCTTCTTCCGGGTCTCCCATGTGGGTACAGGGGCCCAAGCACTTGGGCCATCTTCCACTGCTTTCCCAGGCCACAGCAGAGAGCTGGATCAGAAGTGGAGTAGCTGGGACCTGAACCAGCACTCACATGGGATGCCAGCACTGCAGGTGACAGCTTTACCTGCTACACCACAGTGCCAGCCCCCAAGAAATGCCATTGTTTAAGGGAATGGTTATGGAATTGCCTGGAAAATGACCAGATAGTAGCTAGCCCCTAAGCCTTGGTGTTTTCCAAAGAAATCCAACATAGTCCTCAAAAGCAGTCAGGAACACCTATGATTCCTTTTATTATTACTATTTTTTTTATTTATTTTAATTTACTTGAAATGTAGAGCAACGTACACAGAGACAAAGAAAGAACTTCTCTCTGCTGATTTACTCCCCTAATGTCTGCAACAGCCAGGGCTGGACCAAGCCAAACCTCCGAGTCCAGAACCCCATCTCAGTCTCCACGTGGGTGGCAGGGGCCCAGGCACTTGAGTTATCTTCTGCTGCCTCCCAGGACGCGTTAGCAGGGACTGGGTGGGAAGCAGAGCAGCCGAGACCCTGAGTTGGCACTCGGACGTGGCATGTGAGCGTCCCGAGTGGCAGCTGAGCCCACTGCACCACAACACCCACTTCTAGAATTCTTAATGAAACATTGGTGTTCAGATGTGTTGCTTTCAAAAAAAAAAAAAAAAAGAGTTTGTATTTTTAGCTGAAGCATCACCTTTTGAATAAACAAAGTGCACTGGTTTGTGGAGCCTGGAGCAAATTGAGAGTCTCTGTGGGGTCACGGCAGGAAGAGGCAACTTCCGGTTCCTGCTGCACAGCTCTGAGATTGTGGGTTTGGTGGGGTGGGGTGAGATGGAGGGGACAGACCATATTTAGAAGGAACCTTCAACGAGGGCCCCAGCCCTGCCTCTAGGTGGGAACCAAAGAACAAAGCCATCCTCAGCACCTGGGCAGGCCTTTCTGGGCCCTGGCCTGGGGGTTAATCCCAGCGGCAGAGTTCACATACAGTAGCCTTGTGTGCCTCACCTCAAACCCTGGCCTGTGGGCCGTCACTGCCTGGGTTTCTCCTTTGACACTAGGTTGCTGCCAGAACCAAGAACTCCCTCCTTCTGGGTGAGGAGAGGGCGCAAGTTCATCAGGAAGAACCCAGGCTCCGGGCAGGCACTGTAGTGCAGGGCGTCAAGCCACTGCTCGGGACGCCCACATCTCCGATTGCAGTGCTGGTTTGAGTCCCAGCTGTTCCACGCTTTGCATCCAGCTTCCTGCTAATGCACCTGGAAGGCAGCAGATGATGGCCCAAGTGCTTGGGTTCCTGTTAGCCACATGTTAGGCCCAGATGAGAGTCCCAACCCTGGCTATTGCAGGCATTTGGGGACTGAACTAAAGAATGGAAGATCTGTTTCTCTCCCTCCCTCCCTCCTTCTCTCTGTCTCTCTCTGGCTCTTGCTCTCTCTCTCAAGCAGATGGAAATAAATACACACATACACACACACATACAAACAGCAACAACAAAAACCAGAACCCTAGCTGGCAGACTGATTGCCTGACCCTTCTGACCCTTCACTGCTGTAGTGGGAAGTTTGGGCAGTGACATTGACCTACAGAGCTGTTGGGAGGGTTTTCTGTACTGACAGAGGTGCCAATACGGTGACAAATAGCAACATGGAGCAGAGGCCCCGTGCTAGCCCAGGTGGTTTGCCAAAGTCCTGGCCTGCTATGGTGTAGACCCTTGTATGACTTTGCTCCTGGCTCTGCCTCAGTAGGTCTGAACGGGCAGCTTCTCATCACAAACTCAGAATTGAGGGGTAGTGCCAGGTCCTAGCTGAATAATGTTCCAGCAAGCTCCACCTGGGAGGTTTTGAAATAATTCTTAACGCCAGGACCACCCCAGCCTGGTTTCATCTGAGTCTCGGGCTTGGGCGATGCCTGAGCATGGGTATTTTTTACATCTCCCAATTGATGCTAATGTGCAGCCAGGGCTGAGAGCCACTGCCCAACCCTGGCTCTGCATGCTGCCTTTGACGTTGTCTGTTTTGTCCCGGCAGGCTGCTGATCATGTTAGCAACCTGATTAAGGCGCTGGAGATGAGCGAGCCCCAAAATCCAAGACTCCATCTGGAAAAAGTTCTGGTGGTTAGCAGGCTGGTAAGAAGTCTCCCCTGGCTTCCGGAATGGTCTCCTTGCTTTCCTTAGGGGACCTCAGCTCCCCTGGGGAGCCCCCTGCACACCTGAGCCTCTCCTCCTGCTTCAAACTCAGCCCATCCTCTGTGGCTGTTCCTTGCCTCTGGCTGATGACTGACATGTGGGCTGGATATCCTTGGCTCAGATGCTCCTCGTGGGGTCTTAAGGTGCCTTACTTTGGGAAAGAAGGCAGTGTCCCAGCTGTTCTGCAGAAGAGCCACGTCCAGCCCTGGCTTCAGGTGCTGGGGCACCCAGCTCCAGTATTTATTTATTTTTTTGAAGATTTTATTTATTTATTTGAAAGAGTTACACAGAGAGAGAAGGAGAAGCAGAGAGAGAGGTCTTCCATCCACTGGTTCACTTCCCAATTGGCCATAACGGCCAGATCTGCACTGATTTGAAGACAGGAGACAGGAGCTTCTTCCAGGTCTCCCATGCGGGTGCAGGGGCCCAAGGACTTGGGCCATCTTCTACTGCTCTCCCAGGCCACAGCAGAGAGCTGGATCAGAAGTGAAGCAGCCGGGACTCGAATAGGCACCCATATGGGATGCCAGCACTGCAGGCAGTGGCTTTACCCACTATGCCACAGTGCCAGCCCCTCCAGTATTTATGTTTATGGAATCAGCCTGGGGCAGCTGCCAGTCTTCTTAGGTCTGTTTGACGAAGGTCCAAATAGAGCAGCTTGTCCAAGGATCTGTGTCCCTGTCAGATCCTGCGGCCCCAAAGCAAAACTAAGAACGTGGACAGCTCTGGGGCCTCGGGGACCCAAGTACAGGGCGGGAGGCCGCGAGGATGCCTCCTGTCCCTCCGTCTGTGCATGCACTCCACACGGGGCGGGAGGCAGATGGTGGCTGGTGGCAGCGCTGCCCAACACGGGGCATAAAGGGCTTCTCTCTCCCGGCTTTAGTCTTTGAAAAACCTCTTTGTGAACGCTTGGCCAGACAGGAGATGGGTCCTTGGGAGGTCCCTGTGGCCGAGGCAGGTTCCTAAGGCTGCACAGCCCTGCCAGGGCGTCCCCCATTCCTGGCGTGCCCTTGCTGAGGAGGGCTGGACTGACGGGACTCCCCGTCCCCACGTGCCTGTTCTGTGCAGTGTGGGAGGCACCAGGCCGTTCTCCAGCTGGTGGGGAGCTTCATGGAGCGCATCTTCCTGGCCACCCCCTCCTACGCCCAGGCGGCCACCGAGCTGGGCTACCTCCTCGTCCTGCGGAACCAGGTGAAGGAGGCGTTTCTGTGGTACTCAGAGGCCATGAAGCTGGACGAGGGCAGCGTGGCTGCCTTGACAGGTCTGTACAGGCCGGGAGGGGCGGGGTTGGGAGCCCAGCCGGGCAGCCTCCGGGGGTCTAGAGGAGGAGCCGTTCTCCACAGAGGGTCTGTGAGTTGAGGGGTACGCTGCGTGACGGGGTGGCCTTCTGCAGATCCACAAGCGTGGAAGTGAGAGGTACGGGACTGCTCAGAAGTGTGGGCAAAATCAGTCCCTGGTTGTCCAAACTGGCTCTCCCTTAAGACTGGCAACCTAAATCTTCTACTCGGTGGGCCCTGCTTCCCCTTGGAGACCAGCGTTGGAGACAGTCCCACCCCCATGCCCTGCTCACACATGCACACACACTTACACACGTGTACTCACACACACGTGCAGACACACACACACATGCACACGCACACACATGCACACGCACACATGCCTCCAGATGTGCCTCCCCCGCAGGTCCCAGAACTGAAGGCCACCAGCAATGGTTGTTCTGAGAGTTTTATTTCCCTGTCCAGATGCTTTTTTACAAATCCCTTCTATAAATGTCAGATAATTTCCTCCACATTCCCATTTTCATTTTACACTTTTTTTTCCCTCAAAACTTCCCATACCATGGTCTCTGGCACATTTTTTTTTTTAGGTTGATTTTATTTATTTGAAAGGTATAGTTACAGAGGAAGAGAGGGGGAGACAGAGATCTTCCATCCACAGGTTCTCTCCAAATGGCCACAACGGGCAGGGCTGGGTCAGACCAAAACCAAGAGCCAGGAACTTCTTCTGGGTCTTCCACATGGGTGCAGGGACCCAAGCACTTGGCCCGTCTTCCACTGCTTTCCCAGGCCATAGCAGAGAGCTGGGTTGGAAGTGGAGCAGCCAGGACATGAACCAGGACATGGATGAGAAGTGGAGGAGTTAGGATCCAAACCCATCCTCTCATATGGGATGTGTGCACACTAAAGTGTGCTTCTCCAGACAGTATGGTATAGCCTGCCCATTTTCTTTGCTCCATTATCAGGGAGCTGGATGGAATATGGAGCAGCTGGGACTGGAACCAGCACCCATATGGGATGTGGGCACTGCAGCTGGTGTCGCTGGCCCCCTCTGGTGTATTCTAAATGACCACATTTGATTTGGGTTGAGGAAGCCATGTGACCCAGTGCTGAGAGCTGGTCGGTTCCTGCCCTGACCCGAGGGTAAGTCAGGCACATTTGCCCCACCCTCCAGGCTCCTCTTATTCCCAGTATCCTCTGAGTAGATGCTCATGGTTTCTGCCAGGCTGGCCCCTCAGATCCATGTCTCTCCTCCCGTCCTAAATCCTCTGAAAATTGTAAAAGACATTCTGAACAGATAACAAATCCATTGCAGCCCAGCAACATGGTTCAGTAGGACCAGCAACTTTGGAGAACTTCGGATTTCTACAAGATGCAAGGTTAATGATATCAAACACATGACAATTCCAGGTAGAGCTAGAAACCCCTAAGTCGGCATGGGCAGAGCTGGGTCAGCTAACGAATGAGCTTTCCCCAAAGAGCTCCAGTCAAGACTGAAGAAGCAGCTCAGGGCGGCCAGGGGCTGCGAGTCAGGCAGGGCAGCAGGCAGTGAGAAGACCCTGGTGGGGTGGGTGGAGCCATGCCCAGCCCAGGGACAGGCATCCAGGAGCCTCTCTCTCATGGGCCTTGGGTCAGGTGACTTCCCACTTGGCCCAGGGACTTGAAGGACAAAAAGGCCAGGCTGCTCAGCACACAGGCAAAATCCCCTAAAATGTTCCTTTATCAGGGAGAGCCCCAGCAGTCAGCCAGAGGGAAGTGCAGTGGCCAGAAAACCTGTGTCACTCACCCCAGCCCAAGCCCTACCCACTTGTGTGCCTGGAGTCACCATCCTATCTGCTCGCTGTGGGAAAACTAGTGACCCTAACAGTTTGGGAAATCTGCCTGGCAACTAGCGCTCAGCGGTCTAGTCCTTTATTTGTAAATCTGCCAGCAGCCTGGAAGAGGGGCCGAGTGGACCATGCAGAGCAGTGGCCCTTGGAGCAGCAGAGGTGAGGCTGGGTGCAGAAAAGACTTTTCTCCTCCAAAACACCTGCAGTGTGTTTGGCCAAGCTTTTATGTCAAGTTGAGAACAGACTGCTATGAAAGAGGCACAGAGAACAAAAGAGCGTTGCTGAACATGGAAAACGTCATTAGCGAGTGAAGAAGCCCGTGGGCAGGCCAAATAGTGGCCAGGAAGTAACTCACTCACCAAGGTGGCGATGAGGACAACAGTGAGGAGGCGTGAGTGCTCCCGAACACCCGGGAAATTATCTGTGAAACGAGTAAGAGGAACCGAGAGTGGTACTCTCAGCATCAAAGCGTATCACAAAACCACAGAGAGTAAGTCAGCCCGAGGCCGGCGCCTGTGGAATAAACAGACAAACGAGACATGGAAGTCCTGGTTGCAAACCAGTAGGTTGTTCAGTGACTCCTGCTTGAACACCTGGCTTTCCATCGTAAAATAAAAAATGCATACGTATATACGCGCATGCAATTCCCTACCTCACACCATATTCAAATTCCAGGTGCATTAAGTATTTGAACATAAAATTAGGATTTTTAAACCTGATTACAGGCTCAGAAGTTGTAGAGGCAACTATTCTATCTATTTGCATAAATACTAGATGGTGATAGACAAGGTAAAAACATAGTTAAAATATAGGTGGGAAGCATGTAGAAAATGCAACACTGGTTCATCTTAGTAGGTCAGACAAAAACAGCACCCAAAAATAAAAACAAGTAGGCTATGAACAGGCAACTCACAGCAAAAAAGGAAAGGCTGTGAAAAGATTAGTATTCTCCCTAATAAAGATGTGGATTGAAACTGGTTCCTTTTCAGTTTCTAAATTGGCAAAGATCAGCCTGTGAATTTGTTGGGAAAGGACACTTAAAATTCTTGGCAATAATGTAAATTCAGATAACTCCAGAGAGCAAGTTGGCCTTATCTGTTGGTGATTAATTAAATGAGTTTTTTGAGAGGCGGATAGACAGAGTTCCTATGTCCTGCTTTACTCCCAGGTGCCCACAATGGTCAGGGTGGAACAAGGACCAGGCTGGGCATGAAGCTGGGGTGCAGGAACTCAACCCAAGTCTTCCACATGGATGTCAGGAATCCAATTGAGCCATCACAGCTGCCTCCTAGGGTCTGTGTTAGCTAGAAGCTGGGTATCAAACCCAGGTACTCTAGCACGGGACATGTATGTCTCAGCTGTTAGGATAAACTCTTGTCTGCCCATCTGTATGCATATTAGATATTCATGCCTCTTGACTCGTCAGCTCTAGTTCAGGAATTAGAACATAGGAAAATACTCACCATGGCATCGTAATACAAAAACACTGTAAACAAGCTAAATATGCAATTGTTAAATGGTTATATCCGCAGAATATTGTGTGTATTGTCAGTAAAGAGAATGGGGTAGGCTTGTATGAAGTGATGGGAAAACAAGTCCATCATATATAAAGTTGTAAGGTGGTATATATGCACTTTGATTGCCATGTGTATGCACGTCTTGAAACCATTGGTAGGCTCATCTGTGTGTGTACGTACATTAATAACATATACTTAAAACAGTGTTGGAAGGAATAGCCCCCACATGCTTACTGGTGGTCACCTGTAGAGACAGAATTGTTAAGCCAGAGGATGAGCTGGAGTTGCTTTTCTACATTTGCCCGTATGATTTGAATTCTTTCCTTTGCGGGTGTTTCACACTTTGAGAAGACGCTGGGAGAGATCTGCCCTGGGACACCTTCCTTCCTCTGTCTCACCCGTGTCCTTGACCCTGTGGGCTGCTCAGCCTCGTTCTGTCCATTCACAGGGATCATCTGGTGCCAGATCTTGGAGGGCCACCTGGAAGAGGCGGGGCACCAGCTGGAATTCCTGAAGGAGGTGCAGCAGTCCCTAGGGAAGTCGAAGGTCAGCACTCCCGGGGGCGTGGAGGGCTCCGGGTCGTGTCCCCTGCCCTCTTCCCACTGCCCTCTTCCAGCAGGGAACAGCCGAGGTGGCCTGCGCCTCCACTTTGCCCCTGAGACTCGGGCCTCGCTTCTGCAGGTGCTGGTTTTCCTCCAGGCTCTTCTGGCCTCCAGGAAGAGCAAGGGGGAACAGGAGGTCACGGCGCTGCTCCAGGAGGCCGTGGAGCTCCACTTCTGCGGCATGCGAGGCCTCCCCATGGGCTGCGAGTACTTTGAAAAGCTGGACCCGCCCTTCCTGGTCTGCGTGGCCAAAGAGTACTTGCTCTTCTGCCCTAAGCAGGTTAGGGAAGGGTCCATCTTCACGGCAGGGCTTTGAGGTGCAGGTTTGGATAGGGCACAGTCCCCAGGCTGGAGTGGGGCTGGGGTGGGGGAAACCAGTGCTTTTCAAACTTGAACGTGCAGTGCACAGATCAGCTGGGAGGTGGTTGTCCCAGTGCAAATGCTGACTGTGAGAGCCTCGCAGCCCTGACCAGCTCCCAGGCGATGCTGATGCTGCTGGCCCAGGGAGCACCCTTGGAGGAGGAGGGTGTTGGCCTCTACCCTGCCTTTACCCTGGATTAGAACTTGGCTCCCCATTTTTCCAGAGCCTTCTAAGGTATGTGTTCATCTTGACTTGCTCGTGCCACTTTCTAGGCCAGTTAAGGTCCCTTGTGGACAAGGACTGTATTTTCATGTGTCTTGGTAGCCCCTCCACGCCTCACAGCGCGTCGTTCAGCAGGTATCTGCTGGGTGCTGTACCCTGTGCCAGACATCACCCTGGGTACCAGGGAGACGAGAGTGAGCAGAACAGGGTCCCCGTTCTCTGGAGCTCAGGCTCTAGGAAGAGCGGGTCATAAACTAGTGTGGGATAAAGCAGGAGCCCTGCCTCGTGAGTGTCTCTCAGAGCAGCAGACCACACAGCAGGTCCCCTGTGCTCCCGCAGCCCCGGGCACCCGGCCAGATCGTGGCTCCACTTCTTAACCAAGTCACCGTGATCTTGACTCCTGTGGTCAAGGCAGCACCAGCTCTGCTCGACTCCATGTATGTGATGGCTCAGATCAAGTATCTCTCAGGTAAGCCAGTGGATCCTGGAGACCAGGCAGGGTTGTGTCTTCTCACAGCCCTGTTCGTCTGCTCAGGCACCTGCTGGGATTTCTGTTCGCTCATCCCCAAATCATTGTCCACAAGATGTGTCCACAGGCTTCCTGTCTGGGATATTTTAAACACAGACTGCACAGAGACACAATGGGCCTCTTACCAGGCCTGCCTGCTCCTTCCAGCTTCCAGTCCCCCAGGGATCTTCTGACCTGCACCAGCAGGGGTCTCTCCCATCCAGGCCATTTTTGGATGACTAACTTGATCTGTGCAGGTTATAGTTATTGAACTTGGATAAAGTAGTACTCAAAATAGGCAAAAAAAATTCTCTCACGGAGCTTGCATTTTATTTTTATTTATTTATTTTAAATAATTTTTTTAATCCAGGGCCAGTGCTGTGGCATAGTAGGTTAAGCATCGTGTGTAACACTGGCATCTCATATGGGTGCCAGTTCAAGTCTTTGCCCCTGCACTTCTGATCCAGCTCTCTGCTGTGGCCTGGGAAAGCAGTAGAAGATGGCCTAAGTGTGTGGACCCCTGTACTGTGTGAGAGACCTGGAGGAAGCTCCTGGCTCTGGATCTGTCCAGCTCTGGCCTTTGTGGTCATTTGGGGAGTTAACCAGTGGATGGAAGACCTCCCTCTCTGTCTCTCCCTCTCTAACTCAGCCTCTCAAGTAAATAAGTCATTTATTTATTTGAAAGGCAGAAAGACAAACAAAAATCTCCCACTTCATTTCACAAATGCCCATTATAGTCTGGACTGGACTAGAGCTGGCACAGGTCAAAACCAGAAGCCTGGGGTTCCATCTGGGTCTCCCATGTGGGTGCCAGATATCCAAGTGTTGAGCTGTCACCTGCTGCCTCCCAGGGTGTACATTAGCAGGAAGCTGGAGTTGGGAGCACTGCTGGGACCCAAACCCTGTCTGTCCCACCCCAGGCTGCTCTGGTGTCCTGAGGGCTTCCAAGGATCCAGAGTCCAGTAGCCATGTCTGCCCTTCAGCACTGCCCCGTCTTCATCCCCCACCCCCGCTCATCTGGGTGCTAGTCTGCCCACAACTTCGAGGTCTCCTGGGGACAAGGCCGGGAGGGAGGACTGTAGCCAGCAGATCTGGGGCCAAAGCACAGCCTCTTGCTGCTTAGGTTGCCATGGTGACCTCTTCCCATTTCCACAGCTCACAGGGAAGGAGCAGGGAGTTTGGGACCTGGCAGCAGGGTTTTCCCCACCCACCAGGTTATGGACCCCAAGCAGAAGCTGCTGAGGGACACAGCCGCAGAGAAAAGGGGGGCTCGCCTAGCAGTACATCACATGCATGCCCAGGCCGCTACCACCACCCCAGAAACACCAGCCTGGCAGGCTCCTCGGCCCCCGGTGCCCTTGGGCTCGGAGCTCTGAAGGGCCTGCATTGGAATGCTCACCTCATCCCCTGCAAGCAGAGTGCCTTACATCAGTGGAGCCCCAGGCCTCCCATCTCACAGATAAGGACAGATGTCAATCAGACATGCTGAAGTCCTTCGCATGTGGCATATAGAGCAGGTGCTGCATAAACCGTGGCTGTTGCCATTGCCGTTGTTATTAGGTTTTGTTCTGCTCTTCGGTGTGGGAATTGAAATGTGCGTGGTCCCTGGAGCCTCCAGGTAAAACAGCAAAGTGACTTAGCCAACTCACCAAGGGCTGCAGGGACCAGCGGGGTGTTACACCTGAGTTGTTGGGTTTCCTGGCTTTTGTCTGGTCTTAGGCAGGAAACTCTTTTTTTTATGTTCTTTTATTTGAACAGGAAGTGACAGGTGAGGAGAGAGACAGAGAGAGGGCTTTCCTTTGCCGTTGGTTCACCCCCCAATGGCCACCGCAGCTGGCACACTGCGCTGATCTGAAGGCAGGAGCCAGGTGCATCCTCCTGGTCTCCCATGCAGGTGCAGGGCCCAAGCACCTGGGCCATCCTCCACTGCCTTCCCGGGCCACAGCAGAGAGATGGACTGGAAGAGGGGCAACCAGGACAGAATTCGGCGCCCCAACCGGGACTAGAACCCGGTGTGCCGGCGCCACAGGCGGAGGATTAGCCTAGTGAGCTGCAGTGCAGGCCCTAGGCAGGGAACTCTTGAGTGAGGCAGTAGAAAGCCCGGTCCAGTGCCCAGCGTGGCTGTTTCTGAGTAATAACTTGAACCTCATTCTGCCTCTCCAAGGACCCCCACATGGAGAGGTTTATTTGTGATTCCTAGGAGAACTGGAGAATGCCCACAGCACCCTGAAGTGTTGCCTGGAGCTGGACCCCACCTTTGTGGATTCCCACCTCCTCATGGCCCAGATCTACCTGGCTCAAGGCAACTTTGCCATGTGCTCCCACTGCTTGGAGCTGGGTGTCAGCCACAACTTCCAGGTGGGGGTCCTCTGTTCCCTGTGCCTGCTCAGCACCCAGAAGCCCAGCTGGCTGCAGCCCCTGCGCACCCCAGGGTCCCCCTGCTTCCCTCTGTCTCTCTTGCTGGCCTAAAGGGCAGGGGTAGGCTCCTGGGGCTCGTGGGGCTTTCTCCATGGCTGCTTTTCTTGCAGCCACAGAGGCAAACTGGAGCCCCCGCTGTACTGTGTTCCTCCTAGGTTCGAGACCACCCCCTCTACCACTTCATCAAGGCCAGGGCACTCAACAAGTCCGGAGACCACGCAGAGGCCATCAAGACACTGAAAATGATCATGAAGCTGCCCACTGTGAAGGTGGAAGAAGGCAAGAAGTTCCGGGGGCACCCTGTGCAGCCCAGCGAGCGGGTGTCCATCCTACTGGAACTGGCAGATGCCCTCCGGCTGAACGGGGAGCTGGTAGGCAATGGCATGCTCTTTTCCCTTGGGTGCGGGGCATGTTGGAAGCCAAGGAGAGCCTGGAAACCCAGCTCTTTAGTTCTGCCAAACGTCTACTTGTGCTGGTGTTTGAGCCTTTACCGTTTGGGGAGCATGGGCCTTCTCTGCCTTGAAGGCTTCAGTGACTCCCCTTGCCCTCAGGATAAGTTCCCAGCCCAGTGGATCCTGTGTGATCTGCTCTCTGGCTTGCTCACTGTCCCCGTGAAGATCTCAAGGAGGCAGGCCCAGCAGGGCCACCACCAGCGCTTGTGCAGACTAGATACTGCACAGCTGCAATGCCAGTCACATGATGATCTCTAAGAACTATGTCCCCTGGGAGTATTGCAGTGCACAACATGCTTAACTGTATGCGACAGCTCCAGGGCCTTGGAAAGCCCAGGTGGGCAGAGCAGGAAGAACCTGGGCATCCCCAGCTGGTCCGTGGAGGCCGTGAGGAACACGGAGGCGGGGACAAGGCCTGGGGCCAGGGCTGGAATCTGCGTGTTTCCTTGGCCTCACTGGCTGCTGGCCTCAGCACCTTGTGGGAGGGGCCTTGTCCAGGACCCTTCTGTGATCCAGCAGTACTGGGACCTGCAGCCTTCTCCTGGGATGATCTGGGGGAGAGAGAGAGATTTAGCATCTTCCTTAAAGATGGGAAAGTGGAAACGTGTATTTTCCTTCCTTAAGTCTTATAAAAAGGAACAAAAGAACTAAAGTAGAGAAGGACTCTCCCTCTGTAACAAAATGAGGGAACAGCCGTGTGCAGGAGGAGTTGATTCATGCAGTCACTGAGTCGGTCCCTAGTTCCCGAGGACCTCCCGTCCGCCAGGCATTATGATGGGGGCTGGGGACAAAGGTGAGCAAGCCAGTGAGGAGCCCTCTGCTCCCAGAAGTTACCCTGGGCCGCAGCACGAGAAAGCAGGTGCTGGGCCAGGAAGCCTGAGCTGCCAGTGTGGGCTTGGAGCCTTCTGAGCAGAGGATGTGGCCAAGGCACGGGAAAAGCAGGGGCGTTCCTGGAGGAACCCAGTCCCACCCCCGGAGAAGGGCAGGGCTGCTGGACGACAGCCAGCCCGGGGCGTTGTCAAAGAGGAACCGAAAGGAGTCGGCGAAAAGCCCGAGACTCACATCTGTGATAATGAAATGAAGCAACTGTACCTATTAAATGAAAAATGACGTTCGTTTTCAACAAAGAATGGAACCGCTGCTCTCTGCACTCAAAAAACTGGAGAGCTCAGAGTGAAAGTGCAAAGATGGCCCGCCTGGCCAGCAGCAGAGGGGCAGGCTCCAGGCCCAGAGAGGGACCTAAGAGAACTCCACTGACAGGCCCTCAGCTGGAAAAGGTCTTTGAGCAAAAGCAGGAACGTGCAAGGGGATGGGCCCTGGGCCTCACAGGGAGGGAGACTGTCAGCAGGTTTTGAGGTCCAGCGAATAATCAGGTTATTACAGTTGGGGGTTCCCGTACCCCAAGCTAGTCAGGCATCGTCTCCTGTCGTCTGGAACCATGGCCATGAACTTGAAAAGGATTTTCTGCCTCCAGAGCTGCTCTGCTCTGCAGACCGCCTTATCCTTGACTTCTGTGTGCCAAGGCTGAGCCCAGCTCTGTCTCCATGTTTTGTGGGGAATTTTTTTTTTAATGATTGATGTATTGATTTGAAAGAGTAACCGAGAGAAAAAGAGATCTTCCTTCCACTGGTTTATTCCCCACCAGTGGCTGCAACAGCTAGGCCTGGGCCAGGCCAAAGCCAGGAGTCAGGAGCTTCATCCGGGTCTCCCACGTGTCTACAAGGCCCCAAGGAGTTCGACCATCTTCTGCTACCTTCCCAGGCACATTAGCAGGGAGTTGGATTGGAAGTGGAGCAGCCAGGACCCAAACCAGCCCTCATATGGGATGCCAGCGCTGCAGGCAGCAGCTTTACCTGCTATACCACAACAGCAACCCTTACATGGTTTTTTGTTTGTTTGTTTGTTTTTTAATATTTTCTGGGGGCCAGCATTGTGGCGCAGTGGGTTAAGCCGTTGCCTGCAGCGCTGGCAACTCCTATGGGCGCTGGTTGGAGCCCTGGCTACTCTACTTCTGATCCAGTTGCCTGCTAATATACCTGGGAAGGCAGTGGAAGATGGCCCAAGTACTTGGCCCCTGCACCTATGTGGGAGACCCAGAAGAAGCCCCTGGCTCCTGGCTTCAGCCTTGCCCAGCCCTGGCCATTGCTGCCATTTGAGGAGTGGATCAGCAGATGGAAGATCTCTCTCTGTCTCTCCCTCTTTCTCTCTGTAACTCTGCCTTTCAAATAAATAAGCCTTTAAAAAAATTATTTTCTGGGCAGGCACTGTGACCAGCAGGTTAGGCCACTGCTTGGGATGCCCACATCCCATATCAGAGTGCTGAGCTGAGTCCCATCTCCTCTGCTTCTGGTCCAGCTTCCTGCTACTGCCTCCTGGGAGGCAACAGATGACAGCTCAAGTGTTTGTGTCCCTGCCTCCTACATAAGAGGCCCAGATGGAGTTCCTGGCTCCTGACTTCAGCTTGACCCAGCTCTGACTGTTGTGGGCATTTAGGGAGTGAACCAGAGGATAGAAGTTTCTCTCTCTTTCTCTGTCCATCCTGTTTTCTGTCATACTGCTTTTCAAATCTTTTTAAAAAGTTTAGTCTACTTGAAATGCCACATGAGAGCAAGAGAGAGAGAGAGAGAGAGAGAGAGAGAGAGAGAGGTCAGTTTTCCGTCTACTCGTTTACTCCCCAAATGGCTGCAATGGCTGAAAACAGACCAGGCTGAAGCCTGGAGCTTGCAGTTCCTTCTGGGTCTCCCGCATGAGTGGCAGGGATCCAAGGACTTGGACCATCTTCTGCTGCTTTCCCAGGTGCATTAGCAGAGAGCTGGATTGGAAGGGAAGCATCCAGGACTCAAACTAGCTCTCCGATATGAGATGCTGGCATCAAAAACAGTGGCTTATCCCACGGCACCACAACACCAGCCTATAAACATTTTATTTATTTATTTTAAAACTTACTTTATTTATCTGAAAGAGTTACAGAGAGAGAAGGGGATAAACAGAGAAAGAGTTCTTGTATCCATTGGTTCCCTCCCCAGATGGCTGCAACGGCTGGGGCTGGGCCAGGCCAAAGCTAGGAACCCGAAGTTCTATCCCGGTCTCCCATGTGGGTGACAGGGGCCCAAGTACTTGGGCCATTCTCTGCTGCCTTCCCGGGCACATTAGCAGAGAGCTGGATTGGAAGCAGAGCTGGGACTTGAGCCGGTGCTCTGATATGGGATCCAGTGTCGCAGCTGGAGGCTTAACCTGCTGTGCCACATCGACAACCCTAAGTAAACATTTTTAAAAAGTTATTGACTTTCATTGTATTTGAAAGGCAGGAAGGCAAAGAGAGATCTTGCGTCTGTTGTTTCACTCAACAAACGCCTACAACACCCAGGGCAGAGTGAAGGCTTGGCCAGCCCAAAGCCAGGAGCCCAGAACTCCATTCAGGTCTCCTGTGTGGGTGTCAGGGACCCAAGTACTTGAGCCATCCCTGCTGCCTCCCTCGGTGTGCGTTAACAAGAAGCTGAATCAGAAACGGAGGAGCTGGGACTTGAACCAGGAACTCTGATAGGAATTGCAAGAGTCCCGAGCAGTGAGCCATCTTCCCGTGTTGTTCCTCGCCCAGGGCAGGAGCGGGAAGGAGGATCACTTTTAGTTTCCCAGGAGGGGCGTTACGTGCTGTGTCAGCCCACCTGCAGCAGATGATGCTACATGGAGGGTCTGTTTGATTCCCGTGACTTAGCACGAGGCCACCAAGGTCATGCAGGATGCCATAAACGAGTTCAGCGGCACGCCGGAGGAGATCCGCGTCACCATCGCCAACGCGGACCTGGCCCTGAGCAAGGGCAACGCGGACATGGCGTTGAGTATGCTGAGAAACATCACGCCCAAGCAGCCCTGCTACATGGAAGCCAAGGAGAAGATGGCCGACATCTACCTGCGCACCCACAAAGACAGGAGCCTCTACGTCGGCTGCTACCGGTGAGCCCCGCAGGCAGCGTGGGGAGAGCCTGTCCCGAGCGGTCCTGGGACCTTCAGCTCGGGTCTGCTGCATGTGTGTGTGGAGTGGGTTTGGTGAAAGCCTGGGCTCTCCCACGGGTTAGGATTTGAGCGCTGGGTCAGTGCGCCCTGCTCACAGGACACAGAATCAAATTGCCGCCCCCCGCCCACGCTTCCCCTACCCCTTGCGTGGAAGCCTGTGGGCCTGGCACCCAGAGCAGATGCCAAGGAACTGTGAGGTCACAGGCCTCCGCCCTGCCACTGGCTCTGCCTGACCTTGGAGTGCCAGGGACTCGGCTGTGACCAGTGTCCGAGGTGGCTGCGGATGGAGAGCCATGGTCTCTACAGGACTGGTGCTGGAACCCTGAGGGTGCCTTCCCAGCGCTTCCTTCCACAAAACTCCATCTGGGCAGTTTCCGGAGGGTTGGGGGGTGCCGGGGATGAAGGGGCGTCTCGGTCCAGTGATCGGAGGCCTGTGGACGACAGGGGGCGTGGTCAGACTGGAGCTTCAGAAAGAGCAGCCTGGCCGCCTCCTAGGGAGGGCTAGGAAAGGGGAGGGGTGGGGATGGGAGGGACGCGGGGGTGGGGCTCCAGCCCTTGCCACAGGACAGTGAGGAAGGCCCAGCTCAGGGAGCCAGCACAGGGCCTCGCGCACTGGGTTTTCTGAGGTGTTGGATGACAGAGGCCGCTAGGAAGAGGAGGTTACAGACTCAGAGCGATGAGGGTGTCCAGTTGGCTCTCTGCAGCACACTAGTGTCGGTTTTATGGATAGGAAATCATAGTTACTGGGTGTGAACAGTGCACGGTAAAGTGAGGAGAGCATTACAGGAGAAGTAGGGGGTGTCGCTGGAGGAATTTATGTATGGGAGGGGGTTTCCATTTATCTTTTAAAACTTCTACGTGTATTTTTCAAAACTTAGTGCACATATAAAAATGCTGCATATTTCTGGGGTGCTGTGGCATGCTCTGCTGCATGGCAGTATGTGCAGATATACATCACGTGGTGGCCCATCAGGGGAAATACGTGCATCTCTGCAGATGTTTGCCACGTCTTTACAGTAAAGAAATCCTGACTCCTGTCTCCTAAGTAAAAAAGAGAAATGCACAGTAAATTATCTGTACTCACCCTACCGCATAGCATAACCCCAGGACTTCTTACTCCTGTCTAGCTGCAACCTAGTAGCCACCCATCGATCTGTCCTCACCCCTCCCTCCCTGCTTCTTGCCCCAGACCCTGGTAACCACCATTAGATTTTTAACTTCTGTAAGCTTTCGAGTTGGGGAGGGAAGGAGGAAAGGAGATATTCTTCTACCCACTGGTTCATTCCCCAAATGGCCAGCTGGGACTGGAACTGGGCCAGGCCCAAGCCAGGAGCTTCCTCCAGGTCTCCCATGTGGGTGCAGGGGCCCAAGTACTTGGGCCTCCTGCTGCTGCTTTCTCAGGTGCATTGTCAGGGAGCTGGATCACAATTAGAGCTGTTGGGACTCGAACCGGGCCCCATATGGGCTGCTGATGCTGCAGACGGCAGCTTAAGCCGCTACGCCACAGTGCCAGCCCCTCGATTCCTCTTGCAGTGAGCTCTGTGAACACCTGCCTGGCCCCCACTCCAGCCTGCTGCTGGGCGATGCTTTCATGAGCATTCAGCAGGTGAGTGAAGGGCCTCACAGTCTCACCAAATGGCTCCCAGCCTCACTCCTCCCACAGGAGAGGAGAAAGACCCCCGGACATTTTCCCTACCAGCCCGAGAAGGCCCTGGAAGTCTACGAAGAGGCCTGTAGAAAGAACCCGCAGGACGCCTCCCTGGTCAGCAGGACCGGACAAGCGTACGTGAAGACACACCAGTACACCAAGGTCGGGCTGGGCCGGGGTGGGCCCCGGTGGTGGTGGGGGGCCAGCCCAGCAGAGGAGGTGGAGGAGGGCGCAGCAGTGGGGGGACTGGATGGGGGGAGCACGATGCCAGGCGCTTGGGGCAGCCCCGCACCCGAGGCCAGCACTTCCTGTTTGCACCAAGGCGGTTAACTACTACGAGGCCGCGCAGAAGATAAGTGGACAGGACTCCGTGCGCCGCCATCTGGCTGAGCTGCTCCTGAAGCTGAAGCAGTTCGGCAGAGCGGAGAAAGTTCTGAAGCAGGCCCTGGCACGCGGCGGCGGTGAGACGGCGTTCTAACCCGCCTCCAGCCCTCGGAGTGGGCGCGCCGTCCCACCGCCTGTGGTGGCCCAGCCCCGCCCACCTAGCCGGCCAAGCAGGGGCCGGGGGACACTGACGCGAGTTTGTGTTTAGCAGCCACAGACATCCCGTCCATGATGAAGGATGTTGAGTGCTTGCTTTTGCTGGCAAAAGTGTACAAGAGCCACAGGAAAGACGACGTCTTGGAAACTCTGAACAAGGTAATGGCCGGGTGGGCTGCAGCTCATCACCTGCCGGCTCCTGATGGGGGCTGCAGGTCTGGAAGGCTCCAGACCTCCTCTTCCGAAGAGGACCTGGGTTACACCTCTGACTTTCCACTTATTCTCCATGCTTGGTCTTCCAGTATCAGTGAGCCAGAGTGCTCTGGGCTGGGCTGGGCTGGGCTGGGGAGCACAGGAAGTGAGGCGGTGGTAATAATAGTGATAGCAACAATAGCTCCTGTGCGTTGAAAGCTCCACGCCAGGCTTTTTGCCTTCTTGCTTAGTTCACACTGCGACATTCCCATTGAACAGATGAGGCTCAAAGAGGTTAAGAAATCATGCCCAGCATCAGGTACCAGCAAGTGGGGGAGCTGAGGTCAGAGCTGGGTCTGGCTTGTCCAACCCACGTTCTTTCCACGCGGGGCTGCCCCTGACCCTGGAGCCCTTGGCATTCCTGACATACCTTCCTCACTTTGCCCACCCAAGGAGGTGTTGCTGGGCTGTGCTCAGGGGCGGCAGAGAGAGGCCCTCCTCCTGACGCCCTGGGATCGTCTCTCCCTGCCTCCCACTGGCTTCCCATGCACACCCAGCTGCTGCAGCTTAACCCAGCATCCTCATGTCCTCTTGCTGCCTACTTACCTGATCATTTTCTGCCGTGGGTATTTGTGGGGCCGCCTAAGATTCCCAGCAAGGCAACACAAAAACGCAGCCCGTGTGGGGCACCTACCATGTGCTTGTTCTAGCCTGTAGGGAAGCCAAAGCAAATGAGAGACAAGATGTGATGCAGGAGGAGGTAAACAGGTCAGTGTGATAGAATGTCTTGTTCAGCCCTTGCCTCTGCTCCTGCCCCCGGGGACATGCCAGCCTGCCTCCTGTGTACCCAGCAGGCGGCCTTGCCTGTCCAGAACAACCCACATTTGTCCAATTGAGTTGCACTTTCTAACACTGTGACTCAGGAAAAAAACCTTGGAATTTTCTCAAGTGGCATATCAAGCCCTGGGTTTGTTTATTTATTTGAAAGAGTTACAAAGAGGCAGAGAGAGAGAGAGATCTTCCATCCATTGGTTCACTCCTTCCAAATGGCCACAACAGACGGAGCTGTGCCAATCTGAAGCCAGGAGCCAGGAGCTTCTTCCAGGTCTCCCATTGTGGTTCAGGGGTCCAAGCACTTGGGCCATCCTCTGCTGCTTTCCCAGGCCATAGCAGAGAGCTGGATCGGAAGTGGAGCAGCCGGGACTCGAACCGGCGCCCACATGCTATGCCGGCACTACTGGTGATTGCGTTTACTCACTACACCACAGTGTCGGCCCTGCCCTGGGGTTCTGATCCTGGCTTTGTTGGCTTTCCAAGGCCTTTGACTTCCAGTCTCGGATACTGAAGCGCATTCCTCTGGAGCAGCCGGAAGTGATGCCCGCCCAGAAGCAGCTGGCAGCCTCGATCTGCATCCAGTTTGGCGAGCACTACCTGGCAGAGAAGGAGTACACCAAGGCGGCGCGGTCTTACAAGGAGGCTCTCTCCTACTCTCCCGCGGACACCCAGGTGGCTGGCCCTCACAGCTAGGCCCTGTCCCTGCCGTGGGGCACAGCGCCTTGCCTCAGCAAGGCCTGTGCCTCACCTGCACAGGGGCCAGGTCCTTGCCGGCCCTGCCTGAGGAGCTGCCGGCAGAGGCCAGGGGAGGCCAACAGCAGCTCCTGGGGTGAGCGTCCTGTTCCAGCTGACCCCGGCCCTCACCTATCGCAGCCCCTGAAGCAAGGCCGAGCAGGCTCACTCTGGACGGCTGTGTGGGGAAGGCGTTTTCGAAGGTCGTGTTAGTCTGACATTTCCAGGTGTCCCTGGGAAGGTGGGGGGCGGCGGGGGGATGATAGAGGTTGCGGCTGCCAGGGCTCAGCTTCCCGGGGTCATGGAGCCGTGAGGGAGGAGTGGTGTCAGATGAGGGGACAGTGGCTGGAAGTGCTTAGTGACAGATCATTCACTTTATATTCACTCCATAAACCGATACCTAACATGCACCGGGAACTTGTGCTAGGCCTTGGAGATACAGTGGGACAAGATGTGTTCGCTGCCCACAGGTGGCCCCGGGGCAGGGGCACCCAGATGAGCACATGGGGTGGTTCTAATGCCAGGAAGTGTCCTGACGCTGGAGGATGTGGATCTCAGGGTCTGGGGCCCAGATTGCTCCTGGAGGCTGAGCCAAGGCTCAAGGATGAGTATGGGTTGGGTGGTGGCACCCGTGGGGTGACTGGAGTTCTTACTGGGTGCAGGAACAGGAGGACCAGGGACATCATCCTGGGGAATTTTGAGGCACGGCCATTAGGATTGGGGTATGGGGAAATGAGCTGAGGACATTCCCGGGTTTGTCCCCAGTGTTCCCTGGGGAGTCTGTCACACCAGGCCTTCTCCCAGGTGATGCTGGAGCTGGCACGGATCCACCTGCTTCAGGGGAACCTGGATTTGTGCGAGCAGCACTGTGCCACCCTCCTGCAGATGGAGCAGGCCCACGAGACTGCTTCTGTGGTAGGAGACCCTGGAACCCCCTCGTCCCCGCTCCGCAGGGTCCCTGTGACCAGGTGCAGGCTGCTTGCCAGCCCTGTGTCCTCACAAGCCTCGCTGACCCCTCTCCTAGGGGCTGTCAGACAGTGAAGACTCCAGGCTGCACCTGCTCTGCGCTACAGCCTGGAGAAGCAGGCTGGCCAGCAGGGGGCAGCAGCAACCTCCCGGGGCTGGTCTGAGGGGAAAGGGTGAGGTTGATTCACTCCAGGGGAAACCACACCCACCGTAGGTGAAGGCGAGGGCGGGACAGGTTCCTGCCTTTTTCCTCCCTGTCACCCAGACTTCTTGTGGGGTCCCTGCAGGGTGGGGTGAGCCTAAGTGGGGAGGCCGGCTCTGTAGGTTAAGGCCCCGCTGGGCTCTACATCTGGCCCCACCTTCCTTCACCCTTCCATTCTCAGCCCAGCCCCACCCCCCACATATCCCCTTCCCCAGGTGGAGCCCACCTTCTGGCCCGTCCTGTGGCGGCTGCCTTGCAGTCCTTTTTGATCTTCCCTTCTTCCCGCCCCCGCCCCCGCGTCCTCACACCCATCACGATGCTGTCAGCAGTCCCGCAGCCTTGTGTGTCTTCTGCTAGCTCTTGGCTGACCTGATGTTTAGAAAGCAGAAATACGAAGCAGCCATCAGTCTCTACCGCCAAGTCCTGGAGAAAACGCCAGGTAACTACTTTACTCAGCCTGTCACGACTGCCCACACGGGTTCCCACCGAGCCAGGGCCACTCTCCGGGAGAAGGGTGGGCCCTCTCCCCTCCTTCCTGACTGGGCAGAGGAAGCCCCTTCCTCTCTGATTGTTCCCAGAGAAGCAGGAAACTGATAAAGACCCAATGGAACGTGCCGGCCCTTCCCAGGTCCAAGGGGCCAGTTCCTGGTCCCAGGCACTTGGCACTGGACCCAGGACAGCCTGTGTGTCCCCGAGTCACAGCCACCGGGCTTCGCCCAGTCCCCTGCTGAATGAAGTCCCAGCCTCCTGCAGGGAGCGAGAAGCTCCCGGGGCTGAGTAGCTCCATTCCCACTGAGGTTCAGGCTGGAGCCTGGCTGGTGCACAGCGCCGTGCTGCGTAGGTGTTAGCTGCTGTTCTGACTATGTGGAAGCATTATCGTTATTCATTCAGCACTGGAGACCAGCAGAAGCACAGCGGTGTTGCAGTGTCCCCTTGCTCACTCGGCCCACGTGGGCAAGCGTCTCCTGGGTCTTCCAAGGGACCCAGCACCCCCCTTCTTCTCTCCACAGGGGCCACGGGACCCCCATAGGGTTCAGCTATTGGCTCTCACAGCCTGGAGATTTCTGTTCTTGTTTCAGACAATTTTTCGGTATTGGATAAATTGATTGACCTGCTACGAAGAAGCGGCAAACTTGAAGACGCTCCTGCCTTCTTTGAGTTGGCCATGAGAGTGTCCAGCCGGATGCCTCTGGAGCCAGGGTTCAACTACTGCAGAGGCATCTACTGCTGGTGAGTTGGGGGCAGCTGTGTGCAGGGCAGACGAGGCTGTGGCTTAGCGGAAGGAAGCAGACAGCCTCTGGACGCGGAGCCCCGAGGCAAGTGATCCACCCCCCAGAGTGTCCCGGGTACTCCCCCTCTCCCTGATTCTTGGTGCTTCCTGCACTGCAGGCACAGAGGACAGCCCAACGAAGCCTTGAAGTTCCTAAACAAAGCGCGCAAGGACAGCACTTGGGGCCAGAGCGCCACCTGCTACATGGTGCAAATCTGTCTGAACCCAGACAAGGAGATTATGGGTGGAGAGGCTTTGGAGAACCTGTCCGAGAGCAGGTAAGGGTCCGCGGGGAGCGAGCAGGGCCCCGGGGGAGACAGGGAGAGCCTTTGACCCCTGGGTGGAGGCCAGGTGAGGGCCACGTGGGCAGGCTGTGCGTCCCACGCCCCGCAGCGCTGCCGACAGGAAGGAGTCGGAGCAGCACGGCTTGCGCACGGCCGTGAAGCTGCTGTTGGAGTTGTGCCCAAGCTCGGCCCTGGACCACACCCAGCTACGGCTGCTGCAGAACCTCTGCCTGCTGGCCACCCGGGAGAAAGCCAACATGGAGGCGGCGCTGAGCACCTTCATCGAGATAGCCCAGGCCGAGGTGCGGCAGCCGGCGGGGACGGGCAGGCGTTGGGGCAGGGGCCAAGGGGAGGGCCGAGGCGTGCCTACCTCCACTCCGCACCTCGTACACAGAGGGACAGCGTCCCCGCCCTGCTGGCCGTGGCGCAGGCCTACATGCTGCTGAAGCAGGTCCCCAAGGCGCGCACGCAGCTGAAGCGCCTGGCCAAGGCCCCCTGGGTGCTGCCCGAGGCCGAGGACCTGGAGAAGAGCTGGCTCCTGCTGGCTGACATCTACTGCCAGAGCGGCAAGTTCGACCTGGCCTCGGAGCTGCTGCGGCGCTGCGTGCAGTACAACAAGGCGAGGGGCTCCCTGGGTCGGGCCAGCTGGGCTGGGGGCAGGCTCCAGGGGCACCGGGAAGGCTGGAGGGCCTCAGGAATGGAGGAGACCCTGGGGAGGAACCCAGCAAGAAGAGTGGGAACAAGAGAGACACAGGGGTGACAGAGCAGGACGGGAACGGGTGACGGCGTGAGGCTGGAGGACGCACGTAGGGATCGTAGTGGGGGATGCGGAACACAAGGAGGGTGCAGGGCTTAGGACGGGCAGAGGGGCCTTCCGAGGTCACAGTGCAGTGCCAGCGGGAGCAGAGAGGACAGGAGGGCTGAGCTGAAGGGCTATGGGTGGGGAAGGGGGTATGCAGTTCACCCCCTGCAGGGTTGGGGTGCGCCTGGTTCCCTGAGCAGTTTGAGCAGACACAGCTCCCCACCATCGCCCCGTGCATCCGCCCGAGCCCCGCGGTGCCTTCCCCGCCACAAAGGCTCTGCTGGACTCTCCTTGCAGTCATGCAGCAAGGCCTACGAGTACCTGGGCTTCATCATGGAGAAGGAGCAGTCCTACAAAGACGCGGCCACCAATTACGAGCTGGCCTGGAAGTACAGCCATCACGCCAGCCCCGCCATCGGTAAGGCGGCTTGCCATGGTGCACGCAGGGTGCTGGGGAGCGGGGGAAGGTGGGCACCAGCCCCCCACCAGGGCCCTGGCCTCCAGGCCTCTCTACCCTGGTGGTGGTGGGAACCAGAGGGGTTCTCGGGTCATCAGGGTACCACCTTCTCCACTCCCCCTGCTCCTGGACAGGATTCAAACTCGCTTTCAACTACTTGAAGGACAAGAAATTTGTGGAGGCCATTGAGATCTGCCACAGAGTAAGCCCCCCACAGCAGCTGGGAGGGCCTGGGGTGGGGCGGGGCACCCCGCCTGGCGCTGCCCACCCGGTTCTGTCTCTCTCAGGTCCTCGCGGAGTACCCCAACTACCCGAAGATCAGAGAAGAGATTCTGGTGAAGGCGCAAGTCTCCCTGAAGCCCTAGCTGCGGTCAGGCGGAGGCTTTGTGCAGGGGTGGGCGGCGGGGCGGCCGAGAAAGGGGAATGCGGACAATGACATATGCTTCCCCACTTCCAAACCATGTGTGATTTATTCTGAATCACGCCTCACCTAGCTTAAGGGGCATCCCGAAGCTTCGCGTTCTGGAAGCACAGGAAGTCCTGTGGCTCTGAGGAGGAAGGACCTCAGCTGGCTTAGCATGTGCAGGGCTCGTCTGGCACCTGCACCACAGACTCTGGGGCGCCCTGCCTGCCGTGAGGGTGTGGCGGTTAACACGCGCCCTGCAGAGGGTTCTCCCTCGGGGCTTCCCTGTCCTGGGCGGTCCTCAGCGTCCTGGAGCTAGGAAAGCGGGGAGACTGCTCTCCCTGCCACGCTGCCCACCGGGCCCGCCCTGGCAGTGGGCCCAGGCTGCCGCGGGCAGAGGGCCCAGATAGCAAGACCAGCTGCACGAGGCCCCCACAGCCGAGGTTGCAAGGGCCATTGTCCCACCCTGTCTGTACAGTCTGTCCCTTCCCCCCAAGTCTCAGCTGGCTCCTGCTGGTCCCCACCAGTTTGGGTAACTCTGATAGCCCTTGCCTGGCACAGGGAGACACGTGCCAAAGAAAAACCGTGCCCACTTCAGCTTTCGCAGAAGACCTAGGCCAACTAACCCTCCTCCAGAAACCCTGTGGAGATGAATAATGCCCATTGTAACTGGCGAAGGGTGACAGAGGTCACCTTTGCTGTGTCCCAACACTGCTCTTCCTGTTTTTCAGGACGGCAGCAATGGGCCTGCGTGGCCTCAGGGAAAGGAACTCAGGAGGCCTGGGATCTTCCCACGTGACCTCCCCGATTCCCTCCCCTTCCCCAGTCTCCACGCCTGGCAGGACGTTAGACGGAGTCTGTTTCCCAAATCGTGGTACAGGTCTCCCAGCGACAGATGGCAGGCGTTCTAAAGTTTAGTAACTGTGGGTTCATACATCATTATTTTTTACATTTTTTTACTTGAGAGAAAGAGAGCACCCCCGCTTCTACTTGTTCACTCCCTGGGCCAGGCCAAAGCCAGGAGCTAGGAACTGGGAACTGGGAACTGAGTCCAGCTCTCCCACATGGGTGGCAGGGACCCAACTACTTGAGCCATCACTTGCTGTCTCCCAGGGTCTACATTAGCAGGAAGCGGAAATCAACCAGAGCTGGGGATTGAACCCAGATACCCAGGTACTTAGCCAGTAGGCTAAGTGTCTGCTATATATCATTTTTATGCAACAGAAAAAAACAAACAAACAAAAAAAACAGCTCATAAATTCACGGGTGCTGGTAGAGAGCCTTTAAGTGGTGTAATTGATTTAAAGAAAAATACGTAGCACGGGTAGAACTTTACAGGTACGGCAGTGTTTTCAAGAGAAGTTGTCCTGTGACTCAGGTTTGGGAGCAGCAAATCAGCTGGGGTCCCTTCTACCTGGTGGCTGCCAGGCCTTGTTTTTCAAGCATCATGCTGACTGCGGCACGGCTCCTGGTGAGTCGGCGACCAGGAATGTTTGCCGCACGTTAGGCCATCCTTCCTATGAGCTGCTTCACAGCCCAGTGTTGTTGGGACAGGGTTGTTGCTAGAACTGTCTACGTGTAGAGAGGACGCCACTGTACACGGATTGTGCATTAATCAGGTTTGTGTTGCCGTAAAACCAACGGTGTCTCTCTTCACACACACACACACACACACACACAGCCTAAAATTGACCCTGTGGCCCTAGATGGGAGTAGGCAGGCCTCAGAGCAGTTCTTGGCTGAGCCTGGGGGAGCAGGGATGGCAGCAAGATACTGGAGCCACTGTTGAGCTGCCACCCAGAGCCCTGGGAGAGACCCGGCTTTTGGATCCTGTGCGCTGAAGCAATCTCTACTAAGGGTGGGCAGGGGCCAGTAAAGAGGAGAGACAACTGGGGGCCCCAGGGTTCTGTACCTGAGCTCTTACATCTTTGACTAAGGTAGTTACAAGGGACATGCTGCCCCCACCGCAGGCCAGACTCTAAACCCCAAGGTCTCAGATGGCCCCCCCTTTTTTTTTTTTTTTTAAGATTTATTTATTTATTTGAAAGAGTTACACAGAGAGGAAAGGCAGAGAGAGAGGTCTTCCATCTGCTTATTCACTCCCCAGTTGGCCGCAACAGCTGGTGTTGCACTCATCAGGAGCCAGGAGCCCCTTCCGGGTCTCCCACACAGGTGTAGGGGCCCAAGCACTTGGGCCATCTTCCACTGCTTTCCCAGGCCACAGCAGAGCTGGATTGGAACCGCTGCCCATATGGGATGGCACCCATCAGGCCAGGGCACTAACCCACTGTGCCACAGCACCAGCCCCTGAATGGCCACTGTTGATGGCCATGGGGTCTTTCATGTCTGTGTGTGTTTGGAGGTAAGGAGGATGGCACGGACAAAGAGGGATTAAACCTGTAGAAAACGAGAGGCAGAGACATGAAGAGAATGCAGGGGCTTGTGGATCCAGGCATTCTTGTAAGCATGTTGCATCCCTGAAACGAACAAAGCGGTGAACAGTATCATTCACACATGGAGGAAGCCCAGGCACAGAGCAGGTAACTAACTTGCCTGTCATTGCACTAAGAAGTGGAAGAGCTCAGATTTGAACCCACGTTCTGGGTCTGTGCATGCTGAGTGAGCCCAGCACAGACCAACCAAGGCAGATTAGGAGGGGCTCCTTCAGTGACCCCCCTACCACCAGCACTGTGCGAATCTCATCCTAAGTGGGAGGGAGGTCGACCATTCTCCTCCTCAGGCTCCCAGACCCAGGCTCCCCAGGGCAGGGTGCAGCCTGCTGCTCTGGCCCACAGCCCAGCCGAGCTCTGGGGACAGGTCCAACAGGTCTAGCTGGTGCAGATGGATGAGGCTCTGCAGCTTCCGGTGCTTCAGTCCCCAGGGACCACAGCGGCTGAGCCCACTGCCAGGGCAGGTCTCCACCAGCCACAGGTGGGTGACTTCACCTTCAGAGCCAGGCCCTAGCTAGGAGGGCACCTTCATTCATCCCCAGCCCCACTGCTGCCCCAAGCAGCCACTGGAGAGGAGTGGGTTAATCCACAGGCGAAACTGCTCCATGTGCCAGGCCAGCCTTAGCTGGCTTCCTGCCTCTCAGATTGACTGGTCTGACTGAAAGGTGGCCTGATGTGCCAGGTACCCTTAACACAGCCTCAGCGTACACACTTGCCCCGCAGGGCATGCCTTCCCCCCTCCCCCCCCACCCTTGCACCCACCTGCATCCCCCATCCCACAAATGCAGACCACACCATTAAAAATAGAGCCTCTTTATTGGTACCTGCAAGCTCAGGTACAAGGTGTTCCCACAAGCACACAGGCTGGCAAGGCCTCCTGGGCAAGGGGGCAGGCCCAGAGACTTGGGTTTCTTGGCACAGACACACAGAGAAATGAATAAATTACAGTCTGACACTCGGAGACAATATAGAAATTATGCAAAATTCATCAGCAGAAGTCCTAAGGAGCCACCACCCACCACCTGGGCGCATGGCACAGGCAGGTGGGCCAGGATGGAGCAGGGTGCCCGGGAAGCCGAGATCGTGGGTCCATGGCTCGCTTTGCGCTCCAAGGCAAGCTCCTCACCCTCTCTGGGTCGCCCACTCCCCCCTCCTACATCACAGGCAGGGAATAAAGGGTGTGGCCTTTAGGGAGTAGGGACTCAGGGCAGCTGGCAGGAAGCAGAGGACTGGGTGGGGCAGAAGGGAGTTTTGGTCAGCCCAGCCCCCACCTGCTCCACCATGCAGGAGCCAGGCGGCTGACGCATGATCCCGGGGCTCCAATTCACACCTGATCTGCAAAGCCCAGGCAGGGGCAAGGTCCAGGGCTAAAAGGCAAAGGGGACTCGGGGTTGGTACCCACCCCTGCCCCTGCCCCAAGCCGCCTCAGTCTAATAAATTATGGAAATAAATTATAGTCTTCACAGTCCAGAGGATTTAGCCACCCAAGGGTCTATGGTGCAGGGTGGCAGAAGAAGCCGCCAGAATGGCGAACTGCAGCCTGGTCTCGGGGCTAAGGAACCTCATCCGGAGACCACAGAGGGGTCTGCCTGCCAAGCTCCAAGGGAGCGTCACCTTCTTCCCAGCCTGCACTGCGGAGGCGGAAGAGCGCTGTGTGAGTGTGGGGAAGTCCCCTCCCCCACCCTCCTTCAGCACAGGAAAGTTAAAAAAAATTTAAATAAATAAATCCAGAGTGTTGCATAAAAACCAGGGGTGCCCACATAGCACCTCAGGGCTGAACCAGTCCACCAGAGCCCGTTACCTACAGACCTTGGTGGGGGAGGTCCCCCCACGTTACAGAACAGCAGCGATAGGGCTCTGGGGGCTGGGCCAAAGGCACCCCCCGAAGTCCTCACACCAGCACAGGCTCCATCAGAGGCGCCGGGGCAGCATCCTCAAAGGGGCTGTCCGCCAGGGGCGTGAGGGCTTCGGCCGCAGGCTCGGACAAACCCATGAGCGACTCCAGGAAGCAGGTGCTGATGTCCCCTGGTGGAGAGAGGCTGGGTAAGGGGAGGTGGGGTGCCTCGAGGTTGTCCAGGCTGTCAGAAACCTTGTGGGAGGTGTAGTGAGGTCCCAGGCTATAATCTGGCAGCGCCTGGAGCAGCTCAAAGGAGTCGCAGGAAGACAAGCTGAGTTCCACCGAGCTGCTCTGGGCAGCATCCATGCCGGCCGGCTCTGCCGTGCCAGCAAGGCTGCCTTCCCTCAGCCCCTCCAGGCCGCTGTTCAGGAAGCAGCTGGCGTCCAGGTTGGCGTTTTCATCCAGGATGCCTGACGTGAGGCTACAGCCAGCGTAGCTGTGGGTCCAGCTGGCCAGGCCACCGGGGTCACCAGTACCGAAGATGTCAGCCGGGTGGAAGCAGCTGAGGTTGTCCAGGTGCCCCACCCCACCTTCCTCCTCCTCTTCATCCTCCCCTCCGAAGTCAGAGTCACTGAAACTCAGGATCCGTGCCAGGCTGTCGTCATCCACGCCAGGCTGGAAGCCAGGGCCAGGCAGGCTCGGGTGGGCGGGCCGGTCAGCGGCCTCACTGGTGCCGGACGCCGTGGAGGAATCGGTCATGTCGCTGCTGCAACTGTTATCTCCCAGTTCGCTGCTCGCCGGGGGTTTAGCCAGTGGAAAAGAGGGCACCAGGGCCTGGTCGTCAGGGCGGGGTGGGCTGCCCTGGGTGGGGGCCTCCACCTCCCCAAGGCTCTCGGCCCCTTGCTCCAGCTGCAGACGGGTGAGCGTGTGGATGAAGTGGGTCTGGACTCGTGCCTGGTTGAATTCCACACGGCCCTTGGGGTTCTCACAGCCCTCCTTGCAGCAGCCACAGGGGAATGCCGTGTGGTCCATCTGTGGAGAGAGCAGAGCTGCGGGTGAGGCCTCCACAGAGCACAAAGACATCCCCAGGCCCAGGCTCCCCACCCCAGCTCGGTCCTCGCACCTGGCACTTGATGCCCGCCAGGCTGCAGCTGCAGGTCTCAGGGTCACAAACCCTGTCACAGTGACAGCCACAGTCCTCTCGGGACTGGCGCAGGGCTTGCAGCTCCCGCTTCTCCTCCCGATCGATCCTGCGCACGCCCGCGGCACGCAGCAGAGCACGCCGTCGCCGGGCTGGGTAAGGCTGGAGGCAGCTCACTTCTTCCAGCCGGCCGCTAGCCACGGCCACGGCCAAGTCCTCCTCCACAGAGGCATCATCGATGCTGTCCACGGTGAGCGGAGGGCCCGCCTCTGCCGCCTCGGGTACGCCGGCCGCCGAAAGCTGCATGGACAGAAGAGGGGGGTGTGAGGGGCACTGGTGCCCAACAAAGGTTCCCCAAGTGCTCAGCCCCTGTGCTGGGCACTGTGGCTACAGCAGAAAGCCAGCCAGCCAGGCACCCTGCCCTAGGTAAGTTCATGTCCTTCCACCGATCACAGGCAAGCCAAGCCCTCTCTCCTAGCTAGACAGACGGGCCCCCACCGACCCCACCACATCACATCAACCCTACATCGCCCTCTCCAGTAAGGGCAGATTCAGGCACTAAGCCCCTCCCACCCCGGCCCCTGCACTTGCTCTGAGCCCTTACATGCCTCCCCTCTGCAGATAACCTAGGCAGCCAATCAGTGGATCCATGGCCTGTTTCCTACATAGACCAGGAGCCAATCAATCAGCAGCCACTCCTGCCCCTCCCCACGCAAGGCCGGGGCGCAGGCCACGGAGAGGGGTCTCCCTACCTTCCACCGCAGCACCTCCAGCTTCTCCTCCTTCAAGCGCTGCCGCAGCTTCTCACGCCGCGCCCGGGCCTGCTCCTGGGTAAACTCAGCCAAGGAGAAGCGGCGGCAGGCGCTATGGCGAGGGGCCATGCCCAGGGTACAGCCGCCACGGCCAGGCACGCTGGTGAAGCCCTGGCACCGGGGGAAGTAGAAGACGGTAATGCCATCAAAGGCCACGCGGCCAGGGCGCTTCCGGGGAGTCCGCTTCAGGATGGACAGGGCTGGAAGGCAGGAAGGGAAAAGCGGAAGGTTAGTTTGCGAAGCCAGCACCACGAAAAGCTGCCTCCCTTCTCCCCCACCCTGAGAGAGAGACGGATCTGAACTGAGGAGCCAGCCTAGGGCTGAGGCTGGTACAACAGAACACCACACCCACATCAACACTCGGTTACTGGAATTTGCCAGCTCAGATGGAAGTACTTAGAGGATGAAACATCTGCCCATCTTCAGCCATTCATTGGTCCCTTGTCCAGCTTTTACAGTTATTGATTTGTAGGAGCTCTTTATATATGACATGAGAGACAATAATTATCATTTAACTTATCTGCAAAAATATTTTGGTCTTTCTGTTCAGGGCATTTTACAAAATAATTTTTAACATTTATTAAATAAAAAATACAATCTTTTCCTTTATAGTATCTGTTTTGCGGCGAGACCTTCCCTTGAAGAGTAAGCTGTGAATTGGTATAGTTCTTGGCTCTGGGCTTTGGCCTGGCCCAGCCCCAGCCATTGTGGCCATCTGGAGAATTAACCAATAGATGGAAGATCTCTTTCTCTGTTTCTCCCTCTCTCTCTGTAACTCTTTCAAATAAATAAATAAATCTCTGGGAAAACAAAATCGAAAACAAAACTATACTGGTTTTAAGGTATGAGGAGGTCTTGAAAAAAACTGCACAGATTTAAAAAATGTGTGCAGCAAAATACACTTATCTTTCAATTTCATTTTCTACAACCTCTTTGAAATTCCCTTATATAACACAGTTGTATGTAGACAGTGGCTACAAAGGTAAACAGATTATCTGTGATATTAAAACTTAATGGCGGCTGGCGCCGCGGCTCACTAGGCTAATCCTCCACCTTGCGGCGCCGGCACACCAGGTTCTAGTCCCGGTCGGGGCACCGGATTCTGTCCCGGTTGCCCCTCTTCCAGGCCAGCTCTCTGCTGTGGCCAGGGAGTGCAGTGGAGGATGGCCCAAGTACTTGGGCCCTATAACCCACATGGGAGACCAGGAGAAGCACCTGGCTCCTGCCATCAGATCAGCGCGGTGCACCGACCACAGTGCGCCGGCCGCAGCGGCCATTGGAGGGTGAACCAACGGCAAAAGGAAGACCTTTCTCTCTGTCTCTCTCTCACTGTCCACTCTGCCTGTCAAACAACAACAACAACAACTTAATGGCGGAGTGGAGTGGGCAGCGTTGAGGCCCAGCAGATTAAGCCACCACTTGCAATGCCGGCATCCCATACTAGAGCGCCAGTTGAGTCCTGCCTGCTGTGCTTCCAATCCAGCTCCCTGCCGATGCACCTGGGAAAGCAGTGGCTGACGGCCCAGGTACTTGGATCCCTGCCACCCACGTGGTAGACAGGGATGGAGTTCCTGGCTCTTGGCTTCAGCCTAGTCTAGTCCTGGTTGTTGTGGCCATTTGGAGAGTGAATCAACAAATAGAGGATCTTTCTCTCTCCCCCTCTTTCTGTCACTCAGCCTTTTGAACAAATACATAAATCTTAAATAAAAATAAAAAACTTTATGGGCAGAAGTGATTATGGAAAAATATATCTGAAAAAGCTCTCAGGGCTTGGGGGTGGGGGTCAATGAAAATAAAGTTGAGAGACTCCGCTTGCCATCTTTGCCAGTTTGGAATCGGAATTACACAAGCAACCAGACGAGGCTGCAGAGCACTCTGACAGGTGAGGGCCTGGCTTGGCAGCTCCCAGGCAAGGCGTGTGGGGTGTGGGACGCCAGCGGTTCAGGCTGTAGGAAGGCAGGGTGCACGCTGGAGAAACGAAACTGGAACAGAAAGGGCCCAGCGGGAAGGCCCAAAGGGCCACTCTGAGCAGCTGCATCCTGTACATCATTACTCCCAAGACCAAAGGTCAAGCTGGCCCAGGAGCCTTGGAATAGTGGGCACTGGGTGACAAGGTGGGAGCCAGAGTGGGCTACCTGGGGACCTAACTTCCGGAGGCCAACACAGCTCTGGCCAGGGCCTTCTAACGTCATCTTTCAAGAAGCAAAGGAGTGCACTAGGGCTCCCGGGGGAGAGAGGACTCACGGGTGAAACTCCGGGGGCCACGGCAGTCCCGGTCAGGCTGGGGTGTCTGGTCCCAGGGGCCCTCCTCATCCGAGTACCAGGCAGGGGGGTCTGAGGAGCTCGGGGAGCAGGAGCGGGAGTGGCAGCCGGAGGAGGAGGAGGAGCACAAGGAGGAGGAATCCTCATCCAGCTGGTCAAACTTCCTCTTCAGCAGCCCAGACATGGTGGTGCAGGGTGTGCCCTGGGGTCTGGGGACAGGCAGCCTGGAACAGAAACAAGAGCTGTAAGTGGGGGGAAGCCATGGGGAGGAGGTGGGCTCTCAGCCAGACTCGTGGTTCCTCCCACTCCCATCCTCCCAGCCCCACCCTGTAGCTCCTAGGGGATGGGGCACACGACCAGCACCTCCTCTCTGCAAACTCACGTGCATGTTCAAGTCCACATCCTGGTGCTCCCAAACGCCCACCACCTCTGCCCAAAGCCCACCTAGGAAGCCGCCAGGCACCCTCCCCGCTGCCTCCCACAACCCCCCACCCCAGCCCAGCACACACACACTTGCATCCACACCAGCAGGAGCAGGAGGCAGACAGACCACCAGATGGACTGACAGCCCTGGGCCAGGCCTCCCTCATTCCCCGACAGGAATCCTGGGGGCTGACTCACCGGCTGGGTGATTCACACAGCTCGCATCTGTGTGCCTTTGTGTGTGAGGCCGTCTGCGCCCCACAGTCCCTCTTACGGTGGCTCTGCCTCCTCCGCCTCCTGCACACCCACACACAGACGCGCCCTGCTGCACACACGGGGTCGGCTGCAGGCCCTTGCTCCAACGCCTGGCTGACCAGGCACTCTGGGAACAGGCTGGCTTCCACCCCAGCCCCCGGCCCCCGGCCCGGCCTGAGGACTCTGCCGAGCCCCTCCTCTGACTTTCCCCTAGAAAGCCCCGCCGCGCAGGAGAGAAGTCTCATGCCTCCCGGCCTGGCTGTGTGACCTGAGCAGCTCATCTCGCCCGAGTGTTTAAAAATGCACCAAGTGCTCCAACATCTGACCCTGCCAGTATGCATGAACATCCCATGGGAATCATTTTTTCCCTTGGAAAGAACTCAAATAGTGCAATGACTCCCTACCTTAGCTGCCCACGCTAGCTCACGTCCCCCGTCTCTCCTGTCCGCAGCTCTGTGCCATGGGGCCTGAGTCTCCCCTGTGAGGAGCAGAGACTCCCACAGCCAGCTTGGGTGGGGGGCATCTGGGGCTCCTTCCCTTCAATGCTCCAGCTGACAACAGTCCCTCCCAAAGCCGGGGAACCCCCAGGAGTCCGCGCCATGGGCTCAGCACAGACACCTCGCCTCTGTTGCCAGGTCCTGCTGCACTCTGGGCTGGGCCCCGGGGGAGGTCAGCAGGAGGAAGGGGAAAGGAAGCCAAGGCTGGCAGGGCTGGGGAGCCCCTCCCCCACTGCCATCACAGGAAATGAGAGAGAACAGGAAAAACCTACCAGAAGGCTGTCTGTCTCCTGTTCCTCTACTCAGGTGTCCTCTCCAAACCCCTTCCTCTTCTCTCAGGCTTCCCCTGAAGCCTGGAGGGTGTGCTGCCAACGGATTACCTGCAGCCTCCCTCGGACAGGCACAAGAGAGACAAGACAGTCTCCCTCCCTGGCTGATCCCCCACCCTGGCCTGGGGGAAGAGCGTGCACAGGTGTTTCCGGGGGTTTCTAGCAGTTGTTTCTCAGGCGTGGCAACCCCCCTCCTCCAGGGTCAAACCACAAACACAAACAATCCAGCTCCCAGCTGACATGCAGCTCTCCCAGGAGAAGCGGGACTTACAACCCAGAGCCACGCACACATATGCACACGTGAACCAACCACAGACACTCAGGCACACACACGTGGACAAACAGCCCCCACACATCCTGTCCCTGCACAGTTGTAAGGGGAGATCCCATCCCTTCGCAAATTCGGGGTGCTGCTACACGGCACAGAATGCCTCCCTAATCCCACTCCAGAGCCCGACACCCCTTGGGACCAACTGCCTCTTGCTATCTCCCCCAGGCTGTCCCCTAGAAACAAAATTCCGCAGGCCCCAAATCGAACCCCTTGTCTCCGTTCCCCACCCCCCACGCCATCTGTTCCTCTTCCTGTGTTCCCTATCTTAGTAACAGCACTGCCACCCACCCAGTTACTCAAGCCAGAAACCTGCAGTCATCCTCCACCCCCTCCCCCCTCTCCCTCCATCTACACCGAAGCACCCAGCCCTGGGAGTTCACCCAAAGTGGTTTAATCCACAGTGCACCAGGCACACACTCAGGAAGGCCACGGAGGCTCCTGGTGTGAGGTTAAGCACCTTGGCTGCAGAGCCAGACTGCCTCCCTCGGAACCCCGGCTCCACTATTAACTGGCTGGGCAGTCCTGGGCAAGTTCCCTAATCTCTCTATTTCTCTGGGTCTTTGTCTTATAACCTCTTAGGGTTGGGAAGTTTACAGGACCCGATACGTGTCAATTCCCTAAACAGCACCAAGTGCTCAGTGCATGAATTACCCTACACCGTAAAAAGACAGACACCCAGATGAATCTCACAGACATCGTGCTGAGCCGAAGCAGCCAGACACAAAATACATGCAAATGACGTTCAAGAGAAGGCAAGACCGCCAGTAGATGATGGCACAAGTCAAACAGAGGTTCCCACGGGGAGGGTCAGCAGGGACTATTCCAGGGAATGATCATCAGGCGGTGGCTACGTGGGCGTCTGGAACTGCATGAACACTCCTCTGACTGTACACCCAAGATTCACAAACTTCAAGCATTCCAATTAATTTAAAAAGTGCGCTCTCCTTATCAAGTCTGCTCCCACTGCCATGAGCCAGAATGAACACAGCAAACCTCTTATCTGCCCACTACCCCCTTGCTTAAACCACTCTGAAAGTCCCCTAGGGAGGCTCACTAACAGGACCAGGTCCAGAATTCCCAGAGGCTGAAGGTCTGGCCACTGCTTCCTCCCCCAGCCTCCACGTGGGACTCTCCCCACCCCCTCCATACCCAGCTGAACTTGCAGTTCCTCTCCTGTCCCCACTCCCCCTCCTGCCCTTGCACAAGCTGGATCAACCCGGCCTCATTCCCTTCCAGAATTTCCTCCAAAGGGGCCCCCTGAACCTCCTAGTCCTTCTTCCTGCGTCTCTGGGCTCCTGCTATGGACTGAGTATTTGGTTGTAGCCCAAATGTGTGCTGGAATTTGGAGGTGGGGCCCTTGGGAGGTAAGTAGATCCTTAATGAGATTACTGCTCTGGTAAGAGACACAGCAAGACCACGACTTTGCCAGCTCAGCAGCTTGATCTCCAAAGCAGAGAGACCTACGTCCCCTTTGTCTAGAAGACCCCTCAATCGCAGCAGGCCCAACAGACTGAGACGGGCCCCCCCACAGGCCTTGGATGGCCGCGTATGGCCTCGTCAGAGCCCTTCGCTGACCATCCTGCAGCGGCCTCCCTTCCGGTCACTGACAACAGGCTGCAGGACCTCTGCCTGGCTGTCAAGAGCCTGTGGCATGGAGAAGCACCTGGCGACGTCAGAGGAAGGGCAGGCTGGCCCCACACATGTCTCCATGCCTATGAAGCCCAAGGGAGACCTCCTGCTCTTGGCACTGCAAACGAGGCAGGGGGGGTGGGTGGGGTCACACGCCGGTTTCCCAGCATGTGCAGAGGCTCGGGGCAAGGATGGGGCTCAAAAGGAGCAGCTTGGAGGGGAGCAGGGGGTGCTCAAGGCAGGCATCTTAGGGGCTCCCTGTCCCCCCAGAGCAAACAGAGGGAGAGCTTGAGGGCAGGGCAGGGAGACACTGGTTCTGGGCCGCAGGGATGTGCCCCTAAGGAGAACGTAAGGAGAAGGGGTTGTAGCTTCCAAGGCCGCAGAAAGGGGCACAGGACTGCAGGGTGCAGGTGAGAACGCCCTCTCAGGGCAGGTGCAGGCTGGGACTGAATGAGGAGGAACCCCCCTCCCCCGCCCCGCTGCTCCTTTTCAGGGAGGGAGGTGGGAGGGGGAGCCTGGTGTTCCTCTGTCGCACCTGGAAATCCACAGGTGGAGAGCAGCAGAGGCAGAAGAGCAAGGCAGAAGAAAGAACGAAAGATAGTGAAACAGTCCAAGAAAAGTGTCAGACAGTGAGTCACAGGATGGGGGCGGGGCCCTCCAGCAGCCACCCAGGAGTCAGGATCTGACCGGGGCACTGTTCCCAGGGGGTGTGTGGCCCCCTCCGAGGTCCTGGTGGAGGAGAGAAAGGCCATTTCCAGGAGCTGGCTCAGACAGAAATGCCACACCCCCACGCGCCTGGAGACAGGCTCTGAATCAGAGAGCACCAGGCCTCTTCCGGGATCTGAGAACCCGGCAGCCCTCCTGCCACTACGCACGCACGGGCACCGGACAGCGACTGGCCCAGGGGACGCGTCCCAGCCCCGCAGCCACAACCCTCCACACACTCAGGCCATACTGCCAGGCAAAGGCCCCCTCACCCGGCATCAGGTGCTGCCTGGGGACAGGGAGGGCATCAGGCCCCTCAGGAGTCACGGAACCCTGTGCCCACCCTGTGCCCACCTCAGCGGTGCCACCAAAGCCCCAGCTCCCAGGCACAGCTGGCACCCGGGAGGGGACACCTTTAGCTGCCTCTATTCCCCCTCTAGGAATCCAAAGAATGTATCCTTTAACAGAGCCCCAGGGCTGCGCCTACGCCCCCTCCCCTCCAATACCTGGGGGGGGGGGTGTCACACAACCCCAGGCCCTAAGCAACTACTTCCTGGGAAAAGGGAGAGGCACCTCTGGCCCCCACTGGGGAAAAAAAAAAAAAACAGCTGCCCAGAGACAGCAGACAGGAAGCCTGGGCACACCCCTCCCCCACCCATCCCTCTAAAAGTGATCTCGGGGAGGGGACAGTTCCTCAGCCTTGGCCTCCAGGGCCTGGCACTGGGGAGGTGCCAAATATTTGCTGGCAACAGGAGGCAGCTGCTCCTGTGCTAGGAAAACTACACCTGACAGTGACTGCATCCTCCATCTAGGGAAGGTTCCTGCACCCTCATTCATTCACTCATTCATTCATTCCTCAAATAGGTACTGAGCTCCTGTGCGGTGCGGGCACCCGGGCACACAGGGAGCAAGACCTACACAAATGCTGCCCCCTCAAGTCCAGCGTGGAGTGGAGAGGGCCAGGCCAGAGAGGGTGGGGCGCAAGGCTATGGGAGGACAGGATGTAGGCAGAGTTCCAGGCAGGGGGCCGCAGAGTGGGTGAGGGGCTGGAAGACCCAGAACCGAGTCCTAGAGGGGGAGGGGTGGCCGGAGAAGGGGCTGAGCCGGGGTCACAGGGCAGCCTTTAGCCTGAGGGCACGGGAGGCCACCCTAGGGCTTAAGCAAGGCGTGACGATACCAGATTTGCATTTTTAAAAGATGGCTCAGCACTGGGGCTGGAGGGGGTGTGATCAGTTGGCCGGCCAGGTGAGATGACAAGACGAGGACTTGGGGAGAAAGAGGGTGGATTTGGGGAGCACGGGATGAGAGGACGAAGGGCAGGGCTGTCCGAGATCTGGGGGCGGTGATGAGTAAGTCTCCAGAGGCCCGCCAGACTTCGGGGTGGGGGGGTAGCAGGAGCCGGGGAGGGACCCCCGCCCCGCTGCGGGGCCGAGCCAGGGAGCGCGGTGACTAAGTAAGTGTGTGACTGTCGCTGCGGTGTGGGCATCTCCGCAAGTGCGTGAGGGTGCCAGGACTCCCCGAGAGGGGAAACTGAGGGCGGCAGGAGCGCGTGGGAGGGAGCCTACGTGTGCCCGCGGGTGGCCGGTGTGACTGCGCCCCGTGACTCAGAGCGGTGGCCTCCGCGTGTGACGGCGACCGACTGACAAACAGGTGAGCGCACGACACAATCGCCCTCCCCCCCGGGGGTCCGTGACTCACCGCGCCTCGCCGCGCGCTCATCCTCCGCCCGCCGGGGGCGCCCGGCACACGCCGCAGCCCCGGCGCGGCGCCCAAGGAGGAAGGCGCAAATGTCACCTGCTGCGGCCACGCGAGGAACTTCTAAAAAGTTCTCAGGCAACTGGGTCAAAAGGAAACTCGGCCGCAGGCGCGCGCACCCCCGCTACCCCACCGCTCGCCCCGAGCTCGGGCTGCGGGGACACCGACGGAGACCGGGCACGGCGAGGGGGAGGGGTGCGGGAAACTCGCGGCGCCCGGCCCCGGCCCCCCGACCCAGACCCCGGCCCCGGCCCCGGCCCCGGCCCCGGCCGCGGCGCGTCTCCGGCCGAGCGGGGTAGCCCAGGTCCCCCGGGCCCGCTCAGGGTGCGAGGCAGCGACTGGCAAGCGGCAGCGTCTCCCCCCTCCCCGGGCGCGGGACGCCCCCTCCTCGAAGACCTGCCCGGCCGAGCTCGGGTCCCCACCGCGCTCACCTGCGTTCACCCGGGCGGCTCGCCAAGGACACCGACTGGACCCGCGTTCTCCCGCCGCGGACGACTCCCCGGCGCCGCGGCTCCGCGCGCGCTCCGGCCGGCAGCCGTCGGTCAAGCCGTCCGCGGCTCTGCGCGTCCGGCGGCGGCGGCGGCGGCGGGAGACTGGCTGCGCGGGGCCCCGCCCGCAGCTCCGCCCCCCTCGTCAGTGGAAAACTCCGGGGCTCGCAGCGCTGACGCACGCCGGGCCTCCCGCCAGGCCGCCCGCGGCCCCGCCCCGGAGGCGCCGCCCCCTCCCCCGCCCGGAGCCCGGCGCTGCGGCCGCGGGGCCGCCCTGCGGACTCTGACCCCGCCTCGGCGGCCTCCCGGCCGGGCCCCGCGCGGCTCCCGGCTCGGCCCGCCGCCCCTTTCGCGGATGTGCAGACTGAGGCCGGGAGCCCTGCAGCGGCCCCCTGGGCGGCGAGGCCCCACCACCACCACCACGGCCTTGGCCTTCACCCCGCCGGGGCGAATTGATTGTGTAGCCCCTTCCAGACGTTCCTGCCCCGCCGTCCCCATGCCCACTCCCAGGTTCGCGGGGACAGGACCCAGAAGGACGTGGGGAGGGAGAGAGGGAGGAGGTCACCCACGGGCCTGGCCGTCGGCCGCTGCAGAGGCCCTGAACTCGGGGTTCTTGGAACCAACCGGCTCCCCCCCTTAAAATGGCCCAGCGCCTTCTCTGCGCGTCTCCTGGCCTGGGCCGGCCCTGCTACGCCGGGAAAAGTGTGCATGCCCCCCTACCCCACTCGCGGCAGTCGAGTCGAACCCTTGAAGCCCACCCGTCTTCCCGCCACTTCACACCTGCGCTGCAGCCGCTCCCGCTCTCGCTCGGCTTCCCGAAATCCCAGCGACTTGTAAAGGACTCAGCTTGCAGTTGCCTCCTCCGGGAAGCCCTCCTGGGAGCCCGACACCCCCACCCCCACCCCCCCGGGGCTGCGCCCGCTGCACGCTGAGCTCTGGTGCGCTCCTGGATGCATCCTGTCAGCGCTTCGCCCAGCCCTCAGGATTCCATTCTGCCCCGCTCGGCGCGCCCTGCCCTCAGGATTCCATTCTGCCCCGCTCGGCTCGCTGGGGCGGGGGTTTGTGACCACCGGGATGGCTTCGCGGGTGCTGAGGCTGGGGAGTGCGGAGTAGGCCTTCGCCCGTCCTTGGAGGAAGAGGGGGAGAACAGGTTGCTGGGACCTGGCCCCTGCCTTTCCATAGCTTCTGTGTGTGTCCTGGGGGCTTGCAGGAGGAGCTGGCTGGGCAGCGGCCGCCAAGGCCCTAGGGACCTCCCGGAGGCCTGCAGAGCCCCTTGTCCACCTTGGCAGTGAAACTGTTTGCAAACCCCTATTCCACACTCCCTTCGGGTCCCCTCCGTGTCAACGTCATCAAAGTGTGCCTATGTCTTTTTGTTCATTCGTGTTTGTTATTTTTATTTTTTTAAATAAGTATTTACTTGAGGGACAGAAACAGCTCCCCTCCACTGGTTCACTTTGCCAAACACTCACACAGCCAAGACTGGGGCAGGCCAGAGCTGCGAGCCAGGAATTCAATCCAGGTCTCCACGTGGGTGGCGGGAGCCCAGCTTCCTTGAGCCATCACAGTGGCCTCCCCCCCAGCTGCACTTTAGCAGGGAGCTGCAGTTGGAAACTGGAGCCCAGCGCTGAACCACCCCCGCCTCTGCCGGCACACTAATACAGAACACCCCACCTAACCGCTAAGCCGAATGCCAGGCCCTGTGCCTCTGCTGTTTGCATTGGTCCCACAGCATTTATACACCAGGTATTGCTGTGTTCTGGCCTCACCTCCAGACTCCCCCACTCCACACACTTCCAAAGCACACCCCAGTCCTGTCTGCCCGTGGTCAGCGCGTGGAGTGTATCCAGGTTTCAGCTTGCCAGGCTGCTGCACCTGCCTTGTGCCCACTCAGTAGGATGGCTTCCTTGGGTCATCTGTGAGCAGTGAGAGGTCAGGGGCAACTGTGTCCAGCTTGATCTCTGCTGATGAATAAGATGTGCTAGTAAGTGAGTAGAAGTTCCTATGGCTGAAGGACAGGGTAGGGCTGGAGGTGACCACAGAGGACTCTTCCACACACAGCCGGTGCGTTGCAGCTGTGCTGTGGCTGAGGCTGCCCAGAAGGCTACAGAGCCGAGTGTCTGGTGCTAGGAGTGATTCATTTCCCCCCTAGGTCACCTCCCAGCACCACCACTACCCTGACACTGGGCTCTGGGCTCTCAGTGGCTACCAGCTGCATACTTTGCTGGTCCCTAGATGCCTGCCACCCTGTTTGCTTCCAAGCCCCAGGCCAGGTCACCAGCAGAAAGGGGGTTTCTGTGATACCTGGAGGTGGATTTCTAGTTTGGTTTCTGTCCCTGACTCTCTCTCTCTCTGGACTTTAACTTTCCAGTCGGTTAAATAAGGGCGCTGGGTCAAAGAACCCCACCAGGCTCTACGTTTCTCGACTCAGTTCCTAGCAGACTTCGAGTGCTGGCCAGGTACTGAGCAGGGCTGGGCCCAGAGTTACTAATGGTCTCTCGGGCACTGCCTGGGTTTGCATTTTGCTGGACTGTGCACCTGGGGAACCAGACAAGACAGGGGCTTCGTAAGGGCAGGAATGGCTGCTTAGCACAGGGAGCCCAATGGGTGACAGACTCTGGGGGATCAGGAAGAGGAGAATAAGGGAAAACATCATGGAATTAAGATTCAGATAAATGATATTTTCTCTGGAAAAGTATCTCCCTGTCCTGGGTTGGGCTCACCAGATGTTCCCCAGATGTTGCTGGTGAAGGGAAACATGTCCCTCTGGGATCCCAACATAAGCCCTTCCTGTTCGGGGGAGGCAGGCGAAGGATCGGTTCCAGGCCGGGAGGGTGGGGTCTAGGGCAGCCTCCGTCTGTCTACAGCACACGTGTAGGCAGAAGCACATCCTTGGGCAGCTTCTGGACACTTGGAAGAGCTCTACAAGTCTCTCAAACATTCAGTGTCCATGGACCACCCGTTTCACCAAATAAAAATTACTACGTTTTAAATAAAAATAGTTCCGTGTAAGACATTAACCTTATAGTCCCACCAGGGAGGCTGAAATTAAAGGGGCTAAGAATACCAAATGAGGCAAGAGTGCAATTAACCCATCAACTAGACATTATTGATGTGATGGTGAATTGACATAGTTGGGAAAATAATTCGGTGGGGCCAGCACTGTGGCACAGTGGGCTAAGCCTCCACCTGTGGCACCAGCACCCCATACAGGTACTGGTTTGAGTCCCTGCTGCTCCACTTCCAATCCAGCTCTCTGCTACAGCCTGGGAAAGCAGTG